CCGGCTCCCGTCCCCGAGTGTGGGTCTCACACCACCCCTGTCTCTCGACTTTGGTCTTTGATTACATGTATTATCTTGGGCGAAAAGTAATAAGATAATAATTATCCCGAAGCAGTGTAGGATTCCACGCATATCGAATCAGCCGTGCTCAGGTGCAGACCCCTTTCTCTCTGAAGACGGATCTCTCAAAGGACGGGGGCGCACAAAAGGAAAAGGAGCTGTGTAAGCGAGTCTATCTTTGGCTCTAATTCAAAGACGGCGGGCAGACATGCAAAGATGACCGAGCCTGTACAAGTACTCTCGCCCGGCCTCGTTGCTGGGGATAGTAACAAGCGGGCAGTCTCGGGCGATATCCCAGCTTCCCCGTTCAGCTTCGCCGTATTAACCTCTCCCCTCGATCGTTTTCTCCCTCGGGCGCGCAAAGGGGAAGGGCAGAAAGAACAAAAAAGCATTGAACCAGAGCGGAGGAAAGGCAGGGGGTTCAGTCGAATCCAAGAGGATGGCACCGGCTCTCGCGGTCTCTCGTGGGTGCCCAGTCGAGTTGTTGCGCATGCTGGGAGTGGGGACTCACGGGTCGATGTTGAAAGTCTGGCCGCCCGCGGAAGCCCACCCGCGTCCTAGCCTTTCTCCACTTGCCATCCCAGACAGAGTAATCCCAGGAATCTTTTTTTTCTTTTTGTTCTCGTTTGGGGTTCAACTATTAGCACCTCACACATGTACCCAGCAACAGAGAAGGCCTTCGTCGCCTTGTAGCTCCTTCGCTCGACGCGAGAGAAAAGGGCAGCAAAGGCTCGTCAAGAAGAAGAGAGAAAGCTAGAAACCCGAAGCAAAGGTGGAAACAAACCAAACCCGAGCCCTCCCTCACCACCCTCACAAAGAAAACTCAACCACGACGGCCGAGGAGTGGTATAATGGAGAGAGAGCAAACACGAAGCTGTCCCGCGCACCAATCTATATGTGCGGTATTTCTATTGACGCATGGCACTAGCGGAAAGGAGAGCAACTATTATTTCCCATCCCCCTTCCTCTCTCTCCTTTCTTAGTTTGCGTGAGTACGTTTCTCGCAGGCATTATCAAGATGTATAGTCTTGTTGATGTCATAGTCCCGTCAAGATGTGTAGTGTACATTACTTATTGAAGAAGTTTAGCGTAGTATCTACTACTAGAGAATAGCAAGAAGACTGAGCTTGGCCTCGTTTTCTCTTCCTTCCCAGCAAAGCTCCCGTGGCGGCAGCCAAGCCTGTGCGCTAGATGTTTGTGCGGGTGTCACTGCGGGTGGGACTCGACGAGTTTCCTGATCACTTCGTAACAATCCTTCCACTTACACGCCCCCCTCTTCCTTCCCAATCAGCCGCCCACCTCTCCATCCCTCTCCTTTTCCCTTCCCTTCCCCCTTCCTCAAAAGGGGCAATGGAAGACGAAAGAGGCTAAGATTCTCCCTTCCAATTTGCTCACCTAACCGACGGAGCTTCAGGGCTGACGATTCTCTCTGTGCCTCCCTGACCCCGGCCCCGCCCCTCCCTTCCACCCTCCTTGCCGTTCTGGCTCTCGTCCCTCCCTGCCCCCCCTTTCCGTCCATGTCCATGGCCCGTATCCATGTCATCTTAGCTCGACCCAGCCAAGCCATCCTCTCGCAGAGTTCGCGCATTGTACCCAAACCCAAGAAAATAGTGGACGAGCGATCCCAAGCCATTGGAAGAGTGACAGTGCAGGCTCAACCCGCCCCAGGCTAGCATCATGGAGACGTCGCGCCAACGCTCCATGACGCTATTCCTCCTCGTGCGCGACAAGGAAGATGTACAAGTATTAGGTTGGAGGACCTCGTTGACGATCCCAAGGCGGAAGGAGTTGGGGAAGGAGAGTCTGATTCTCCGACTATTCGAGGCACCAGCTCGGGGGAAGGGGTGCTTGCCTTCCTCCCCTGTCCCACTAGCTTTCATCCATTGTCTGGTGTCGTGAGGACCCTCCCTCGGGCAAGACGAAAAAAAAGCCATGGACCACCAGACCAGACAGTTTAGTGGTCATCATTGCTTGGCGCGTCCCGACCAGGCCGTTCTCAGTCCCAACGTGGGGGAGGGCTCGGCAAAGAGGGAGAAAAGATTGCACCGTCTCGTCTGTTTCTGGATGCTTGTGAGGATCGTCATAGCTGGACTTTGAACTGACTGGAGCTTGTCGGAATCGGGCTAGGTTTAATTCCTGCCGTGGCGGGCACTTTTGACAACCTCTTCCCGACCGCCTCGCTTCGAGGCGCACACTTGTACTAGTGGTGAGCACTGCTTGGAGCGTGTTAGAGGAATAAAGAGAGAGAAAATTTCCACACAACGTGAAGCACTCAGCATTCAGACTCAAGTCCACCACATAGAATACTGAATGCAACACACGCCCCCGTTCACCCACCCACCCGCCGTTCTTGTCTCACTTGTCGTGCTGAGGGTGTGCTAACTAGAACGATACAAGCTTGACAAGGAAGCCCAGAGTAAGAGAGGAAGAAGAAGAAGAAGAGAAAAGTACAAGGGGGATGCGGACAAAGTCGATGGCCCGAGTGATGGAGAGATAGCAACATAACCCAAACCCAATAACCCCACGCTTCCATGGGTCTCGCCGCCTCCACGTTCTCCAACCATGACCACAGGCGTCCACAGCATCAAGTCACCTGGGGGTTTTAGAAGGCCTCTTTCAGTACTAGTACGGGCGGCGAATCCTCGAGGTCAACGCAAGGTGAGTGGACGGGGAACCTGGTTTGGATCCGGTGTGACAGCCTGCGCAGACCGGTTCCACCCATCCGTGCGGGAATAACGTGGCGTCCGCGCACCCGATCGCTGCTGCCTCTTTTGTTCGTTTTTCTTTTTAGTTGTTTTTGGGGGTGCTTTCCCTCTTCTGCTTGCCCCTTCCGTTGGACAACACCTTCTCCCAAGAGAAAACCCTTTTTCGCTCTATTGACTTGATTTGCTGCTCTGATTTGAATACTTGTACCCTCCCCCATTGAATACTTGTAGTGCATCATGTCGTCTGCATCGTTGACAGCCGTATTTGCCCGCTCCGGAACGCTTCTTGTCCATGCCCCGGTCGTATTCGTAACCTTGCACCCATTGCCCCCATCCACAACAACAGAAAGCAAACTCCGATAGATTTGGATCGACCTCATCGTTCAGGCCGTGTTGTTTTCCCTTTCTTTGGCCCCGCCCCCCCGTCGCTGCCCCCCTTTTCCCACTTGCCCACCTACCCTGAGCCCCAATGGTGCCCTTTTCATTAGCGCAGCCAGCTTTCCTCAAGATCCATCTTTCCCCTGGGGTGGCAAGGGGACGCAACGCACCTTGCTCTTCCCAGTAATAGCGTAGTCCTTCCTCCACCGACGAAATCCCGTCAGGGCGGGCAAAGCGAACAGACCCCATTCCCGTTGGGCGGGTGCGCCCGACTTTTCGAACAGGACGTGTGGTGGTGGTGGGGATGGTGGGACGGTGGCATTGATGGAATGCCTGTGCTGGCCCTCCCCCGTCCCCCTTCCCCCATGCCAGCCCAGCATGCAGTAGTTTGATTGTGCCTTGTGACCCTCCGACGCCTTCTGTCCGCAAGGCTGCGTATAGTGTAAACGTGAGCACACAAATGTGGCAAACTGCGCAAGCCTCGCCATCTCGCATGCACATCGCCGTTCGTTCCGCCCGCTCCCGGAAAGCCCTAAAGACATTCTACATTGGGGCTTTTTCGTAGCTCTTTCCTACTATTTGCCTCCTCTGCGAATCAGTTACGAGAGACTTGGAATGGGGGTTGCAAAAGCAGGATTCCTCCCGAGGAATGGAACAGCAAATCACATCATCTCCGTAGGGAGTAGGTGATGGATGGAAGGAGGGGAAATTTGAGCCATAACAAGGAAAAAGAAAAACCAAGGCTTCCCGCATGATAGCCATGACCCAAACACTGGGGTTTTTATCGGGCGAGCGACCGTTGTTCAAACCCCTGGTCAACGTCTCGGTTCAGCGTGCCGCGTTCGGGGATATCGCAACGGCGAGGTCTCATATCGGACGATACCCTTCAGGTGCCCCGGCCCCGCGGTGCACGTTGAGGGGATTGATAGATGATGCTCGCGATCTTGTTCCCGCCATCCATCACCTAGCCGTCCCCCGATGAGCGGTAACCCGAGAAGAGGATACTTTGCGTCATGTCATATATCAGCCATATATCAGCCAGCCATGTATGAGTGAGAGGCGTGTGGTAATGCCTCGCAAGTGTCGTTCCGGCCATTAGTTTTGGGTCCTCGTCACGTATACAAATCAGGCTCAGTGTCATAGGAAGGGTTTGCGAAAAAAGATTACATTCATGATAGCATATCTTCGTAGCATCGTAAAGGCCACCCATATATCCCTTCGTTCATACATGCTCCATCACAGAAAAAGAACCTAAAAGGTGGGGAAAGCCCACTCAAAGAAAATAAGTAAATCAAACAAGAGACACAGACGAGACAAAGGGGACAAATGGGACAAAGGGGACAAATGGGACAAAGGGGACAAATGGGACAAAGGGGACAAATGGAGGGAGCCCTCCGCGCAACGAACGGCGAGTCGCTTCATATGCATGATGGATCCGGTACGCCCAGTCATTGCACAGTTCCTAGTTTGCCTAAAAGCGCAGAACGTGGAAGAAGACAAATCAACAGAAGCAAGAAGGAAAGGAAGCAGGCCAAAGAAGCAAAGAAGAAGAAGAGGAAGAGGAAGGGGAAGAAACCCCGAGAAGGGGAAGAAGAAAGCACAGAAGACATGGGGTTTTCGACTTTTAAGGAAAAAGGAAAGAAAATAATCATGCAGCGCGCGATAGAAGGAAGAGAAGAGGAGAGAGAAGAGACACTGGAAAGCAGTCGCCCAAAGGATATTCTCACTCGGTGACGGAAAAAATCAGCCCAAAGGCTCAACTTCCGGGGATACTAGAGCATCGTGGGGCGGAGGTGGAGGTAGATCAAAACGAATGGCGGACAAAAACCCTGTGACGTGAGGAGTGAGGAGGACGGACTACGGCCCAGCGAGCTCACGCTCTCGGAATGAGCGCCTATGATGTCGGTTCTCAGTGTGCCGACGCCCTTCGTCCTCTTCCTCATCATATCGCTTGTGCCGACGCTGCCGACGCTCGCGGTCATCCTCGTGGTCCTCATCTTCGTAGCCATCCTTGTCCCGAGACCGGCGCTGCTTCCTCCGGTCATCATCGCCTTCGTCATCGCTGCCCTCCTTCCCCTTGCTCTTCTCATATTCTTTTCTCCGCCTCTCTGCACATAGAGCGTGTTAGCAAGAACCAAAATAGGCGTAAAGAGGGAGGAGGAAGGCAAAGAAGTGGGCTTGGAGGTTATGACTCGGGGAAGGGGTTGCGCCTTACCTCTCAAAACAGTTGTCGCGGCGGCGTACGCCTGGATCTCCTCTTTACTGAGCACGCGGAGCACAATCACGAAATCGTCTCGCACCTCGAATCGCTCCTTTCCCACAGCGAGGGCATCAGGGTTGACAATCTTGCGACTGATTCTCGTCCAGCGCGCCCCGGACGGCACTTCTTTGAGCTTCTCGTCATTCTTATGGGGCGCCACCCCTCTCGGATCGGGTTGGGATCCTCGGGAATTTGGTGCTCGGGGCCTTGAGGATGCCCTTGATGGGCTTAGCCTCCATCCTATCGCTCGATGACGGCGAGACAACGCGTACCGCCTTTTCTTCCGGGCTGGAAAGAACAACTTCACGACCTCGCGAAGGCTCTCTCCTCGCCGAGGTCGAGCGATCCTCACCATGGGAGTAGGGGTCGGACCGCGACCCCTCGCCGGGGGTCCATGACGACAGCCTTGTCCTTATCCTTATCCTGCTTGCCGTTCACGTTTAAAGCGGCAAGCTTCTTTTGATATCTCGGAGATCATCCGTGTCGTTGGGGTTAAACGACGAGAGCCTCTCTCGACGACGTGACCTCTCGGGTTCCAAATCCACCGGGGAGAGCCGCGAGCGGCCCTTGCGCTACCCTCGGAGGCAAGGGGTGGTGATCCAGTGTCCTGTCGGCCATCTTTGGCGGGTGATCGTTCGGGAATATCAACGCGCTCTTTGCGCTCCTTGGGTAGATATACCTTTTCCCGCGCTCGACGACGGTCCGAGGCGCGCGCGCTTATGATCTCAACCTCGTCTGATGACGATCCGTGGCGGTCTAGCTCGTCCGACGCCCTCCTCGCGGCGCGCTCTCGGTCTCTCTTCTCGGGCGATTCCCGCCTCTCCTTGTCCCTAGTTTCCGCCTCCCGGCCCTCTTTGGGTTCTTTATTTACCATGGGCCCTAGGCCGATTGCGGTTGCAGCGATGCCTAGGCCAGCCTTGAGATTATCTCGGAGCCTCTTTCCTGATTCCGGCTCCCCTTCTTGAGCAGGAGGTGGTAATGGTACCTCGCTGTCCCTGACAACAGGACGCTGCCTACTCCTCCGCCGCTCATGCCTATCGTCAAGCTCTCGTTTTTCGATGTGATCCCAATCTTGATCCATGTCGTCGTCTGACCTGCGCAAGGGGAGGCGCTGGGTCGACGTATTCACGCCGACCACGATCCCTTTCGCGCCGCTCCCACCTCTCGTCAGGTTCGGGAGATACGTCGGCCTCGGTCCGAATACCGAAGCCGCGCGCTCGAACATTCCCATCCACGTAAACCTCGTCATCGAGGTGGTGTCGACCCGGATCTTCATAGGGCCGGTGCTCTCCGGGCCGGTGCTCTCCACGGCGGCGAGATTCATCTCGCGGGCGATAGAAATCATCGTCCTGCGCAGGCCTAGGCGGTATCTCTTGATAAAGTGAAACAGGCCGAGCGTGCCTGTTTGATCCCCGCCGCTCTCGCGGCTCTCGCGGCTCCCGTGGACTTGGGGGCGGAGGGTCACGAAGAGCTGGTGGGGGATGGGAGCCGGTGGAGGGACGAGGTCGTACGCGGTAGAGCTCCTGTTTAATTTGTCGAGTCCCCAGGTTGTGGGTGGAGGTCCACCCCGACTTTCGGACTTGCCTAAGCCGGGAGCCGGCTCGTAGGTACGGTTCGTCTCGATACTAAAGCCACGGCGTTCAGGGTTGTAGTAGATGTTGGGGCGCGCATAGTGATCGAAGCTATCATGTCTCCTATGGGGTTGGGATTGCTTGGGGTGTTCAAGATCGTATTGCAAGAGCTCGCCAGGCTTTGTATATCCATAATCATCACCAAGGTCAATGGCCGAGTGGCGAGGATTGCTCGGGTAGACGACGGTGGGACGGGAGTTTCTGTACGCCTCTGCGCGGGAGGATGCGGGCACGATATCAGGCCCTCTGAAGCGGGACATGTATTCCTCGTCATTGCTATCAAAGGTTGGGCTGTACAACGGCTGAGCGGACCCAGGTGGCTGGCGACTTACGCTATTGGAGCGAATGGCCGACGAGGTGCGATATTCGGGTCGAGAGGGACTGCGAGAACGAGGTCGCGATGACCCATGGCCATGGGGTCGAGCACTTGGCTGGGTAGTGGTTATGATGATGGGGCGGGGGTGGGTCGAATCGATGGTAGAAGAGCGGCGCCCGCGGGTGGAGGTGAGAGGAGGAGCCGTCGCGGACGCCGGGGCAGGATCGGGATCTCGAGGTCGGCGCAGGGGGTCATTTGTGCCGGGATAAGGGGCAGTTCCGGGAGGACCCCGCGATACGGAAGATGCGGTGTGATGGTGATATCTCGAGGAAGGAGCGCCGCCGGTAGGATGACGGGTGCCCGCAGCATGATAATGGATATCGCCAGGATACACGGGGTTGTATCCGGCGGTAGAGGGCGTCGTCGCTCTCGCAGGTTGGTATGTGGCCGCCCTACCCGGGGGATAGGCCGGATAGTGGCGTTCAGCCATGGTTGTCGATAAGAAGCAAGTTTTGAGTTCGGTCGGTAGCGATCAATGAATAGACTGTCGTCGGCCGTTGCCCCGCTCTCCAAACTGGCAGGTACGGCGGATGTTTGACGTCCAGAAACAAAGCTCGCGACAGGCCGAGTAAATGATCGGAAAAAATAAAAAGGAACGAAAAGATGGCGAGAAGTGAGGACAAAGGAAAAAGAAGCAAAGAACGTGAGATGCCTGGTCTAACAAGAGGCAAGGATGAAGAAGATGTGCGGTTTGATCGAAGAGGGACGAGGGCTTAGCGAAATCCGTGAGAAGTCAAGCGTCATAAAAAGACCAACAAAAAAAAGACGAGAGGGGCAGGGTAATTTTTTTCACCCGTTCTCCCTCTCCTTCTTGACGCAGTGTAGCCTTTTTCCCCCTTCGGCGGGGTTTCTTTTTCCCTCCCTCTTATTTTTTGGGTCTGGTTTATTATTCTCCCTCCCTCCCTCTGTGCGCAATAAATTTATCCCCTTCCGTTATGTCGGCCACGCCCGCCGGTATGCGAGGTGTCAATCTGAGCTTATGCGAGCGGGAGGGAACCGGCTATGCAGTGAAAGAAGAGCACAAGCTGAGAGGGCGAAGAGTGATCGAGGGGTGACAGGTGACTGTGGTGGTGGGGGAGGGGTTCCTGTGGTATGCGGCAACGGAACAGATGCGTTGCGTCGATGTACGTGGAGAATTGGGAATGGCCGGCCACGGGGCTCGTGAGGACTTGGTCGACACAGATATATATATATGTATGTGTATGTCTTATGTATATCTATCCCTCTGGATAGGTATCTTGTGTATATATTGATCGATGGAGGGTGCGAGAGAGCAAAGGCAAATGCGAGGTCCAAGTGGTAGAGAGAGGTATAGATAGGCCCAGCGATGGCGTGTGTCGGTGGTCCCGGAAGAAGAGTGATGGAGAGGGAGCAGAAAGGGAGACGAGGCGGGATGAAGAGTCCTATTAAGGAATATGGAAAAGGGAAATTTGCAAGGTGGGAGCAGGAGGGAGAAAGAGTTGAGGCCCTCGTCAGACGACGTTCGCAATCCGGAGATTGATATGGACACGAGTACTTGGGCTATGTGTGGGTAGGCAGGCGTGTAACACAGCGAGGGTTCCTTGACAAGTCGGGCACGAAAATGGTAAGGGGAATGGCGAAGTTGGTGAGAGGGAGCTGGAGGAAGAGGACAGGTGAGTTTTGAACAAAGGCGCCTGGGGGTCAAGGAAATCGTGGATTGACAATTGATCTATCTGTCTGGGGCAGCCAACGACACTTTCGGAACCGCCTACACCCTTTTTCGGGATTGACGCTTCTCCATGGGGCAACGGTGTCGGTATTTGTTTGACATTGACAAGTTCCCATGACGTGCGCCTCGGCCAGCGGCCACACCTCGTACAATGATCAAGTTCAATGGTGCCGTCTCGAGCTTCGGCTGGCACCGCGCGGCGCAAGGCAAGTACAGTACTCAACCCCACCATCATAACTCGCCGAAGACAATGCCATGCGCCTTGTTCCTTTACTTTGCAATGTTCCATCATTGTGATCATTTTCTTCCGTTTTTCAATTTCCAATTGTATATACGAGGGTCTTTATCCACCTTTTGATTCCGTTTTCCTCTTCTCGTTCTCACTTTTTTTTCCTATCATAAAAAACGGAAGGATAGGACATGGTCGAAATCCTAAAGTACATCCTCGACCTATAGCATATACATTGACTGCACGTCGATCGATAAAGGGCGAGACGAGCACCCACTCACGAGAGAGAAGGACTTGCCATTTATTGAGATGGTTCAAATAGCTACACGTAGCCATCTATGGATGTTGTTTCGAGTCTCTGCCCTTGCGAGCGCCGTGTATCGCCCACAAATCCTTGTGACAATTGGTGACTACCGTATCGATGTCGCTTTCCCTTCACTAAAAAGGACAGGGAAGGGGCCATTGTGAGCGGGAACTTGGCTTGGGACCAAAACTGTCAGCGTGCCTGTTTGGTTTGACCAAACCCCAAACTAGACACAGTACATAGACGGAAGCACAACATAGCAGAGCACAACTGGGCACGCGGCAAACACCTCGAGCTCTCACAACCACAACCACAACCCAGACCTGGCCCGTTTTAGCCTCTGGTGTTCATGGCACAGCCTAGTGGCGACTTTTGGTTCCTCAAGTGCTTCGGGCTCCTTCTGTCCAACGCCAGACCATCTGCGCATCAACCTGTCTGCCCAACCTGGAGGGCTGGCCTCGAGTGCCGAAAACCTACCCCAGATAAAAAGGAAGAAAAGAGAAAAAAAGCCACCAGTCGCTTGCAGAGGGCAGATGGGGGCCATTGATCGGGTTTGCGTGAGTTACGGAGGTGTGAATGGTCCTTTCCATTGGGCAATCGGAACCAGCCAACACGTCGAAGCAGACTCGCCCGTTGCAAGGGTCTAGATCCGATGCCACCCTGCCCGGAGTCTAGAGCCGGAAGAGAGATAGCTATGACGACTTTTGTCACTCAGCCGGGGAGTCCAGTGAATGTGAATAAGAGCACCGTGGCAGCGTGGGTCTCGGCTTGGCTGGCCAAAAACTCCATGCGGACTGGCTCACAACCGTCACTGTCCAAGGCCATGGGTAGCATCAATGGATCATCCAACGCCTTCGGGATATCAATTATTAACGGCTTAGCCAGCCATGGGTCCGGAAGCCTAGCGGTGGCGGATCCTCTCGAGTACCTGTAGGGATGGATTCTAGCTTGTCTAGTCATCAATTTGAAGGAATGGATCAATGATGATGGAAAAGGTGCCCCCGACAGCACACGACACCCCTTCTTTTGGGGAAATGATGTAATCGAGGGCTCCTCCATCCTCATTCCCCAATCGCCCCAACCGCTCATCCTATCAAATTCCCTCGGACAATTTACCATTCGCAAGCGACGTCGCCTAAAGACATCAGACCTCGATGTTGCGTTCTTAGGCCAAGGATCCAAGGGTCCAATCCTTTGAGGGGAAATAATCCCGTTCCCTTATCCCTTTTTTTTTTTTTCTTCCTTTCTAAGCCGTACTCTCTCCGACGATCATGAGACCGATCTGGAAACCCGCACACGGAATATACTCCCATCCATAGATACCAGTACCAGTTGGCTACGTGCTACGGGATGAAGAAAAAGAAGGGCAGGCAAGAGTGCATCGTATTCGTCGTGCACTGAGAAGAAACGCTTGTTAGCTGTTCTCGACCATCTAATATCCACCACGTCCACCCAACGACATCTTCCATTGATGTCTCCAGACCTGGCCCCCATAAGAACGTTAGAACATAAGAACCAGTCAGCCGCAATCGATCGACTGCATAGAGAAGGAGATCTTCCGGTTGGATTGAAAGCGCAACTTCGCGGGCGCGAGGCGTGACCCCTTTCCTATTCGCCTTGCCCCTAATCACAAAACCAGAACTCCATTGCCATTCTATAGTGAAGATAAATGTACACGTACATCAAAGAAACAGTCTCTTTACTGTCTACGTCTCAAGATGTACAGAAGCCGCGAATTCAACGATAAAGGTAGAGGAGAATTCCGACCCAACGCAACACGACGCAACGTTGAGGCATCTCCCGCCCTCGAGATGGTTGGAAATAAAACAGGATGAGTAGAAGAGAGAGAAAAAGCAAGGTGAACCATTGGCCCGAGACAGTAGAATCGTAACTTTTGCGCCACCCGCATAAAGATTAGATGTTAGATATTTTCCCGCATTCCTTGATTTGGGAGGATCTGCACTTGGGCTCGTCGCTGGCTAAGCGCCCACCCTAATACAGCACATCTATGGATGTTATCTTGTGAAAGAGGGTTGGCAGGGGGAAAAAAAGAAGAGGTAGCAAGGTGGACGGACGCCTTCCACTCCTAGTCCCGCCAAGAGGAGATTGAAATCATCGTGAGTGTCTGGTCATAGGTGGCTCCCAAACTTACAAATGCGGAAAAGGGCCCCTGGGGATGCGCTCCCATCTCCACAGTTGGGCATCATTGGCGAAAACACTGCGTCCTCCAGGCTCTTCGGAAGAAACTATTCGGACCTGCGTTTTATGCTTGGCCAACCCATTCCATTCTAGTTACAGGGATTCCCCGTCTTTTGTTTCTCGCCCCCAACCAGGGTCCGAACTCCGAACGAGCTCTCCGAGGCTTCACGCAACAACAACAACAGCACCAGCAACAGTAGCAGCACCAGCAGCAACAAGGCTAGCCGATCATACCACGCCTTGCCACAATCGGCCTGGGTGGCAGACAAGTGCAGGTAATACTAGGAGAGTACAGAAGTAAAAACAAAAACACCAAATGCCCTGTATGGCAGGCCCACTGCCGAAATCCCCATCTCTGCCCAACCTTCGCGCGCGTGAATAAAAGAGCCTCAAAAGCAACGTCGACCCCTGTCTCACACTAGCTCCGAAGCAGAAACCAAGGTTTTAACACTAGCGCACACAGCACACCCCCGCTGAAGAAAAAAAGAAGGTTCCATCAGATTCGTGGCTTGGCGAGCCTTCCTGCCCCCTTCTCTCCTCGGTGGCCTCGCCGAGATGGGCTACAGAGAAACCCAGTGAATCCTGCACGTCCAGAGTCCCAGTGTGGCCAGCCACGAACATCGTCACTTGCGGAGTTCCCGGTCCAACAGCACTCGGTAGCCGTAGGTTCGTCAAGCTTGCACTGGCAAGACTGGATAGGAAAAGGTGGCCCAATAATGTCCTCCCTTTTTCCCAGGAGGTGACTGGTCGGATTGTATCCTCGGCCTCGAGAGGTGGTTCGCAATGTTAGTTCGCCAAGCAGCAGGATGAATCGATCACCAGCGGTGCATTTTGTCGTCGACCCCGCCTGCGAGGCAGGAAGCCCCTTGCAAAGAAGGCGAGGGGAGAAGGTTTGGGTCAGGTGTAAGTGTGTTTGAAGCTGCTGCCACTCCAAGAGCTGCAACCCCGCCGTGGATGTCGTAGACGAGCCGCTTGCTGGATCCGATGCCCATTTTGTCACACCCGGTGCTGAGCAAGACAGGGCCCATCTTCCCGGTGTGTGAATGGCACACGCGCACGCCTTACCAAAGCACAAGAGGCCCTGCAGCCCTGTCCCCGGGAAAAGAGGGCAAATCTCGGAATTGTTGGATACCTCGTACGAGGTCACACGTGTGCCACGGATCAGCGCGGGCTTCTCATTCCCGTTTTTTTTTCTTCTTCTTCTTCCTTTTTTTCGGGCTGTCATCTATGGAGGCACCTGTTCCAAGTTTTCGGAGCTTCTTCCATGCTGCACGAGGGGTCCAGATGGATGGTGTATCACCGCCTTTGGCTGCGGAAAGAAGAGAAAGGGGTCACCGATATGGATTTTTCTGCATAAAAGTAATATTATAAATGTAATTGTCACCTCTCAGATACCTCATTGGTGAGGAGTGGCCCTGCTCGATTCGAAATCGATTACATTCTCTCCGCCATCTGCAAAGATATCGCCACCTTGTAGAACGTAGAGGGGCCCTTGAGGGGCCATGCTTCCTTTATCGCCGGAGCCCAACTCCGCTCATGATGTTCATAAATGTCATGAGGCCGCGAAGGCACGAGGTTCGAAGCCTTGTAACTCCCTTCCACGCCCAAATCCATAGAGTCTGGGACGTCACCTCAATCTTCCCCCTCCTCCCTCCCCTCGGGAACCCGCATCCAAGGCTATCCGTGACCCCCGGCTCGATCTTGGGCATCCATGGTGCAAACCTCCTCCTCGGTTTCCTTCTTCTCTCTATTGGCCCCGGACACTGTTTGCATGTCTACATAGAAACATACGCTGTTGTGTGAGGCCTCGGGGTTAGTCAAGATGATGGATGTACCGGCTGCGAGAGAGCAAAGGCCACGAGAAGCGAGCGTGCCACAGGTCGATACGAAGGTATCTGCGGTGTAATAATATCCCATACGTTGAACAAGACTCCCCTCCCGAAGGAGTCACCGTTTATTGTTCCGGCCACTCTTTTCGAAAAGGGGACAGCGGGAAAAGGAAGGCGATGGAAGGAACTGGTAATTACACAAAGATCTTCCACCCTTTCGGCTGCCCATGGCTCGCCCCGACGCCCAAAGTTCCACGATCGACAGGCCGTGGTGGCGCCCTTCGGTGCCACCCGTCCTACCACCCCGATCACTCTTTGTGTCCCCCCTCTTTCTTCTTGTCCTTTTTGTTTTCCTGCTTCTTCGAAGAAAGCCCACGACGTATCACCATACACATATATCTTTCCGCTGGGTGATATGGCACCCGCCAGAGAAGCCCCGGAACCCGACCGGCGGCGCCTTTCCCATGTCCCGGAAAACCTTTGAGAGGTCGGGCATGCCGTGGTCGGGTTTGACGCGGGAGGCAAAGACAGAGTGGAGATTGTGCCCAGAGCGCGTGTAAGCCGCGTGGAGGCGGGTGAGACTGACTGAACCATTTGACAAGTTCCACTGGCGCGGGAATATCAGATTCGTAAACGAGCGAGGATGTGAGACATAAGTAAGAACCAACGGGCGCGGGAGAAGAGGGAGAGGCTGGATGAGGGGACCGAAAGTGGCCAGTATATAAAACGAGAAGTCCAAACGAGGTTCTCCAGCTCCCTTAGGCAAAGTGTTGTTGCAAATATGAGGGATCAGTTGTTATATATTTCCTTGATCATTTCATATTTCGCACTCGGTGTGCCGGTAACGACGATAAAACTTATAGCCCACTATTCCAGCAGCATATATAGGTATCATCGAAGAATATGACAAGTTTAAGTGAGATTCTCCTGCTTTTAGGAAACTTGTTAAAAAGGTGAGGGATCAATTGATATATGGTTCCTTGACCAAGATATATTTCAGGCTTAGCATGCCCTTTAACGGCGATGCGACTAATAAGATTGATTATCCCAGACTCTAAGGGCAGACCGTATGTAAAACTATCATCTAAGAAAACGAAAAGTCCAAACCACATTCTCCTGCCCTCTTAGGCGGGCTTCTTGGAGAGCATGCGTTCCCCTGACCATCTTGTATTTTAGCTCGCCATACTTCTTAACAACGATAAGACCCAAGTCTTGCTATCTTAGACTCTAAAAGCATGCTTAGCCACCAGACCAGCCCTCCTAATCCCGGCCTCGCCATCTCCGCCCGGGCCCGACTTACTCTCCTCTCCACGTGCCAACACTACCTACTCCTGCGGCATGAATTCCTCCTAGGGTCGAGAATCCCTCGAATCCTCGAGGGCCTAAGGCGGGCTTGACCACGGCTAGTGCTTCCTATGAGCTTACTACTTCGGCGAGCAGCACTGGCCGGGCCAAAGGGGCAGGTAACGGGCCATCCTAGAGGGAGACATTTGGATCCGAGAATGCTAAGCTCTGGGCCCCGAGTGCTTTCAAAGAGATAAAATACCTGGGCAGCAGCATCGTGGGGATCGGAGTGGTTTCCTATATGGTTCTTTTCAATATATATGCATCATGAATGATTGTAAGGAAGCGCGGAGGAGAAAACGGCTTGAGACAATCCGCCAATCCCCCAACAAGACATATCAAACTAGAATCATCACCTGAGCGGCATGTCCCTTGGCAAAAGCAAACCTTTGGAGTAAATACCCTGTTCGACAACGTTCATGGGTGACCTTGGGAGAGAAGAACGCCCCTAACAAGGTTACATGTTGATCTATATAATGTGGCTCTAGTATGTCCAGATGCAAGCAACACCAACCCACCATGACGACGGCAGATGGTGATGGGGGAATTAATCCTGGCGGTCCAAGGCTGACCAAAGCAATGTCTACTTGCGAGAGACACTCCTGATCAAGGCGTTGGTTACTACAAGTTGCTACTGGAGGCGAAGCAGATCGGAGACACAAAAGTTGTGGATGCCCACTTGATTAAAAATCATAATACAGCTAGGTGACAATCATATACCCAAGTGGCTCCGAAAGAAAAGGGCAATCTATCCAATCTCAAGTTTCCCAAACAAAAATCATCCTACAAGCGAAGGCCGATGAGGCCAACGCATCACCGCTCCCAAGCGCCACGCGCAAGTTGGACAACTCCGTTCCGGATAGCAGACCCTGTCAGCATCGCCGATGGGCTCTACATAACTACCCGCGACACGAATTGCCCTTCCTGCCATCCCATTTACAAGGACCGTGACACTTTAAAGGCGGGATCCGTGGACAACCTTGAAGTCAACGCCGAGCTCACGGCCACCGTCGTTGAGGACGAGCACGCGGACGCTGCCACGGCCAGAGTCGAAGGCGGACTGGAGACGGTCCCAGAGGTTGGACTGGTCAATGATGGGAAGGTCCTGCTTGACATCACCGGTCTCGGTCATGGCAACAACTGCAGCACAGAGAAAAAGCGAAAATTAGTCATGACTGGTCCATCACCCGGCGATAGAGGATGCGGAGTATAATGGGCGTGACTTACGGTTACCATCCTGCATGTCGAGGACTCGGTACTGCTTGAAGACAGGTCCGAGCATGGTCTGAACGACAACGCTGGGAGCGGGGTGAGAGATGAAGGAGCTCTCCTCATGGAGGGCCTTGGTGAAGAGATCAACACCGAGGTAGCGGTACTGGCCAGTAGCAGCCGAGGTGGAGATGCGGATCACCTGGCAGGGGCGGCCCTGGAGCATGAGGAAATCGCCAATGCGGATGTGGTGGCAGGGGATGGTGACAGTGTTGGGCACAGTGGCGGCGCCAACCTCCGCCCTGGGAGCACGAGAGGCGCGGCTTTCCGTGCGGCTCTCACGCTCGACATGGTGGTGGTGGTGGCGGGACTCTGGGTGCACAATCTTGTCAGCCAACTTGTGGAGGCCGTGGCGGAAAGAGTGGTAGTGACCTGTCGAGAGAAGAAAGAAAATATTAAGAAGAATCCCATAGCAGGTCGCTTGACGACTGTAGCGGGAGGAAGGGAAGGAAAGCAAAGCAAAGCAAGGCACAGGCCCGAAAATAGAACCCAAGGACAAAAAGGAAAAAGAAAGAAAAAAATCAACAAAAGGGAAGACTTGGGGGCACACATACCGTCTTCGTCGTAGTAGCCCATTTTGGATTGGCGGGTGAACTTGCGAGGCTCAACGGTTTCTTTGCTGGTGTAGCGGGAGTCGGTGTCTCTGTGGACGCGGCTAGGCTTGCTAGGCTCTACAGTGTACTCTTCCACACGGGTGGTGGTGGTGTGCTGGACGGGTCGGTAGTGAGCTCCCTCGACGGCGAAGGAGGGTTGGACACGAGAGCGGTACTCGCGTTCAGCAATGTCAACAGGGCTGGCGGCGTAGTAGTGGTTGTGGTGGTCGACCTCAACACGAGTCTCGGCGAAGTCGGGTCGAGAAGGTCTGAGAAGAATGAATTGAGGTTAGGAAGAGGTGAAAGAGGATGTTTTGTGTGTGGGGATGGAAGAGGTGAAAGGAGGTTTGAAGAAAACGTGAAGAGGATGAAAAAAGAAAAGGGAGCTCCCGAAATTGCCAGCCCCTTTCAAAACAAAAGCTGTTCCCGTCCAGTAGCGCTTGTGCGGTGTGGACAGGACCAGCTCAGCGGGAGCAGAGCAAGCCAATTGGTGCCTAACTGCAGAGACGCCATGCCCGATTCGGAAACCCCTGGCGCCACTGGCAAGCATCAAATGAAGGAAATGGGGATGAGATGGGGTATGCCGATAGCGCCGCCAAGTCAGCTGTTGCGAGGTTGCGAGAGCGGGTCGCCCAGGGCTTGTTTACCAAGCAACCACTGCTCAATTATACGAGCCAGGGTTGCTGGCCAGGCCTGGTGGAGAAGGGGAAGGGGAAGCGGAAGGGGGTGCATTTGTTTTCTTTTTCTCTCTCCTCTCCTGGGGCCAGGGCGGTAGAATGCGAAATGACACATTCACACACTGAAGACGCGATCCGCTGCCAACGGTGATGAAAGCATCGATAGTGGGGAGGATCGAGGCAGAAGAAAAAAACAAAACACAAAAAACGAAAACACACAACGCAGGTGCGGCGCGCTGTTCAAGCATGCCAAAATGCAAAGAATCGGGATATGCGAGAGAGAAAAAAGATGGGATCAGGCTGCTCGGCGTTGCGACGCGCCCACTAGGAAACACATTTTTACTCACCGGAACTCCTCCTGAGTGTGGTAGTGTTGTCGCTCCTGCTTGATACCGGGACGGCGGCGATAGTCTTCTTCACGGGTGAAGTGCACTTCTTCCTTGCCAGACTCGTGAAATGTCGAAGAGTATTGTCCTTCCCGTCCGGCCTTGGGGATGAACGCGACCTCCTCGTGGGTGGTGCTGGTTGTGGTGGTTGTGTTGGTTTGGGTCTCCGCCTCGCGGTATGTCGATGGGAAGACGCTGAAGGGGACGGGGACACGAGCTTCAAAGTCCAGGTTTGCGACCTTTGGGTGAGCAGGAGATCTCAAATCTTCCAAAATCGACCTTTCGCAAATGAACGAAAGACCGGCTAGGAAGATTCTTGGCCTCTTGCTACACGAGAATAACAACGGAGGTTATTCTAACTGATCCCGAAGGATGGCTGAGCAGAGGGGGATAGTGGGAGGGTTTGGAAAGTTGATAGCACGAAGCAATTGGTTGTTGTTTTGGGAGTGTTGAAAAGTTGAAGTTGACGAGATTCCGAAGAGAAGACGACGGGTTTTGAGGACAACGAGCGAGAACTGGGGGGAACAACGGGGGGATAGGAATGGTCGGCAAGGGGAAGGGAAGGGAAAGGGGGAGAAATAGGCGAGGCAGGGGAGCTTGCTGCGGCCGAGCTCCAGCATTGGATCGAATGGAGCGCCGAGCAGGCCGTGCCCGCGTCGTGGACTGTGTAATTACGCGCTGTACAGATACAGGCTTATGCCGAGATCGATGGGTCAAAATAGAGCTAGTTTGGCGGGATTTCATGCCTGCCCTGGCGAGTAGATAGGTACAATGTACAATCCCCTCGTGGTTACCGTGGAGTCCAGCCCAGTTTGAGCTGGGAGACACACACTAGAGCTTTGTTTGGAGGCGTGGGACTTTTTGTGGTGAGGGGTGTATGCATCAGCGCCGCTCAGCTTCTGGCCTTCATTCTAGGGGACTGGTTCCGTTGATGGACTGGGGATGCCTTTCTGTTGGCTTGTTGAAGCGTGCTCTGGCGGGCCATCACGATATCTCCGGGGCGTCGCCCTATCCACTAGTGGACACAGCGCCGCTTTCTATTGGTTTTCCTCTTGTTTACAGAGATACTGAAGCAGATTAGCGGCGAGAGGGATCAACCCTGCGACCCTGGCTCCGTCAGGGCCTGGAGTTCTTTTTCATTCCCACCCTTTGCCTGCCCATATAGCACAGTATGAATTGATTCCGGTCGGCTTTGGTGTTCATTTTTGGCTGACTGGTTTGACTGGGCCTCCGACATTGGCCGCCGCTTCTGAGGGGTCGTCCACTTTTGAAAAGCGAACGGAGCAGAGACGTCAACAAGAGGCTCCTGCTGGCCGGGCCTCGGTCGTAATTTCAGTCAGGACGCCGCGCGCAATGATGGCAAGCAATATCATCACCGTTTGGGAGGATACGGAGTGGGAGCAAGTGTAATGTCTGTCGTCAACCTCGCGCAACTCCACTCGTTTCGCCCTCTGACATCCAATAGTTCTTTCTGTTGGTGGCCCAAGAGAAGGGTGGACGGAGCTGGGTTATTATTCGCTGACTCTGTTGAATCCGTGAGAAATGCAACCGAGTTGGCCGGCCAGTCAGCCAGTCGAAGCGCGCAGACTGATGATGTTCTGCATCGCTGTCGTGGAGTGGGAAGACAGAGCTGTATTGTCTGCACCCGCCACCGAATACCTTCCCTCGCCTGGCTGATCTCATCCAGCGGCATGCAGCGCCCAACCTCTTTGGTTGGCTTCTCTGGCTTCCTTCTCTGGCTTCCTACTATACATCCTGGCTTCCTCCCAAGCTGCAAGCTGACAGACCATTTGAGAACGGAAACAGTCGCACTCTGTGATCCTGTTCTCTTGGACAAGACCCCGGCGCGCTCACCCGTTGACTTGACAGAAAGTGTTGATGCACGAACCAACGGACGACTCGTCACCTTTTCCCCACCCACCCTGAATGGCAATACTTGCAAGATTGCGCTCAGCAATTGAATACGAAGTACTTACCTTGCGGCTCCACAGTTTGGGGGAGTCTAACCTTTGGACAAGAGCCTCGGCAGCTGATGATGATGGTGGCTCTCTATGCTGTAGCTTGTGGGTGCAGATTGTTAATACCGAATTTCAGAAAGGTGTTGCTTGTGGAACCGCCGCACCTGTGGCCAGGCCTTGACTAGCCCGCCGTGCATTCATGCTTGTATCCACCGGGCGTAAACTATGCCTCGCCTTGCCTCCGCCAGTTCTCCCTTGTCCACATGGGTCGGCGTCCCTTTCTCTGGGGAGTGGATGCACCTACGAAGTATTTCTGGGGAAGGGGCCGAGGTAGTTTTGCTGAAGATGCTGGTTTGGCCTCAAACGTCCATGGTGCAGAGGGTGTTGATGCTGATGCGATGACGAGGTTGGGCCAAAATGCAAGTTGAGTGTCGCAGCACCTCATCGACAGAGTCGAGCCAATTTACAAGCCACCGGTCCATCTTTTTCCTCACCACGATGCTTTTTTGGCCTCTCGTGAGGAAAGCAATCATCTACCACGTCAGTGGGCTCGAATCTGTTCTCCTGCCCCGACCTTTTGATGCCAGGGAGAAGTCCCAATTGGTGTTCACGGGGATCGTCGATGCCCCCTCTCACGTCGTTTCTGTCGGATGAAGCAATGGTGACCTGATGGCATGCATCGATGTAAATAATGGCAATCTAGCATCAATAATAAACGTTGCTCGAAACTTGTCGCTCCTCCGGGACTGGGTCAGCGCTGGTTTGGACAGGATACAGGTGCATGCACCCTACCATCACCCTCGCCTCGCCTCGCCTCGCCTCAGATGCACTGGACCCATAATAGGACATCAACCACACAGTGTTAGTGGCTGACTCCTGCTCGATTGATGGAACACGTTGGAGAAATCCGGTCCGCTCCTGATCACATTTTCTTGGAATGGCAAAGAGTGGGGGTTATCCTTGTCCAAGTTGTGCTGTCTCCGGAGCATAATAATATCAAGCTTATTGGACCTCGTGCAAGAACAAGGGTTCAAAGAACGGCGAGCTGGGGCAGAACCTCGGACACCGGCCATTGAAATTATTGGAGGCAACGCTCAATCTCTACAAGTTTATCAAGTCGTCGACCGCGATCAGCGCATCTTGTGTCCTCTTGCTGAGTCTCGTTTTGAGTTTTGCCCCCTCATGCGCTGGAGAAGGAGCGAGGGAACGTCGGTGGGAATCGTCAAGTCTCGATGCTCCATCGGTCCACACAGCATCCTCCTGACGCGTGCCCCCACAGCCTGCCTTTTCACGCGTTTTGGCCAATTAAATCTCTGGCCAGACGCGAAGCTCTCGTGCCCCCTGTTCGTCATACTGTGCGGAGAATGCCGACCCCTGGTTGCCTTGACAACCCCGCTCAGCTTGTTCATGTCCGCGTCTGATTAAAGGCTTGGGGAGAGGAATTGGGTTTCGTGAGCGGAAATCGGGAAGCCCGCCCGCCCGGCAAGTTTATTATCAGGTGGATTCCACCATTTATTAGTGTAAGCCTGAAGGGTTCGACAGGCCTGTCGTGCCCCGCAATCCGGTTTGATGCTGTGTATTGCTTGTAATGATCCTCGGGCAAAGTTATGCCAAGGCCATTTCTCTCCTCAGATGCCACTGTCTCAAGCCGCCTTTATTGCGGTGATATTATTAGAGAGTAGCCCCGAGAGGGCCTGGTGCATTTGATGCGTACTCTACACTAAAGGTCGTGACGGGCATCATGATCGAGTAGAAGGCGGTAGGGGAGTAGATCGCAGGGGATTGAAGCCCTTCATCTCCACCTGTCCCCTTGGAATTGATCAAGGAGCCTTTGCCCCAGATGTTGTTTACACCCGTTGAGGCCTCTAGTTGGTCTGATTCAACTATAATCGAGATAAGCACCTTAAGAACTGTTTACCGTGGACTCTTGAATTAATGTGGTATCATTATTGTTCTATCTTCTGGGAGCTATGTGAAAGGGATCTGAAGTGTAGTCAGGTCATTGTCAACTGAGCTCAAAAGCAAGCAACTTGTTTGTTCTACAACATTCCACCGTGTGGACCGAACTCCTCGGCCCCATACCCCGCCTAGCCTTGCCGAAAGGATAATAACCCTTTGGTTTACTGCCGGCATTCTGCATTGTGTCTTCTTCATACCCTGTCAGGTGAGCGGGTTGTAAGTTTTACGAGAGATGGTGCAGGCAAAAAGCCTGACCAGAGCTAAGGAGGAAGAAGGCATCGCCTGTAATGTCTCGACCTCCTTAGAAAATTGTTGTTCTTGAGATGACGCAGGATGGACCAGCTGCATTGAATATTAATGCTGAGCGGTCTAAACCAGGCACTGCCACTGATATAACCCCAGGCATGGTGCCGTGCACTTAAGGCTGGGCGCTAGTTGAGGAAAGGGAGAGGAAGGGTTGGGTTGGATTGGGTAGGGGGCAGATTGGGACGGAAATCAACGGACACAAGCAGTGATGATACTGATCTAACGCGGTCTTGGAGTCTCCTGCTTGAAGGCTGAAGCACCGTTCTCGGCAGGGATTCGGCACTGGGATCTAAGACCTGCGGTTGTTCGAAGCTACCCTGATTCGAGGTGAAGCATCAATATGATGCAGTGAGACACCGTCGCCGCCCCTCATGGCATCAAGTGAGGCGCATCGCCGTCTGCCGCTTGCCATAGAATAGGCTTGTATGCGGCAAAGTGGTCCTAGTGTGGCATGCACTCGCCTTTCATAATTTGATGTTGCCTAGGGGAAGTACCCTCGACTGGTCCGCGTAGAACTGAGCGCGATAGTCGACGATGGCTTTACTGATGACATTGAAATCCTTACTTTGCTTAGCCTTGAATTCCGAGAGTAGCGCCCGGAGGCCATCGATATATCGTTCTTGCTCCTTTCCCTCAAGTTTCTCCGAATTGCCAAGTTGCAAAAGAATCTGACTGTCTACAGAGCGGAATGATTAATCGAAACGTCAGCGTCGATCTAGGCTGGCGCAAACCTTGGTCAGTCAATGTTAGTTGCCGGGGTCTACTTACCAGGTATGTCGATAGCGTCTGCATGTTGAAACTCGCAGGCGGCGCCTTTGTGACACCCTTCGGGCGATAAACTATCTAAACAAAATGGGAGCGTGGAGTTGATCTTGTTACTGTAGGTCAGAGACCGAAGTCCTTGTGAGACATCCTGGTCAAAGTTGGGGTGGAAACGATATGATAAGAACTCTTTTAGTACGCTTTGATAAGGGACGAATCCTGGCGTGGTGAGGCGGCTAGGTGCGATGTGAATCTCCGTTGTCGGTTCTGGGCTTTCTTCGTTGGAATGCGCGGCGGCATTCGAGATGTGGGTGGAAACAGACAAGGGTACAGCCTCTTGCATCCCGGGCTTGGCTGGGAGAGGCTGCGTTTGTTTGGGCGCGTGCAGTGCTGTAACCTGTGTTGTATGCTCTTCTATGTCTGACGCGCCTGGACCCTGGGCCTGCTGCCCTGCGTTTTCGATGGGAACGCCCCTGGGCTTGGTTCGGGGTGTGATTGTGGGGAGGGTGTTGTCAAAACTTCGGGAGCTCCAGCGGTAGGCGCGTCCGGCATTACTAAATCTTCGGATGCATCGACGGGGGCGGAGTGCGGCTCAGGCGTCGTCCCACTGGGTGCTCCATTTACGGCACCGACGCGGGAACCGCCGCTTGTTCCGCTTTCAGCTACAGACGACGACGACTTCGAGAGTACCAAAGTCCCCGTGAACGGGGCCGATTCAATGTTAGCAGAAGTGTGGGAACTTTGCTTTAGCCCAGGAGGGGCAGCGTCATTATCGGCGTCGAAAATCTGGGTAGCATATTGGGGGCTAGGTTGACCGGAGCTGCTGGATGAAGCATCTTTCGGCGCGAGAGAGGCATCTTCGGCCCAAGTGTTGCCTTCAGTGAGGCTTGCCAATTCTGACGCCAATTTCGCCTTTTCCGCAAGCATGTCATCCACCTCCCTTTCAATGCGAGCAACCTGAGACCTAAGCAATCGTAATTTGGCTGTCCTGGCCCGTATCGTTGATTCTAGCGTGGGCAAGGAGTCACTGACGACTCGAAGCCGCTGACCACGCTGACTATCGGCTGCTGGGACATGTCTGACTTTGGGCAGAACTTTTGCACTTCTCCTTCCTTGGTTTGAGGGGTTTGATTGGAAGGAGGCTAGGTGGATTGGGGGAGTGAGATTGTGCAGACGAGGGCCTTGAAACTGGGTGTTGTGAGGCGGCGGGAGTATTTGACCCTTCCGGAGGAGTTTGCGATTGTGCAGCAGGGTCTTTGGGCGCTGCTTTGGCCCGCTTTCGTCTTTCCGCCTCGGCAATCTTGCGCTTCATTTCATCGATATGCTGGTTGATGCGTTGAAGTTCTACGGAGTCTGCCTGCCTCGGCGGTCCCGCATATTCTGATCCAGAGGCAGGGCTGGCGAGACCGTGCTGGTTGAGCATATCGGCCGGAAGGGGACGATCGCGCAAGTGGGAGAGCCGACCCTGATGCTGATTATTGGGGTGGTTGGATTCGGGAGGAAGATCATCAGCCTGAGAGCCAATCTCCATCTCCACATCCTCATCATCTGAATCGTCACTGACATCGATGACGAGAGGCTTCTCAACGTTATGTTGGTTGAAGGCTCGTTTGAAGGGGGTGCTGTCGAGTTTTCGTTCAAGTCGGATGCTGTAGGACGCTTCCGCGGATGATTTGACCCTGTGTCCGAAAGAAACAGGCCAGGGATAGAGCTTAAAGCTGGCGCCTGTGACGAGTTTGGAGACTCGGGCCTTGGGTCGAGTTCCGTGGTCTGGTGTGCAAGGGCGTTGGGGACGGACGGCGATGGGCCCGCCGGGCCCTGGCTTGATGTATCAGGTACAACGCCTGGCACACTAGTTTGTACCGCGGCTTCCCTTTCAGTTACCTTCTGTGCGCGGAGGGCGCGGGACTTCTGGAGGGCCTCTAGTTTGAGCTGTAGTAGGCGCTCTTTCTCCGTTTTCTTTGCCGCCTTGTCCCTAGAAATCTCCGAGGCGTCTTGTTGCCCTGCCTGTTGTGGACTGGTGCGTGTTGTGGAGGATGCCGTGGTATCGTTTGAGGTCGCCGCCGGACGGCTACTGCTAGACAAGTCCTGTTGCTTCGCATTTTTCGCTGCAAGCAGTCGAGCAATGCGATCCTTCCGTTCTTCTTGTTTCTGAGAAGTGGCCGTTACCGGGGGCTTAGAAGTAGAGGCGGGGGCAACGACAACTGGGATCGGTTTCGGGACGGATGGAGCGTGATCATCGATCGCGGATGGTTGGATATCATGGCTTTTGGCGGCGGTTGGCGGCTCGGCTGGGGCTTTGTTGGTTTTCGTGTCTAGACCCAGACCGCTGAAAAGGTCGCGGACAATCTTGGCGTCAATACCCTCATCGAGATAGTCTTGGAAGCGAACTTCTAGTGGCCAGAGCCTTAGGATAGAAGCCTGCGCCTTTTTCTCGCCTCGGCTGGGGAGTCGACTTGAGCCTGACCAGAAAGATGGCCTAGAGGCGGAGTTGAAATAGTTGGCCTAGAAAGCGATTCTGCTATACATCGGGTTAGTAGTTTGCACCTGAAAAAGACAGAGATCAAAGCGTTTAGACCTGGACTTACGTAGGCCATCGCCAGCTTCATTCTGCTGAGAGGAAGGGGAGGTGGTTGACAGCTCTTTCAAGGAAAGAAAAGGTGAGTAAGAACGCGATCTCTCTCGAGCTAGACGGTTAAAAGTTAGGAAAATGACTCAACACAACGGTGCAGTCTTACATACCCGCCATCGCCGACTCTCCAGACACTGGGAGCGAAGGAACATCAATAGGCGGATCCGGTCGCTCTAGTTGGGCAGGATCATACTCCTCGTCATCTGGTATTTGATGCTGCTTCGATACTGAAGAAGCGCTGGCTCGTTTGGGAGATTGAATGTATGGTTCATATAGATCTTCAAATCTTGATTCGTCGAGCTCACCTTCCTCCATGGCATCGCTTGCGGGATGTCGGGGAGTATGTTGTGAATGGCTGATGACCGGGGCTCGATCGCTTTCTTGGGGATGCGAGTAAGGGAGCTGATAAGAGTTTCGGGCAAGAGACTGGGGCCCGCTTCGAGCATTGTTTGATGGGTGGGAGATGCGATCGGGCTGTGCCTTCCGCGCGGGATGATTGTTGGGGATGGTGGTGGAGGTGTTGGGCGCGGTGGGAGGTGCGACAGAAGGTGTCGCGAAAGAGAGTCCTGGAATCACTGTGTTGTATTGGAATGACTGCTGGGAGGATATGGAGTGCTCGGAACCGAGACCAGGAACCGTAGGAGGTAGAGGGAGATTGGTGCCGGCCGGGCCCGGTGGGTGTGGAAATGGCGCCGGATGATTCTGGCCGTGGCCAAGCATTCGGTGAAAGGCTTGTTGACTCATGATCTCGAAGACGATGATTTGATCTTGAATACTGCTAGGTATTCTATAGGAGGGGTCGGTATCGTGACATGAGCCTTAAAGGAAGGAGACGGCAGTGTGGAAACGGTCAGGGAGGCTTGGTCGTCGCGTCTCGGTTATTGAATCCATCAAAGTAGGCTCGGTCTTTTGATTGTGCGACCTTCTCAGTACCGTGTTTCGATGGTATATGTCAGAGCGCCTGGGACAGGCGGAGATGTATGAGAGATAACACTAGATGAAGGTGGCAGATAAAAACATTTGTCATGGTAGTAAAGCTTTAACGAGTAAGTCGGTCGTTGATGGCGAACCTGTGATCTCAAAAATGTTAATGCCAGAGATTGATCCCACCAAGCTCGGTCTTGGTTTAATTAGCCGATATTTAGCAGGCGTCAAGTCTTCATGCCTGAAAATATGTGTGAATGGCCCCTGCACCTGCCCCACAACGCACCATCATTGACCAACAAAGCCTTCCCTATCCGAGCTGGAATATTGAGTGAGCCGGACCTGGTGGGTGTGCAGTGCCCGCAACCGCACTGTGTTAGCACGCCACGTGATTTTGTTTACTTCACGGCTCACTGCCAGGGCAACAGCATCTCCAACGCCGAGAGCTCTCATCGAGGTTCATGACGAAGCCAACAACGACCACACATTCCTTGACTCAACACAGGTAGACTAACCGGCTTTCGGCGTCTTTTTTACTTTCTGTGTCGAACCGAGACATTTGACTGTCTTGGGATTTGCAGTTTTCTTGTTTGTTGTAATAAGTCTTCCTACCAAGCCATTTCTTATTCATCCTAGTCGCGATCCCGTGCCTCTATTTACCACCGACTGTGTTCGAGTCTTGAGCTAGGCAGGACTTGCCAAGGTCTCTCCCCTCGACCCACGCGCGACAAAAACCCTCCCTGGCAAAAGCCTTGAGCAGAACATAGATGACGCGTGAAAATGGCGTCTAGCGCGCAAACAATGGCCCAGCGCCGCAGCATATTCACGCGGGGTGAGCCTACATCGCCGGTTGCGAGCTCAACGCCACGACCGAAATCAACCCTCATATCCTCCCCTTTCACATCTTCCTCCCCGTCGCCCCGGCGGAATCTAGGGCGCGGTCCCAGTCGACGTTTGGTACATCTGGGCCACCTCCGGCCCTCGCGAAACACTCCCGAAGCGATTCCAAGACCGGCACTTTCGCCCCCTCTTTCATTAAAACCGACGCTATGAGGCCAACCTACGATGCTGTTAGGGGAATCGAAGGGGAGAATGATTTCTCTGGAAAGCGCTATGTGTGGCTCAAGGACCCAAAGACAGCATTCGTGAAAGGTTGGGTTGTGGAAGAACTAGACGGGCAAAGAGTTCTGGTTCAATGCGACGATGGCACTGTATGATTCTTCTTCCCTTGCATTTTTGGTCTCCTCTCCACCCATTATGGCATTACTGACTTCCCGTCTTATAGCAAAGAGAAGTCGACCTGGAGAGCGTCGATAAGGTCAACCCTGCCAAGTTCGACAAGGCAAACGATATGGCCGAGTTGACGCACTTGAACGAGGCGTCTGTGGTCCACAACCTTCACATGCGCTACCAATCCGACCTCATATATACGTACTCGGGTCTCTTCCTAGTCACCGTTAATCCTTATTGCCCGCTACCCATCTACACCAACGAGTACATCAACATGTACAAGGGCAGGAATCGAGAGGATACGAAGCCCCATATCTTCGCCATGGCTGATCATGCGTTCCGTAATCTGGTGGAAGAGGGAGAGAACCAGAGCATCCTGGTGACTGGAGAGTCGGGTGCCGGTAAAACTGAAAACACGAAAAAAGTGATCCAGTATCTCGCCGCCGTTGCGCATTCTGATTCCTTAGTCAAGAGCAGGCCTCAACACACCAATCTTTCACAGCAGATTCTCAGAGCCAATCCGATTCTTGAATCCTTCGGTAATGCCCAGACTGTCCGCAACAACAATTCGTCACGTTTCGGCAAGTTCATCCGCATCGAGTTCTCTCGGACGGGCTCGATCGCGGGTGCCTTCATCGATTGGTACCTGCTGGAAAAGTCTCGTGTTGTACGAATCAATGCCAACGAACGCAATTATCATATCTTCTACCAGCTTTTAAACGGTGCAGATAACCGTATGAAGCATGAATTTTTGTTGGACGGGCTCCATGTTGATGACTTTTCTTACACGCGCGGAGGCCAGGATACCATCGTGGGTATCTCCGATAGGGAGGAATGGAGTTCTCTTCTCGAAGCGTTTTCCGTCATGGGATTCACGGATAAGGATCAGAGCTCTATCCTCCGAACTATCGCCGCTGTCCTCCATTTGGGCAACATATCAGTGGTCAAGGAGAGCCGTATGGCTGACCAGGCGCGCTTGGCACCCGACAGCGAGCGACAGGCTGCAAAAGCTTGCCAGCTTCTTGGAATACCTCTTGAGCCGTTTATACAGGCGCTTTTACACCCAAAGGTCAAGGCTGGGCGCGAATGGGTGGAGAAGGTACAAACTCCTGACCAGGTTCGACTCGCAATCGATGCTTTGGCAAAGGGCATCTATGAGCGCGGCTTCGGTGATCTCGTCAACCGCATTAACCGGCAGCTGGACCGCAACGGAATGGGCATGGACGACTCTCACTTCATCGGCGTACTCGATATCGCAGGCTTCGAGATCTTTGAGCAGAACAGCTTTGAGCAGCTTTGCATTAATTACACCAACGAGAAGCTGCAGCAGTTTTTCAATCACCACATGTTCGTTCTCGAACAAGAAGAATATGCCCGAGAGCAAATCGAATGGCAGTTCATCGACTTTGGCCGAGACCTTCAGCCCACTATCGACCTCATAGAGCTTCCCAATCCAATCGGCATATTCTCGTGCCTCGATGAAGACTGCGTGATGCCCAAGGCCACCGACAAGTCTTTCACGGAAAAGCTCAACGGGCTTTGGGAGAAGAAGACGGATAAGTATAGGCCGTCTCGACTTGGACAAGGCTTTGTACTCACACACTACGCTTCCGAGGTTGAGTACTCTACTGAGGATGGCTGGAGAAGAACAAGGACCCCCTCAATGATAACGTCACACGCCTACTCGCCGCCTCGAACGACGCCCATGTCGCAAATCTCTTTGCAGATTGTGCGGAGCTCGACGACGACCACGGAGGTGCGAGAAGTCGGGTCAAGAAGGGCCTCTTCAGGACGGTTGCTCAAAGACACAAGGAGCAGCTGCACAGCCTCATGACACAGCTTCACTCAACCCACCCGCATTTTGTTCGTTGCATTCTGCCGAATCATAAGAAGAGGCCGAAGCAGTTCAACAATCTACTAGTGCTTGACCAACTTCGATGCAATGGTGTCCTCGAAGGAATCCGCATCGCTCGAACCGGATTTCCCAACCGTCTTGCCTTTGCAGAGTTTAGGCAGCGATACGAGGTGTTGTGCCGTGATATGCCAAAAGGCTATCTAGAGGGCCAGTCCGCAGTCGCCATCATGCTCGACAAGCTCGGTCTAGACCGCACACTCTTCAGGGTCGGCCTTACCAAGGTTTTCTTCCGGGCGGGTGTTCTCGCCGAGCTGGAGGAAAAGCGCGATGCGCTGATCACGGAAGTCATGACACAGTTCCAGGCGGTGGCCCGTGGATACGTGCAGAGGCGTATTGCTTACAAGCGGCTGTTCCGGGCCGAAGCCACGAGGATCGTGCAGTCTAATTTCCGCGTCTACCTTGATCTCGTGGAGAATCCTTGGTGGCAACTTCTGGTTAAGATGAAGCCCTTGCTAGGCGACACTAGGTCGGCAACCGAGGTGAGAAAGCGAGACGAGATGATCCGCCTGCTCAATGAAAAGATCACCACCGAAGCGGAGTCGAAGAAGAAGCTCGAGGAAGATAGGCGAAACACGCATGCGGATATGATGCGGATTCAGCAAACCCTCGAGAGTGAGCGGGCTCTTGCCCTTGATAAAGAGGAGATCTTCAAGCGACTTCAACTACGGGAAGCGGAGCTAGAGGACAAACTTGCGGGTGCTCTAGAAGATCAAGAAAGGCTCGAGGACCAATTAGACGATCTCCTGGACGCGAAGAAGGAGGCAGGTCTAGAGGTTGAAAAGTTCCGCTCCCAGCTGGAGCAAGCCGCCGGCCTCATCGCACGGCTCGAGGAGGAGAAGCAGTCTCTCGCCCAAAAGGTCGCTGACCTCGAACATGCTCTCGATGACATCTCTCAACAACAGTCTCAGCGAAGTGAACAAGAAGCCGTGCTTGAGGAGGAGATCAAAATGCTACAGAGCCAGCTTTCCGTAAAAGATCGGAAAACAAGGGATCTCGAAACCAGACTCCTCAAGGCCGATCAAGACCTCGAGGTCAAGCTTCACAACACACAAAAGGAACTTCAGTCATCGAAACTGAGGGAGCAGCACCTCAGCCGCGAGAACCGAGACATCAACCAACAGCTCTCGCAGCTATCAAAGACCTCTACGGACTATGAAGACCTGGTCAGGAAGAAGGAAAGCGACCTTGCCTTGCTACGGAGTGACAATAAACGATACGAGATGGAACGCCGCAGCTTCGAGGATCAAAAGGCCGCACTTGCGGACGAGAAACAAAAGGCGACAAATCGAATCCACGAAGTCCAAGCCGAGATTGCGGCCATGAAGTCTCAGCAGACTCAACTACATCGTGAGGCGGAAGACGCTCGAAATCTGCTGCAAGCCCGCTTATCGGAAGATGCTCAAGCCGGCCAGAACCGCAAGCTCCTAGAACAGCAGATCAAGGATCTCAAAGATGACCTGTATAAGACTCAGGTTGATCTCAGCCGTGAACGGCAGTCTCGAGATGACGTTCTCCTTCTGGGCGAGCACAAGTACCAGACGCTTAAGGATGAGTACGAGCGACTCAACGAGGCCAAGATCACCATCGAAAAGGAGCTTTATGTCCAGCAGGACACTTTGCGACGCACGATGGAGGCGCGTGCAACTGCGGAAGGAGAGCGGGACGAGGCCCGACAAGAGATTCGCCGTCTACGAGCCGCCAAAGCCCAGGCTGAAGAAGCAAGGATCGAGGCAGAGGTGTCAGGAGAGAAGACCGCCACTAAAATCGCCCGAGACCGGGAAGCGAGCCTTCGAAAAGATTTGGATGCTGCGCACGAGCGCCTTCACTGGTTCGAAGAGCAGTGCGCTGCCCTGAATCAAAAGGTTGAGGATCTGAACAAGCTCATTCTTGAGTCTGGTAACTTTGGACTGAAGAACGATCAAGCAAAGGATCGACTAGAGCGTGAGTTGGCGACGGTGAAGAGTCGTCTCGCCGCGTCCGAAAACGATAATCGAGCGCTCCTCAACAAGCTTCAGCACAAGGGGTTGGAAATTGCTCGGTCTACTTCTCGCGCCAACGAAGCCTCTCGCGCGCAGACCATGTCTCTGCAGCGGGAGAAGACCCGGCTAGAAGAGCAAAACTGCATGCTGCATAAACAGCTTGAAGACTCGCAATTAAACGTCGCTTCCCTGGAAAAGAAGATGGAGAAGCTTCAGCTTAACATGGAAGATCTCAACCATGAGGTTGCACGCGAAGCCAAGACGACCCGAAACGCGGAGAAGATGTCGTCTAACTTTACCGTCCAGCTTGCGGAAGCGAATAGAACCATTGAATCTGAGCGGCAACTCCGTAGCCAAGCCCAGAGCACAGTTCGCTCGCTTCAGGCCTCGCTCGATTCCCGGGATGGCGAACTGCAAGACCTCCGCGACCAGATGCTCACAATCTTGAAGACCCTTGATCCCGCGGCTAATATTCCGCCCCAAGCGAACGATGCGGGCTCGGAAAAGCACATGGCAAGACAATTTGACTTGATTCGTAAGATTGAGGAGCTTCAGCAGAATCTCCGAGTACAAACTGCCGCCCGGTCGAGCGCCGAGGCCCAGCTCGCGGATCTTCGCGCGGTACGCGCAAACGAATCCCCAACCCGGCCGAGGCTCGAGGAGATCCCGCTCAACGAGGTTCAATTTAATCGATCGCCTACTCAGCGGCACTCGAAACTGCATGCTCGCCACTATTCCAACACGTCCACGCCGACCCGGAAGCCCGTCCTTCATGAGCCTGACCACCAAGATTCCGCTCGGTCAGACCGCACAGCCGACATTATAAGCTTCAACAATCGCATGGATCTCAAGGCGGAAGTGGAGGAACTCCAAAACCAACTTCAGCTCGCGCAGATGCAAAACCGACACCTTCAGAGTCAGGTAGATCGCATGACACCTGGCCCCGACAGCGTCCTAGATCAAAGTCCTTCGCTCCGCCGGATGCAAAAGCTTGAGCAGGCCAATAGTCGTCTGCAGGAGATGTTGGATGATTCTGCGAAGAAGGTCTCGGCCCTAGAGCGAAGCATCCGCACGGGTGAGCTCTCGCTCCATGATTTGCGCACTCGGTCGCACGAGGAGATTCTCGACGCGCTTAACAGTCAGGAGGAATCACGGAAGGCGCTCATATCCAGCCATAAGGACGCTGTTGCTGAGCTCTCGGACATCAAGGCCCAATTTGAAAGCTGAGGCACGAGCGTGCCAAGGCAGAGGTTGAGCTACGCGACGTCAAGTCTGACCTAGAGGAGATGAGCCTAGCTAGGGAGCAAGAGGCGACGAGCCGAAGCCAGCTGCTTCAGGAGTTCGCTGATCTCCAGATTCGCCTGGACGCCGAGACGTCGAAGCTCGCGGATGTTAGCTCGAGCCTTAACCTCTACAAGGGCCGTGCCGACGAGTACTTCAACAAACTGGAGCAGGCAGAAATTGCCGTTCTCAAGGCTAGTCGGGCGGAGCAATTCGCCAAGGCCCAGGCCCAAGAGGCGGAGGACGCTTGCGCAGAAATTATGGCGGAGAGGACGAAGATGGACACGGCAATCGAAGATCTTCAGCGCCAGAGCCAAAAACTCGAAGAGAAGTACGAGGACGTTTCGACGGATCTCGACGCAGCCCTACAAGCCAAGAAGAGGCTTCAACACGAGCTGGAGGACTACCGGAACCAGCGCGCTATGGACATTGAGGACAAGGAATCGAGCATGGAGCAGACGCGCAAGAAGTACCAAGCCGAATTTGCCACGTTAACCAAGGAGCTTGATCTCGCTAGAGAAGAGAAGTTGTTCAAGCAGGCGGAGATCGTGCGGCTACGGGAAGAGTTGGATGACCTCAGATCCAAATGGGATGACGAAGTGCTCAACAGCTCGACCTGGTCCAAGGAAAAGTCGCGTCTCGAGGCAGCGCTATCCGACGTTGTTTCGTCGAGAGACGAGGCGGTCGACGCCCATAAAGAAGCCCAAGGCAAAATCGTTTCCCTACTCTCGCAGGTGCGCAACCTCCGCGCATCAGTCGACGACATCACAGCAGAGCGGGAGGGGCTTCTTAGGGAAAAGCGGAGCATCGAAGTACGCCTCGAGGAAGCCATGGCTGGGCTGGACGAGCTTACGAGGGGGAGAACCCATCACTTCGCAACGCGGCCAATATGGACAAGGAGCTCCTGGATTTGAAGTCCAAGCTTGCGCAACAAGAAGATATTGCGGCAGCTGCGGTGGAGAAGATGAGGCGATCAGAAGCCTTGTCCGGCGAAGTGCAGAAGGAGGCTCTAGTGGAGAGGGAGCTGAGCGCGCAGCTTCAAAAGGACAAGGCAGCGCTGGAGAAGGCTCTCAACGAGGTGCAGGTTAGGTTGGTAGACCTTGAAACCAAGGGCTACTCAAGCGCTAGCCAAGACATCAAATTCTTGCACAAGCGGATCCAAGAGGTAAGACAGCAATCATTTCCAAATTTTGTAGCATATCTTTGTTTTTTCTTTTTTTCTCTGGCTAACTTTGGATTCTTTTCAGCTCGAGAACCAGCTTGAGACACAGGAAGAAGAACGGTCCAAATCGCAGCGCTCGGTCCGCAACGTCGACCGAGTTGTCAAGGATCTTCAGACCCAGATTGAGCGCAAGGACAAGCAAAACACGCATCTGACCGAGGACATTGCACGGTTCCAAGAAAAGGTGACAAAGCTGCTCAAGACGATTGATGAGTTGCAGGCATCGGAATCCACCAGCCAGTTGTCGGCAAGGCGTGCGGAGAGAGAGCTGCGTGAAGAGCGTGAAAAGGGCCTCAGCCTCGAACGCGAGCTTGAAGGATGGAAGTCTCTTAGGATGGAGAAGGGTTCATCCATGGGAAGCATCGGTAGGGCTGGGAATTGAGGGCGTCGTTGGGTGTGACGTGCGAGGATGAAGATGAAGGGATGTCCAGCCTCGTGCAAGTGCCCAAACGCAAGTCGAGCATTAGTCGCGTGCCAAGCATGACGAAGGGTTTCTTATGAGCGGGGCTGAGGAGGAATCCCGCATCTACAGTTGATTAACGGTGTACTACCTTGGGGTCACGAGCGGTGTAGGAACTATGGGCATCGGCCGCTGGCCTCTTGAGGAGGCGAGCTATGGCGAAAGGGCGAGCATCGGAATCATGGTTTGCTTTTCGTACCACTTGGTGTTTTTTTTTTTGTCTTTCCTCTTTACCATTTTCTTTTCTTGGCCTTTTCTCTTTAAGGGAGAGGGGAGGGGAACGGGGGACAAAGGGACTCTGGACGGTTTGCATGGGTCATTGTGATGCGGCAGGAAATAAGGCTCATTCGTTGGTTTTTGTTTGGTCTGTATTATCGAAAGCGCAATCAGGATGGATCAGCATCACGGAGTCACGTATTTAATGAATATGCTGCATCAACTCGCTGCTTGCTCCCGTCTCGCCTCGTTCGCCGAGGCTACCCTGTCACTACCGTAACCACAGTCCCCGTAGCACCTAGTAAACAGGGGAGGGACGTCGAGTTTCGCCGGATAGCAGCAACTCGGCCAAGCAACAACTTGGCTGGCCAATGTCCGTGGAAGAGGCGACAAGTGGAGGAGATATGCACGTTGCCGAAGTTGTGGGAGAAGCCTCGAATGCGGCAGCAGGGCACTGTGGCCGCGGTCCTCCCCCTCCTTACCGAAGCTTAGATATATGAAGGTATGAGGCGCAGGAGGGCGGTGAGAATGTTTCTGTAGACCAAGAACTGGCACAGCATGGGGATCTTGGAGCCTGTTCCTTCTAATCTACCCTCCCTTTGAAATCCCCTGGCTTCTACTTGTGCGTGTCCCCTTTGGCTGTTTTGACCACGATGGGCGAGCTCGTTTTTCTCCCCGATCCAAGCATCGACTCTTTGTACGGTTCCGAGAGTTCCTTCTCCTCGGGGGCCTCAGAGAGCTGGCCCGAGGGTGAAGAAGAAGCCTTCGAAATGAGCTGCTCGAGCCGATATCGCGACGACTGCGAACCTGGTCCTTATGGGACGGGATGCCGGGACTACGACTACGACAGGCTCTATTGCGGATGCGGACTTGCGGCGAACCCCGCCTCTTGTGCTTTCGGGAGCCACAACGCCGGGATTCCGGGTTGCGGACATATGACTGCAAGCTCCCCCACTTCGGACCACCAGTGGCCCTCTCCATTCATCCTAAGCTGATATCTTGTGCTAACATGACTAGAGTATACCGTGTATCCAGCACGATCGCGATGTGGGGGAGCGTTCCAGGGCCTGCCAGAACAAATTTTACATTGGCCTCGACCCGCGTGAACACAGTGGCTGCTCTCACAGGGCGGCTGGCCGAGATAGGCTAGGGAGCTGCTGTTGCGAAAACTCGTCGAATTCCTGGAAGTGGTGGCGGCGCAAGAAGGGTAAGGCGAAGAAGAGGCGCAAGGGACGAAGCAGGGACAGAAACCACGTCCGAATCTCGTACGACCGCCGTGATGTTAGGGACTCTCATAGGGGTGCAAGATACCCTCGGACTCGGAGTCGAGCGGGTATGACGACGACTACGAAGGTGATGAGGACGAAGACGAGGACGAGCTCAGGTACAGGCGCGAGAGAGACAGGAGACGGAGTAGGAAGAGGGGGGCGGGATGGGGATGGGAGGGAGGAGAAGAGCTCGGCAGTCTACTGGTGGCTGGAGAGATGACGGCAAGGTTGAGGTAATGGGGGAATTAGGGGCCTAAGACGGTATCGAGAGCAGAACATAGATCGGACTCGCAAGAGAAAACTCGAGGTGGAGGCAATCGTTGGCGAGTCCGACTATTCGCCAAGGCCTGGGCTACGGGAGGAGGAAGGGGAGCGGGGAGAACGTTTCCACGAGAGGGACTCGGTGGTTGATGCGCTACGGGAGGAGGTTCGGAGACTCCGAGACCAGGTTCGAGAGCAGAGCGACGAACTCGGAGAGAGGATACGGAGCAGACATAGCATCTAACTCTGACGACGAGGGGTGGTAATAACATCTCCTTCGGGTACATCTATCTAATGGCAAGAAATGTTAAAGCTTCCGAAGTTGCATCAACAGTTTGATATCCACCTGTCAACGACAACTCTTTGCAGCCGGACGGAGAGGTTGCTACCACAAGGAGTTGATGACTACGAGCCAGTTTTCCTGTGGCTTCCTGCTCGCTCTGGCAACCTCCAGGATGGTCACGATGATAATGTAAGCGTCGAGGCACTCCTCCAGACCGCGCTGAGCCCGATTGCTCAAATGTCTGGATTCGGCAGCATGGTGTGAGAACAGTGAGAACAAGCCCAGAAAGCTTGCAGGAAGGGCGGGGTTCTCCTAGCACACGAGAAGAGCACGCGCTCATTGTCGGCTGCAAGCGTGCGTTGGCACCAGTCCAGGGCCGAGCCAAAAGGGGGCCACACCAAAAGCAGGAGCTACCCTCATTTTCGCAAGAGCGAGGCTGGCGAATGGATGCGAAGTGTATGCAGGGATCGATTTTCAGGGCTTCTATTGGCTCGGCCCTGAAATGTCGACAGCATGACGTATGAGGCAAGAGCGCTGAGCTTTTCATTGGCGCGCTCTCAAAAAAGTGCAGAATCACGTGGGGAAGAAGGCTCAAGGCTGCGCGCCAGGAAAAATTTCCTTTTCTGACAGCTCCGGATTTGGAAGCTAGATGGATTTATGAGAGAGAAGGATAGAGAGAGTGCGAGAACCAAAAAGGGGGACATTATCAACGTCGCGAAAGCCGACTACTCAATCTTAGAAAAATCGACTTCCCGAGAACATCCAAGTGACAGGAAAAGGCTCACCCGTCGATGAGACCGCGCACCGTCCCCAATGTCCAAACAATGGACCCGACACTTTCAATCAGCCGCGCGTAGGGCCTCCCACGCCGCGAACCCTCCTCCAGCTCCCAACCTCGCCGCCACCACCACCACCACCACCGCCGCCGCGAACCCTCCCGTCATCCACCCCTTCATCCCCCGCGCGACCTACGATGTCCCCGCTTCCATCCCGCGCTCCTACTATCTCGGCCACCACGCCGCCGGCCTTCGCGCCATCGCCACCCAGCTGTCCTCCATCGGCCTCGTCCTCGAGTGCCGCGACTTCCGCGTGCCCCTGACCTCGTGGAACCCCTTACTCGAGCGCACCCTCACCGGCCCGCGCCGCCTCGTCGTGTACACCAAGACCGACCTCGGTACCGACGAGGAAGGTGCAGGAGGCGGTGCCGCCGCGCGCACCAAGCGCGCCCTCAAGGAGCTTCACCGCACGCGGCCGGGCGAGAGCGCCGTCTTCATCGGCAAGGGCAAGAGCAAGACGGAGCTGCTGCGAGCCATTCGCGACATCGCCAGGGAGTACGACGCCCTGACGGGCTTGCGGACCTTTGTCGTCGGCATGCCCAACGTCGGCAAGAGCACCTTGCTGAACTCGCTGCGGCGGGAGGGCATGAAGACCAAGACCAAGGTCGCCATCACGGGCAACCACCCGGGCGTCACGCGCAAGCTGAGCACGCCCGTGCGCATCCTCGGCGGGAAAGATAACCCGGACGACTCCTCGGCGAGGGCGTCTTCATCGTCGACACCCCGGGCGTCTTTATGCCCTACGTCTCCTCGGGCGAAAATATGCTCAAGCTCGCCCTCGTCCACGGCATCAAGGACAACCTCGTGCCCCACGAGATCGTGGCCGACTACCTGCTGTACAGGCTCAACCTCGTCGACCCCGCCCTGTACGCAAAGTTCTCCGAGCCCACCAACGACGTGTCCCGCTTCCTCACCGGCGTCGCCAAGCGCACGGGCAAGCATGCCAAATCCCGCGTCGGCTTCGATATCCAGGCCGCCATGTGGATCATCGAGCAGTGGCGCAATGGCCATCTCGGCAGGTTCGTCCTCGACGACGTCACAACCGCAGCTATCGAGGAGAAAAAGGCCGAGCTCACCACGACGACTTTGAGCATGAATCAGGCCCGCAAGAGGGAAAAGGAAACGCGGAAGCAGAGGGCCGAGGAGAAGAGACGCGGAGGATGAGCGGCTTGACCTTTTTCTACCCCTTCTTCACATGATAGCGCTATGTGCGAAGGACCTGTACATTCCTATTTGTAACAATAAGAGCATTTGATACCACTCTTCTTCCATTCAAAAGAAAAACTAAAAGTTTTCGCTTTTTCGTACACTAAGCTTCTAAAAATGACAACAAAATCGCCCGGGTCCACCCGTTATTAGCCTCCCATGCCGAAGAAAAGAAAAAAAGAACAAGCTAGCGATGAAAAGAGAACAAGGGAAACTGGAGCAACCCGCCAGAGGCCCACGTTAGCACAAGAACAAGAAAAACACATAAAAAAACATCGACCATCCCAACCTTATCCCGCGAGAGATTTTGGAAAGAAAGCCAGCCCACCCTGGCGCCTGAGGATATCATAATGCGGCACAAACAAGAAACTGTGTAGACCAGGTAGTTTTTGGCCGCGCGTCGTCCCGCCTGTCCCCTAGGAACTGAATAGAATATAGGAGATTGTTAATAAACACGACGAAAAAGAAAAAAGAAATTGGTAAAGAACGCCCGAGGTGGGCTAGAAAGATGTGGGACAAGGCCGAGGATGTATAGAAAGGACGAGATCCTAGTAAGGGAAAGAAGACCAAGGACAAAAAGGGCAATCGCAAATGACTAACGGCCGCCTCCCGGTAGAAGGAACACCATTTTTCTCCATAGCAGCAGGGTAACCGTTCCAATACACTAGGTACTATCCGAGACCGCGAAAAGAGGACGAACAAAAGAAAGGATAAAAAAATGAATGCTCCCATGACGCCCACGCCAGATCCTCCGATATGGACAAAGAAGATAGAAAAGCAGCCGCGGGCGGCTTTGAGACTTGGCTTGGCGCCATTGTTTCTGCTGGAGGAGGGTGGTTCAGGCTGAATACCTGTTCTGCCATTTTACCAAGTCTCTTGTGAGGAGGTCCATCATCTCTACGCAGTTCATTTCTTTGAACGCCTTGGAGACGGAGTTTTGCGACGCTGGGGAACCCACGGCTCCCTCGGCCTTTCTCGCTGCGGGGTGGGGACTCCCGTTCGCCTGGGTCTGTGGCGTGCCGTTTCGACGGTCTTTGGGCGTATCGGCTCTTTCTGGCTTGAACTCTGGTTGATCTTCCGATGCGAGCTCTACCTGAGTCTTGGCGATGAAGTCTAGGAAGGCTGCCGAACGCCGTTTGAGCTCGTTCAAGGATATCTTACTGTGCGCACCGGTCCTAGATTTGGAGCTAACGCGTTCCGGCTTTTGCCCATTGTTGATGCTCGGCTCGTCGTGTTTTGGTGTATCTCTTGACATTGACCGCACAGGTGACCGGTCCGCTTCAACATCCCGATCCTTGGTGTATTGGTTGCGGCCCTTGGTCTTCTTATGGGTGCTCCTCACACCCTTTTATGTGAGCTATTCGGTGGCCCATTGGCCGGGGGTGGGGTATCAGGCGGCAACTGTACGGGGGCAGGGGCTCCACGCTTGGCTGTATCTCCATGGGCTTGATGCTCGCAGCACGGGTGGTCGCCAGTGGTACCTCATCTAGAGGATCTGAGTCAACGTCCGCTTGGGCATTGGGTTCTTTCTCTGGGCCAGTGGCCCCGGGGCCCTCGCCGCGCCTTCGGTCGGCCCTTCCTTTCCTCTTATTTGCCGCTTCTTGTCGTATCCTGTCTCGCTCCTCTCGCTCTGACCTCTCCTTTTGCGAGCGAGAACTACGTGACTGCTTCAAGGAGCCATTCCTCGTCAGGGCGCCGTCATCGGAATCGTCGTGAATCTCGTTTTTCGGTGGCGTGTCCGATGGAGGGGACGGGGACCGCGAGCTTGTCCGCTGTCTTTTAACGCTCGCAGGATTTCTGTCGTACAAATACCAGTTAGCCTCCTTTGCTCCTCACCGAATAGTATTCGTTTGGAAGGCGAAAAGAGGGGAAGATGGGGGAGAAGGAAAAAAAAGCTCACTCTTCACTGTCACTCCGGCCACGTTTGTTGCGTCTGACGGAGCCGCCGTCATCCTGTACGACAGCCAATTCCTTGCTGGCTTCGATGGCGCGGCGCAATTGCTCTTCTTCATCATACGCTGCCTCGCGGCTATTCATTGTAGATCGACGCTTTGAGTGAGAGGACGACGCACCCCTCTCACTTTTCGCTGTGCCATTCTTGGGCGAACGGCCACCCTCTTTGGCAACTGAGGCAGATCGGGAAGCTCGCGAGGTTCGATGGAGAGGAAGATAGGTCGAGTATCGTTGTCTGTAAAAAAAAAAAAAGATCATGGTTAGCGAGAGTGCCTAGGATGGGTAATGGATTGGTTCTAGGCAAATGGGCGTCGGGTGTAGGGTTTCTAGATCGTGCTAAGCCAGTCCCTGAGGGGAAGGCCAGCGGGGAAAAACAAGAAAAGAAAGGAAAAAACAAAAAGAAGGCAAAAAGGTGAAGATTGACAGCGAAAATCCCATCAATACGTACCCATTGGTAGCTTTATGGATTTTATGAAGGTCTTTTCGACATTTTTCGCAAAAATATTCATCGGGAGAGCTCTCCTCCGTCATGATGCCCACACAGGCTCCGTGCTGCCATACTTTGCAAATATCGCATTGCACGTAGAAGCCCGAGATATCGTCCGTAACATCGAGACCGGTGAATACTATAGAGTCTGCGTCTCTCGCAAGTTTCATCTCAGGGTCGAGAGGAGGCGGTCCTGGATAATCGTCGTACCCGCAGATACAACGGACCGCCTCGTCATCCTCCTGGATCTCATCGCTGGCGTTGACCATTTCTATAGAGTCACGTCTCGGTAGTTTATCTCGGTCGTCGTCGTAGGCGCGTCGACGCCGGCGTAGGATGTGCGGATCGTCGAGGTCCTCGGGGGCTCCGATGATAGGGATGCGCTTGGGGTAGATTTGCCGGATGAGGGCTTGTGTCCGGATCTCGTGTTTCGCTCGAGGCGACTAGAGGTCGTGGATGATGCCGAAGATGATTGTTGTGATTGTGAATTGGTTATACGTGCTCTTGAGGATCGTCTGGGAGATGGTGGTGCCATTGACGTGGAGTGGAGAGGGGAAGGGGAGAGGGAGAGGGAAGGGTGGAAGGAGGACGGGCGCGGACAGACACGTCGTCCGAAATCCTCAATGAAGATGCACGATCCCACTCGTCAGACACGATGGCAATGGCGGGAGGATAGAATTGAGTGCCGGCGAAGGGCTGTTTTTTCAGGGAGGAACTCGGTTGGCGGAGAGGAAGGGGGAGGGGGAAGGCGACAGGCTCGGATCACGTCTTGCGTTCTCCTCGAGGTGGGCGGGTTTGCGACAGGAGGAACAGCACGCTTCTAGGTTGGATGGGTGATGAACCAGAGCTTATCATGACTGGTGCAAAGAGAAGAAATGCACTCATGCCATGGATAGAGGAGGAGAAAGGTCGGCGTGAAGAGATTCGCGGTGGGTAAGTGGGAAAAAAGTGGTGCAGAGGGAGGAGGAGGGCGGGAGCGGGAGTAATGGTGGTGCTTCTCTCTCCAAGATGGGATGGGACCGATCAATCAATACTTTTCGGGAACCCCCAAAAGCGCTAGGCCCTCGCTCTGCTTGTGTGGTGGGCGGCTTCTCGGGGAGTAGAATGTAGAATGACTGGGGAGCTGGCTACAAGTGGTGCGGCGAAGCTTGGCACCGAGAAATGGTACTTCGGTACTTGGCTATGTTCGGAAGAAAATCATTAGTAACAGAACAGCAGTTTGAGGCACGGTGTTGCGTCGAGCAGCAGTGGGCTGCGGGCACCGAGCAGGAGCAGGGGCCCCACGGCCACTGGGGGACTCGACGGCCGCTGCTGGTGTATTAGTGGAGTGTAGTGCAGTGCAGTGCAGTGCCTGAGTGGTGCTCCAAGTAATTTAGCGCACTCTACATTTGACAGTTGGCGAGCCACACTAATTGGCACTGCGCTCGCAGATTGATCAACCCTGGATTGATTGCTGTGGAGTCCACCACCCAAGGTCACTTCCCTTTGAGTGACCTTTCCCGGTCTCCTATTGGCCTGCCACGGGTACCTGTGGCGGAGAAAGGTCGGCTCTACTCAGAGCTGGTCGCACTGTTCCGCAACACGGCACACACGCAAGAGTCTGAAGCACCCAGGGCCGAATTTATCGATAATATTCCTCTCCCGCTGTGTGAAAAGAGTCGTGGCCAGTGGGCGAATGGAAAATCCTCGCTCCCACACAATGTCTCTCCTGAGCTGGATCACTATTTGGCCAGATTATGTAACAGCTTCAAACAGTTGGACCTGGCTTGCCTGGGCAAATTCAACCCCAAATTGAACTCCTATCCTTGCAAGTACCTCCGTACCCAGGGCGGAACAGCAATAATTGCAGGAACCCAGATTCTGTTGGAGAGAACAGATTAGGAGGGTCCTCGTCATGAGCACACACCACCATACAACGACCTCTTGATACACCATTCTGTCCCTTGCCTCTCAAACGACTCGCTATCAACTGGCGTTTCGAGAATCCTTTGTGAGGTCTCTCTGGTCTTTCTTTCTTCGTTCTCTGCAAACGCTTGGCCCCTTCTCAGACAACAAACAGCTTGAGCTGTCGAATCTGCCACCTTTCGTACCCCAACTCCGTTCCGGAACACCAAACCCTGGCTGCTGCCTCCTGCCACTCTAGAGTAGGAGGTGCTAAATACCCAGCGCCCAGCGCCCAGCACCCAGCACCCCAGCAGCCAGCCCTTCAACTCCTTAACCTTCCACCAAGCTCGACGACGTTCATTCCAGTCCTGGCTCCATTCTGCAAATTTTCTCAACATTCGAGCCTCGGGCGTTTTGTCCAACAAAAACCACTTCCTCCTCCTCTACAATAGCCACGGTCAGTCCTTCGCTATCCCATTTCTTCGAAACCCGAATTTCGTGACCCATCGTCGCTGGAGCATTACTCATCCGATTCGGATGACTCCTGACCCTTCGCTTTCTGATACCCGACTATAGAGCCCCATCCGAGAACGCTCTAGGACACATGTCCCTGGGTTTAGTACTGAGTCGAAACTACGGAGCGTCTGTGAATCCATCGGAACGGCGCTCCCTGGCACCCTCAGCGTTGACCTGAATCCGTGCGATCAGTTCCGACTGTGGCGACATGCGTGACTATGGGTACGTCGACTTCTTCTTCCCCCACTCCCTAATATATCGTGGATCGGATATTCCATGACTAGACTATGGTCCTGGTCCTCAATATCCGGTTGCCCTTTTATTCCACCTATATTCTTGAGCCCTAACGATCAAGGAGACGTATCCTCACGCTAACCACTGCACCTTGACTCTAGCGTATGATCCAGATATGGCGGCTTCAACAGAAGCCCTTTCCTTCTCAAACCTATACCCCAACCGCCCCATACGCCCACTACCAAAGCGCCGATTACGGGAACGTCTCCCGCCGCAGGTTGCGGATTCGATCAAGTACCCTCCTTCGACTCGGGTCTCGTCCATCTTCTATCCAGCCTACCCCACGGAGATAGCTGAGGAGGAATACCGAAGAGAAGCTGCACCGCCTTCTCGTGACGATGGCAGCGTTACGTCGGGACATGACGGCATTCGACAATTTGTAGGGGCGGCCAGCAATGTTTCTTCTAACGGAACTCATTCTGTGGCTGGAGAGCATCAAGGCCCTAGGAGCGCAATAGTATCGAGGCCACCGCCAGATATACTGTCTAACCGAACTAACCTACGGCAGCCCACCCAACCGGATGATTCCCGTCATCAGAACTCTGTTCTTCCCTCCACCGATGTTTCAACCGACGGCTACGAGTCATACGAGAATACGAACAACAAGAAGAAGCGCAAGATACCCACTGCGGGGATTCTTCGCTCACCAGTTCTCACTCAACGTCTGACAGCGGCGCAGTTCCGATTTCAGCGAGCCTTGCTGCCGTACATATGCAGAACGATCTCATCAACTCGCAGTATGGAGCCTTGAACGCCTCGGCCGCTAACAACAAAGGAATCTCCGGAGCCGGACGGGGCATGTTTGGCCGAGTTCGAAACGGCAGAAGCCCTCTAAGGACGCTCTCTAATGCCAATAACTGGACGGACCGGGGTGCCAAACCTCGCCCTGGCCGTCAGTGGGGTCCCCCATCGGGTAAGTCTGCGTTTTTCTTTTCTGTTTTTTATTTTATTTTTCTCTCGTTGTGAAGCTCGTTAGTTACGATGTCCGGCTCTCTGTGTGCTCGCAGGAGCTTGGCGTTGCAAAGCCGGCCACTGCTGCGACTTGCCCACATTGGCCTGTTACCAAGCATTTGTCTCCACGGCGTCCTGAAACTGTCTCCTAGACTGGATGTTCTTCGAGCGATGCTAATATTTCCACCTACCAGTCGAGGCCCCAGTAAAAGGCATCATAACGTCTGCGATTGCAAAGGCAGGTAAAACCCGTGCTGACCAAGGTCAAGAAAACATCAGCTTGCTCCCGAACACTTCGGCGGCGCGACCTTCGCCCGCATCGACCCAGTTTACCTTCACATGCGAATCGCAAGTACCAGGCACATATAGGGGAGATGTAGGGTCCGGATTTCCGCCTCCCGGCTATATCTCGAGCACGAAATCATTGGGGTTGCACCACGGAATGCCCCTCCCCGCTGGCCATCACGACGACCTTCCGAGAGGTCCCGGCGCAGCGGCCGCAAGGCGGAAGAAGAACCGAAAGGCAATTGACAGAGAACTCGAGGAGCAAGCGAGACAGAGGAGGATCAAGACGCGAGAGAACCGGCGACGGAACCCGGTGCCCCTCGAAGAAGAGTGGGTGTGCGACTTTTGCATTTACGAAAGAATTTGGGGGAAACCTACTGCGCTTATTCGAACCTATGAGGAACGAGAGCGGCGGAACGCATCGCGGAGATGAACAAGAAACGGCGACTAGAGCAAGTCAAGGCTCGCAGCAGGAAGAACAAGAAGCAGCCGAAAAACACCAATGGCAAGGCTGGAGTCGGATCCGCAGCCAAGGCCCAGGATGTCGGTGAACACGATGTCCGAAGCGGGAGGCACGGCGATATCGGGTCTGAAGACGATGACGGTACATCTGAAGAGTATGCGGATGAGTCTTTTGACCCCTTGAGGACGTGGATGAAGGTGGACCTGCATTTTTTGACAATGATGCCCACCACGATGCTCGTCTTGCATACAACTATCAAGCGAGCAACGGAGGGGGCGGTCCTGGTGGGGAGCTAGGAGGGAGGGCGACCGGGGAGGGGGCTTCCAGGGTGGCCATGCTCCGAAGGACCGAGTAGAAGCGCAAGGGATTGCTGCAAAGTAGTATCGCCTACGCTCACCTGCCGCCGCGCCTTGGACGTCCCCATAGCTTCGAGGCTTCAAGTCTTCATGTTTATTTGTGGTACGGATGAGGCTCTTGGTTGCGTTGATGGCATTCAGGCCGAGGGGCCTTGGCGCGTAGACGGACTGCATCTTGCCTGGACATATTGTTTTTTTTCTTTTTCTTTTTAATCTACACTGTTTTATTCAACGATTGGCCTCAACTGACTGAACCGCTGGGTTTTCACCAGGGCGAGCTTCGGTTAGTCAGGTTGGGTGTCCGAGACTAGGATGTTTACTAGATCTACATTATCAAGTCTTGGGAGACCTCTTCTCTCTTCTCCATACCTACATGAGGAACGAATGCTTTGGGAGGCTCTGCATAATGTGCTGAAACGAAAGCACTTGAGGCGTGGCATAGCGTCGGTTTGGGAGGGACTGTGTACCCACTGCCCCCACTACCCTTGGGAGGATGACACACGCCCACTATTTCATCACGAACCGGAAAATTGGATGGTTGAGGATGGGCGAGGATAGGTGTGGGAGTGACGTAATGGGCAATTTTCCCTGAGCAATCATGGTGACAATCGATCGATGGACTTGTCATACACTCGTGGCCGGAGCGTTCTCCACATCACCCCTTAGCTTCGATGCGTCGGGGTATTTTCTAATATCGATCCACACAAGTTGGATAGCGGGAATTGCATTTGATCTCTTTGCGCGAAACAGGCCGGAGAGAGAAATAAGAGGCCTAGCACTGCCACATCACATCCTCAGAGAACACCTCGTCAGCTAACACGGTGGCCAACTGTCGTCCCGAGACACTGTTTGGGTTCCTCTCAGTTCATTTTCTCATTGTCACATTAGATAAGCGGACGTGGATCGGGCCATCAAGGGTAGTAGAAGAAGGAAGAAGAAGAAATCCAATCGCAGTGTTTGGGAGTTGACGCGCCCTCCCGCCCTTGGCTACATTTCTGAATCAATTGCGTGTCATTCACTTGTCCTCAGAAACGTGGTTGCCCGCCCGGTTTTGTCGGTTTCTGACCAGCAAACATCGGGTCTTGGGGGCTGTCCCCGAGCTAGTCGACGGTGGGCCATGCACTAATAACTTTAGGACGACACCACCTCGAGCAACCTGGGCAACCTGGGCAACCTGAGCAAGCATGAGCAGCATGAGCAGCATGAGCAGCATGAGCAACATGAGCAATATGAGCAACCTTGAGTAGTGGCTTTCTCCCCTCGGGTCGGGTGGAGAGGGTCAGGTCAGGCATTGGACGGGAGCTCTAGGTACAAGGTACCCACGCCGATGGGTCTGAGCCGTGGTCCACCCATCACCTCCACTGAGACAGATCAAATTCGGGAGATGAGGGATGAGGGTAGGTTTCATATTTGTAGCTGCTGGCTTCCCTCCGAGTTTGAAGCGCTTCGCCCTGCGAGGGGAGACGAGAGGGTTTGCATGAGATCGGAATGGCACCAGGATGCCATCAGAGTCGCTGGCAAGCCACCATTGGTCCTCCGCTCTGCCCTTTGCCAATCGGGAGATGGGGAGCCGTAGGTGACGATAGGCCGAGGAAGTTAGTGGGCGATGGGGATTCAAAAGTATCCCTAGATCGATGGATATTCCTTGTATTATTATGTGAGGACTCGCAGCCAGCGATGTTTTTGGGGTTCTTTTGGGGGATGGGGGAGCTCGGCCCTGCATCCTGCATCTGGGCAGAAAAGTAACATGTACCTGATACATGTTCTTGGTTTTTGGGGAGAAATCGTGCCCTTCCGTCATCAGGCATCGCCAACCAGTTTTCTGACTAACGAACCTAAACTCGGACGCAGCAGGATGGTGACGATCATCGACCCCCATTAGGCTCTCGTCATGCCTTTTGAAAAAATAAGTCCCCATTTCGCAAAGCCCCAGTCGATCTGCTCACATCGCCCTCCCGTCGCTTCTTTAGTTTACCTCTATTTAAATCTCTTCGCCCCCCTCCGCCCCAAGCCGCAACGCCGCATGTACATTTGCTTTTGGTCCTTCTTTTCGCCGTTCCTTCTTTTCAACCTTATGACATCGTCTACTCGCCCTTGTCTGCCCGGCCTAGCGCCTTGACAGTTCGTAAAAGGAATCCAAGATGTTTCGGTCTCGGAGACACCGCTCCTCACATCAGGTAGGTTCATCTCCATGCTGCATCGAATAGCGCTAGACGGAGCGACCCTGGAAACCCACCAGTCCTCTGCTTCGTCAAAAGAAGAAGAAAAAACACCTTTTCTCTCTTCAAGAGAAGCGCAAACAAAGTGAAATTAGGCGACTAACATGAAGGGTTAATCCGAACATAGCCTTTGGCTGGAGGTCCTACCGATCCGGACGCCGCATCCGCGGCGGCATCCGCTTTTAATCACCAGACCTCGTCGAATAGCCTATCTTCTGCAGCGGCAGCCGCGGCTCTTCGCAACCGCCCCATGACACCCACAAACGTTGCAGACGTTCAGACGAAACGGACATTGCGCCGCAGCGCTTCCCTCACCTCTTCATTGAGCCGCGACAGCCGCGCCGCGATGAAGAGGTCTCCAAGCACGAATTCCATGTCCGAAAGAACCCTGCGATCCCCTCCCCCACCGGACGACCGCCACAAACACTCCCGACGACGCGCCTCCGGTGCCCTCAATCCCCACTCATGTCGCGAAATCCCATATCCAGCATGCAAGTCCCACGAGGATGAGGAATCGCGCGTCCAGCCTGCGCACCCAACCATTAAAACTTGGAAGCGAGGTGTTGAGAGAAGGTCGCGCCTCATGGTTCGGCCCTCCCGCCTCGGATCCTTCGGCCACGATGCGCACATCTGATGCAGCCATCAATACACCCCCACGGCCGACTAGCGCCTCTTCTTCGATCAACTTTTCCTACCCGCGGTCTTTGAGGATTTCATCCTCTGACCTCGGCACTACCTCTGCTACGCGATCCATGGACCAGCAGCAACTCTCATCCACAGGTTCCGGAAATGCCGTTGTGTTTGACCCCAACACCCGGCGCATGGTAACCAAGTCGGTGCTTGTGGCGCGCGAAAACAGCTATAGGGAGCCCAGCCGAAGCGCCTCCAAGAAGAAGAAGAAGAAGCAGGATAAGAAGAAGCAGGAGCGGGTTCCCCGCCATCTCCGACCCTGGTCCCGACCCCGGATGCGGCAGACGAGTTCTACCTGCCTCCTCCTATCGAGGACGTCAACAAGACAGCCTCCACTGGCCTTGTCTCAGACGCGCCCGAGCTAGTGACGGGAAATATGTATGAGGATATGGGGGCTGAGATACACGTGGAGCCGGAAGCAAACCTCCCTCACCCTTCCACGACTGGTGATCATGGCCTCCAGGTTGATGATCACGTCACAACTGGTGTTGGAAGTGAGGGCATGAGTGCCACCCTCTTCCCACATAGCGACACAACTGCGGAAGACCAACATCGAATGTCACCCCCACAGAATTCGCAACCGTACGAAATCGGCGCCGGCATGGTCACTCGCGAGGAGCCCTCAGCAGTCTCATATGCCTTACCCTCTAGAATGACCGCATACCATCGTATAGAGTCTCCAATCGAACTCCCGAGCGGCGACCGACAGCTGAAACCCCCTTCTCCCGAGATTCTGGGTGTCCCAGTGCGGCACTCACCTCCTGCACGATCAGCTTCTCCTATCAAGCCGGCTCTCAAACAGTCGACTAGCCCCAACCGAGGTTCCAATCTTTCTGATTATGGCTCGGAGCTTTCCTATGACCAAGGTGCTCAATCGGATCAAGGGCTTAGCCGCAAGAAGTCTGTCAGGGTCAGCTTCGATGATAGAAACACCGTCGTGGTCGGCGAGGGAGCCCCTCCCGTCGAGGAGCCTGAATCCCCAGTGCTTTCGCCGCCCCAATCTACCCGCAAACACTGGTATAGTTTTGGGCGAAGGAGAGAGGACCAATCATCCACCGAGGATGCCGATGATTCCGAAGTGATGAAGCCAAGACCTCCGCTCCCCCACTTTGGAAGTGTCCGGGATAAGAAATTCCGGGATCATGAGGAGCGGCCCCTTGTACGCCCCGCTCTATCGGCATCCCACACACCTCATTCTGGCGCGGCCCCTACACTCCCTACGATCCCCAGTGTCTCCGACCTGAAGAATAATACAGATTTCTCCAACGATCATGTGATTGGTTCGTTATTAGCTAGCGAGATGGAGAAGAAGCACGAGGCCAACACCTCTCGCCTCCGTGAGCCTCTACCTCCCGAGGTCACCTCTGTTGAGGGCGATGGGTTTATGAGCGACGGCAGTAGCACCAGCAGCCTCAGGAGTTCGGAGGATGAAGACGTAGGCGATGACAGCGCGGATGAAGATCATTCGCACCGTCTCTCGCAGGCTGCCGGTGTAACCCTCGTCCCAGAACCCCCAGAACTTATGCAAACGGCTCCACCCATATGGGCAACGGGGCTGTTACGTCTACGAATGGATCAGCCGCTCCGAAATCAGACAGCCCAATCTCAAGGGAGGCAGCTGTTGGCTCCAGGGACATTGCCCCGCAGGTTGTACCCGAGATCGCCATCTCATACCCAAGCCCCCAACCTCAGGCAGAGATCAACTCGCCCTTCCTCGCCCCACGTCGAGCTCTGAGCACGACGTATTTTTCGACATCCCCGGCACCTTCCCCGACGAAGACGACAGCTCTTCTACCACCACCCAAAAACAGGCGGCCCCGCTAGCGCGTTGCTGGTCCCTCCCCCAACCCATCGGAGGAGTCCGAGGATCCCAGTATCTACAGCGATGCCTACGAAGATTTGTCGGATATCGAGGGCGATGGCTTCATGTCCTTGGATGCCGTCGTTCAGAGCCCTATTCAGGCAGACCTCCCACCGCAATTGACCAACATTGAGCAATCTCAAACGAATGCTTGGCAGGCGAATGACCTCTCAAGAGTAGTGACCCAGACTCATACTCTGAGCCCGCCTATACCTGTAGCCGCTGTTTCCACGCCGGCCCCCTCGTCACACCCGCAAAGCGGCCAAGATGTGAACTGGGAGCACGCCAAGGCCTATTGGAGAGGCTTGACCTCGGAAAAGCGCCGCCAACTTGAGGAGGAGGTCCTGTCGGAAGCTGGAGAAGACGCAGACCTAGATGACACGGTGACGACTAAAAAGCCCAAGAAGAAGAAGAGCCTTCCAGAGCAGCGGGTAAATACAACATCCCCGTAAATATAGCATCCCCGCAATGGAAAAGCGCGACGAGGAGTCGCCCAGCGGGGACCACAGGCGCACGTACCAGATTGTGCCGGGAACAAAGGTTGTAGACACTCGCAACGTTCCTGTCCTACGCTCGTCGATGCGCTCCTCCCTTCGCTCGTCAAGTGCGCCGCAATCCGCCGCTTTCGGCGAGAACGGTTCGGCGGGATCCAAGCCTCACAAGACGGTGCGTGTTATTGCAGAGCCGGAGACTCCTCGCGTGGGATTCCGCAAGACGATGCGCTCAAACAATATTGGGCGGATTCCGGAGGACGAGGAGACCAACCGCTATAGCTTGAGAAGCCAACGGCCCGTTTCCGTTCAGTCCACAGCCGGCAGCCTTCGCAGTGGCAATCAGCGTAAGCCGGGCCACACAACGAGGCTAACGGCCTCACTAGACGAGGACATGCCATCACATCACCCTGGCAATTGGTCGCAAATTCAACCTCAACGCCGCGGCTCCATGGATAGCGACAGCAGCTTCAGGAGAAGCTCTCGACCACGACAGGCCGAAGGCGTTGCATTCCGCAAGTCAATGCGCTCCAACGGCGCTGCCGAAGCCCCTGCCGCAAACGGACGTCCCGATTCACGGAGGGCCAATGGGTTCCGCGCTAGTCAGGGCGAGCCAGAGACGCGGACTCTCCGGTCCCCGGTCGGACCCGAGACCAAGCCGCGGATGACTTTGCGCCGGGATTCGAGTGACGGAAGCATACGCTCTGCATCGCACCGTTTCCACCTCCCTTCCTTTGGCAGGTCTTCCCGAAACAGCAAGTCTTCAAGCAGGCTAGACTACTCGAGCGACGAAGATGACCAGTCCGTCACGCTGCCCCCTGTGAGGGCCAAGCCCGAGCGAGCCAGCAGCGACAGCTGGGTCAGCCGTCGATTTTCGGGCTCGTCCAAACCCGTCAGTAACACCAAGCCGCTTGCTTCCGCCTCTGCGGCCGCCTCCGCCGCAAAGGGCCGGCCTCTTTCGCGAGGCACGCTGAGGGAGCCCGTAGAGGAGGTCTCGGAGGAGCTGTCCGACAGCACCGACGAGGATCCGTACATTCCCCGCGCAAGGAGTCCGCCTTGCCGTCCACCGCAAACGCTCACGCCAATGGCAACGGCAACGGCAACGGCAACGGCAAGCTTTTGGCCATGGGCGAGCCGGCAAACGGCAGCTTGCGACGGTCTCGCTCCGGCCGCGGATCCATCGCCACCTCGTACACCGAGTCCGCGAACGGCGCCCCGGTCAAGGCCGACAACACCCACAAGCACGGCCTCATGGCGGCCCTCCGGCGCAAGAAGGCGGAACCCGCCGGACGCATCAACCGGCCGCAGCGCACGGACAGCGCCGCGCGCCGCGACACGAAACTCGAGAGGAGCACCTCGAGCTCGAGGCCCTCCGGTCCAACAACACCACGCCACGCCCGCAGCCGCAGCCAAAGACAAACGCGCTGGGCACCCGGTCGCTCCGGGAGACGCAGTCGGCGACCTTTCACCGCCCGGCCGCCCGTTTCGGCGCGGACGAGGACAGCGACTCCGTCTCCACGCCCCTCGAGGGCGAGGAATCCCCGTCGAGGCCGTCAACGGCGCCGCCTCTTCCCGCTATCTGCGAAAGAAGCAGCCTGTTGGCCGTGTTCCGGAGGAAGGTGCGCTTTCTACCGCTGTCGAACCAAGGAAGAAGAAGAAGTTCATGGCCCTCAGGCGCATGTTTGGCATCGACGACTAGATGCCGTGATGCCCGCATAATTCTTCTCGTTCATTCTCCCGCATATACGCGTCAATCTCCCTTCTACACGCTCCCTCTCCCTTAATCAAAGTAGCCCCCTCCTATCTCACCACGCGTGTTACAGGGGCCAGCCCTGTTGTCACGCATATAAAGTCCTCGGGCATGTTGCATTACACATTCAGTAGTTCCGAGACTGGTAACATCTCTGTACAACGTACATCCATTTTTTATTTGTCTTTTTATTTATCTATGTTGTGTGCTCACCATGGACTCGCCTCCTGGAGCTCTTTTCTCCCTCCTTACTACACTTTTTCTTCGCTATTCTCTTCCCTATGTATCAAGAACGGTTCAGGAAACGGGGGACCGAGGTTGGAAATTCACGCATATCATACTAGATGGAACGGGAAATTTGACTTGGTAAAAGGATCAAGCGAATTGTACCTTATTTGATACCTCTCGGGGTCGTAATGGATATTCTTTTTAGACCTAGGAAACCGCACGGCGAATTCAAGTCGGCCTCTCTTTTTTACATCATCATCTTCTCGTGATGCGCACCGGTATCACCTGCGCCCACCCTCTACTATATAACTTGGCTTGCCACTTAGAGGTTGGGCTTATTACTGCCATCTAGTCAAAGGTGCTTGCCAAAAACTTGAGCACGGTCTCGTAACCCCTCTTGTATTCCTCGGCAACCCTCTCATCCTTGAGGTTGGAACGGGCAGCCATCCAACCGTGGATCTGGTCACCAAAAGTCTCGATATGCTTGTCGACCTTGAGGCCCTCGTCGAACTTGGTCACGTCGTCGGCACTCTCATCCTGGGAAGCGAGCACGCAGATGGGCACGTCGATCTTGGGGGCATCGGCAGGGTCGAGGAAGGCAGGGTGGGCTGTAGCAGCGGCCTGGAAGGGATGGCTTCCGGAGGAAGTGACGAGAGTGGTGACCTTGCCACCCCAGCAAAACTACAATTCAAGCAGCTATGATGAGCAACATATCGGATACATGGAAACGAGACCGCCGGGCGGGCGGGGCGGCGGGGAGGAAAGGACTTACGCCAAGGATGCCCCAGCTCTTGATGTTGGGATACTTTTGCTTCAAGGCCTCTACGTAGCCAGGGACCTTGGGGGCGGCCTCGTTGAAGCCGTTCTTTCCGAACCAGGCGCCGAGCTTTTCCTTTTGCTCGTCAGTCTGGGGAGGATACCTGTTTGGCGAAGATGGCGTGTCGCACGAGTCAGTGGTGGCTTGTTCTCAACTCTCCCACTAGTTGGGCAATGGTGGGAAACTGACCAGGAGATATCGGCAGGGGTGCCCTTGAACCAGTCTGGGATAAAGACGCGGTACTTTTGCTTGTCAGAAGTGGCAAGGATATCGGCACCCTGAATGGTCTGGGGGAAATAGCCAAAGATGTCGTAGATGACCACAATTCCCTTCTCTGCGGAGTCGGGACCGGTGGTATCTAATCACTTGGTCAGCGAAGACAGCACCATGGGACCAAGATCGTATATTCAAAGCCCTCTTCAACTAATATAATGCCTTGAATTGGAAGACCAAATCCCTCGCGCAAGGACGGAACGGGGTCTAGGGACAGCGTACAAGTCTTATATCCGCCGAGCTCCTCATAGGTTCCCTTCTCCTCGTAACCTGTGGCAACTACGGGGGAATGCTGCAGCAAGCAGCGCTGGGGTGGCTGGCGGGGGAAGGAAGACATGGTCAATGAAAATAAGCTTGTTTGAATCGCGAAGTTCAATTGGGAACGAGGTTGACGATGGGTGTTCAAGATTTGGTGAAGTGGGAAGGAGTAAAGAAAGACACGAAAATCAAATGGGCTGCGCAGAAGAAATGATGACGGATATTACAAGGGTCTGGAAGACGAGCAGTAGTACACAAGCGCGACGACGCGGGCCTGACGACAGGAGCCAGTGGAAGGAGGATAGCTCGAGTCCTCCATGGAACAAGAGTGCGCAAATCCCAAAGGCCTCGGGAGGTGCGGTGCGGGGTAGTTTGTTCAATGTTTGCCGTGCCTATGACGAATGAGGGGCAGGTGCGAGTTTAGACTGGAGCCAAAGCTTCTCTGTGGGGCAGAGCTCGCTGGAACCTGGAAGCTCCCAAACGCTTCGCGGGCACTGCAAGTAACACGCTTCGGAAAGAAATCAATAGGGGATGGAGGACCTCGGCGATGGACTTGATGGATTGACGTTGCGACTACAAAAAATAATGGTGCCATACCTTTTGTTCCAGAGGCTTTGCCCTCTGCTCTTTCCTTTAGCTTCAAACGTTGTACAAGGATGTAGGCCGTAGGGTTCTCCTTCCCCTTCAACCGGCGTCTCCCGCTTACATGTACAGACAGGAGATGATGATCGCATAGCCGGCAACACCCATGATATGTTCTTGGTGATCATGACTATCACCAAATATATATATCGATGGGACGGGCCGTCAGCATCCAGGAGTGACGCGGAGATTGCTCTCACACACACACGCTCACACACATTCAAACACACGCACGCACTTCGTACACACCCTTCGTACACACACTGACACACACACTGACACACACACTAGCACACACACTGCACACACGCACCACGCACGCATATACATGCACCCACATGGCGATGAAGAGTTTTTGAAATTGATGCCACCTCCAAAACACACCCTCCCTGACCGAAACTGGGACTTACAGAGCCGGGGCCTTGGTGTAGCTATTCAAGCCATTCAGGCATTTGGCTGCATAGTTACCATTTTCTAGGCCCCAGTGAGTGGTACGAAGGGTTATCAATATTTTCTCAATCTAGATCAATCTGAACTAGACACCTCCAGGGCTCCATGGACCCGTAGCTCACTGAATCCCATGGACGTCAGTAAAAAGCACACTTTTCTCGACCCACACTATGCTCCTTACCCCTCCCATCCAGCCATTCAAAACCCCAAACATGAAAGATTGAAAAAAACAAAAAAAAAGAAAAAAAAAGAAAAATAGAAAACCCGTCACTGACGTTGAGAGGTGTGGGTTCGGTGTGGTATCCATTACATTACACACACACACACACCCATAACCCTCCCCTCCTCCCACCCTCGGCTATCCCTCGTACAGATTCCAAGACCAATACATCCCCTTTCTCCCCCTCGCACCCTTCTTATTCCGAACTTACACCTCGGCCTCGGGAAATCTTGCTTTGATAACCCCGCGTTCGGTTTTGCCCCCGTGCTCCGTACTCCGTACTTCGTGCCTAACGGCCCCGAACTCCGTGCTTCCTGCTAAAATACTACCCATGGATCCCGTCGCCAACCCCAACGCCCCACCCTCCAGGGCAATGCGGTTGTGGCCGCCGACCTCCAATCCGGCGTTGGTCCATCTCCGACCTTGCCCATCTTTACGCTCAATGGCCGCGTTGTGATCGTTACCGGCGGTGCCAGTGGCCTTGGGCTCGTCATGAGCAAGGCCATCGTCGAGTCCGGCGCTAACCTCGCTATCGTTGATATCAATAGTTGAGTCGGCTTCCCACTCCCTTTTGCGTTCACTTCCGCTTCAGCCTTTCCCCGCCCCATTTTGCTTGGTGCCCTCCGTTATGCTGCTCTTCGTCTCGAGAATTGTAATGATACCAGGCTGCTCTTAAATAGGGCTGGTCCCAAAGCCCCTTCCATATTTTCCATCATCAGCCTTCCTGGATGCTTCAAAATAGAGCTACATCTTTCGCTAGAACGTTACTGACAGCACCTATGTCTTCTCGCAATCAAAAGGAGATCAAGCTGCCATCCAAGCAGTGAATCTGACCGAAGTCTTTAAGGCTCAGCATTCTTCAAGGTATGCCCTCAAACGAAAGGGAAAAAAGAGAAAGAGAAAGAGAGCGGATGGGCTTTCTGCCCTCGTTCGTTTTCTTACCAGCTTTGCTCTTACCCAGTCTTTTATCACTATTCTGGCCTCCACTGATCACCGATTAGGCCGCCTCCTCTCATCACGGCCCACTACGCCGACGTCTCCGACCCTGCCTCCGTATCATCTTGCGTTGCCGACGTTGTGGCCCGCCACGGCAAGGTTGACTCCCTCGTCACTTCGGCAGGTTTTACCGAGAACTGGCCCGCCACAGAGTACCCTGTCGACCGTATGCGTCGCCTCTGGGCCGTCAACGTCGACGGTACCCACCTCTTTGCCGTCGAGGTCGCTCGTCACCTCATGGCGAGGAAGGTCGGGGAAGCATGGTCTTCATTGGCAGCATGTCAGGCGCCATCGTCAACATTCCTCAGCCCCAGACGTAAGTCTTTGAAGAGAACAAGGGCAAAAGAAGCGAACCTCAACCCCTTACGCCCCTTTCTCCCCATCTTGCCCTTGTGATGTATACACAAGTCTGGAATGTAGTGGATCTCCATCGCTGACCGCCCTAGCCCGTATAATGTATCCAAGGCCGCCGTACGGCACTTGGCCTCCTCCTCGCGGTTGAATGGGCCACTGCGGGTATTCGCGTCAACTGCATTTCGCCAGGCTACATGCTTACGGCCCTGTAAGTCACTTAAACGATCAAGCGAGACTTCGTATCCGCGATCACTCTATTCCTTTTCCTTTTTCTCTCCCTGCCAATCTCTCCCTCGAGTCTTGTAGCCAGATGACTGGAACTGGAGAGCGGTGTCCTAAGAACATCTCTGTCATCCCTGTCTAACATGCTCACAATTAGGACGGAAAAATCCTCGAGGAGCGCCCGGATCTCAAGGAAAAGTGGATCGGCGGCATCCCCATGGGCCGTATGGGCAATCCGCAAGACCTCATGGGCCCGGTAACCTTCCTCCTCTCCGATGCGTCTCGATACGTCACCGGCGCTGATCTTAGGGTCGATGGCGGTTATACCGCGATATAAGCAAAAAGGTTGTCGATGGTGGATTCAAAAGCTCGATTTAGGTATATACGCGCACATATCTATGGCTATATATGGATGTATAGATATATAATCTTACGAGCAACCCATCTCGCCTCAAGCGGTCTGCTCCTAAACGCGCTTCTTGCTCCCGTGCTCATCTCGCCCTAGCTAGTTTCGTCGCAGCCATCGGGGCAGAGGTGCGCCCGTGCGCATACGACAGCGAAGTAGATATTTGCACTAATCTAGATGTTGCATGAAGCCGCAGTCGCGTGATCTCACCTTCTCTTCCACAACCTCGTCGGGCAGGGCGGGGAAGGCGATATCACCTTGTTCCCTTGGAGGAGATGATGTCGTCTTTGGGAAAAGGTATAGACATACCGTCCTATCATCTTGCATCGCTTTGAGTTTGGTTTTAACTGCACTCACTAATCTACAGGTGGGAGCAAGGAGGGTGAAAAATTCCTCTGACGCATCGGACAAGGGCAGGAGGCATTCGCTAGTAGCAATAAAACGTTCATCCGCCTTCCTCTGGGCGTCGTCTTGGGGAAGTAGCGCCACTTGACCCAACCTTCTTCTTCCAGTTCTTCATTCCGGATAAACCCCCACGTTTGACCTCTGGCTCACCCACTGAACAGGGCGGCGCTGTGCCCCGTTAGGCAGGTCTGGAGGTCTTTGTCTCGTCTCGGGTGAAAAACTAGGAGTGGGGACATAGAGGCACAGGCAAATGCGAAAAGTAAAAGAGAAAAAAGAAAAGCAAGCGAAGAAGAATCGTAATGAGTTGATTAGTTTCGATCATACTATTCTTCCCGCATATTTCGGCGATGAAGCGCGCACGTTCAACCCTGTCCCGAGTTCATCCCCACTCGCCATCCCACGCGCGGTTTTCTCACCGGCCGCAAGAAATGGCGAGGAACGTCATGGCTCAGGGGAGGGGAGACAGGAGTGTGGGGGACAGAAGCCAAAAGTCTTGCGTTGTGGAGAAGGGCTGGCGCGGCCGGCGTGGCGGGCGGCCGTGGCGGCGGCGGTGGATGGAGTGGGCTTGTCCGGGGGAGGGTTCGAGGTGGGAGAATGAAATAGCCCTGGATCCCTCGATGACACCGTCTGACGGGCGAATAAATGCCCGGCGGGGTGGGCAGCCCAGCGCTATGCCCTCGTTCATCGCAACCCTCTGCGCTCTCTTCCAGGTCAATGGGGGTTCAGAGCCGAGCCCGAATTGGGGGACTGAGACCCTGTTCGTTTCAGCCCTGATGTCTTCACCGAGATGCCGAGCGCATCTCAACCCCCGACGAAAGGGATCATGACCCTCGGCGGTGGAGAAGGTTGGAGCGAGCCAGGGTTTCGACACCGAGAGTCTCTTTTCTTCTTTTTTTTCTTCTCGTTTTTTCGGCTTCTACTTGTACCTTTGTGTGTCTACTACCTAATATCTTCCTGCCCGATTCTCTCTCCTCCTTTTGCACCCCTGTTCTCCTTCCTTTTTTCTCTTGTACTTGCTCCGAGGGTCGGGAACACGGGGAGGCAATGTCGTGCTCTCTCGGAAGACATGGACACTCTTGACTCCGTCCTCTCCCCAAGCCCAAGGCTTGCTCCTTCCTTTTCCCCACCCCCGCCATTCCTTTTTCTTTTTTTTTCTCCTTCTTGCTGACGCAGTTCTGCTTTTTCCTTTATTTTCCTTTGCTTACTTGTTAGATTGCTTCGCGAAGGATTCGCCCTGCCTGCACATATGTATTCGAAAAGGGATGCCTTCGCATTAGGTTGAGATGATGCACGAGGCATCAATCAGTGGACGTCGAGCTATCCATGGTGGATGAATGCGTGCCCAAAGTTTTCAACACCACCTCCTCCAAGTCCATCTCCAACCCTATTAAAAGTGTACAGGCACAAGGCGCAAGGGGAAGGAGGGTGGGGAATGGCTACCCGCTCGACACATTTATTTTTCTCTTTTCATTTAATTTTCCTCCCCCTACCGCCAGTCTCTTCTCTCATGATGTGGCCATGCATCTGCCTCACCGACTTGCTCAGATGGCCGTTGGGCCCCGATATCTCCCGTAGGGAAATGGTGGGAAAAAGGGGCCGTTCACCTGTATATCATACGATTGACCTCGGCAGGGGGCTCACCGTCTTCGCTTGATATTTCGCAAAACTGGCCGACGGTGGGCGAGAAGAATGAAGCACCCTTCCTCTTTTGCTTCTCTGCCTTTGCCTTGGCTGCTTCGGCGCTTTCCCGTTCAAGCAGCTCCATTGCTGACCTCGTTGGGTTGCTTACTGTTAGCTTTGCGCGCCTTACGAGCCACATGTCCAAGATAGGTCAGGATTCCCGACATTGGGTTCAATGGCAGCTCAGGGTCATTAATGACACCCGTGTGTCAATGGGAACTTTTCTCTTCTTCTAGAGCGACTTGAAAATGGCGGGTAGATCTATCCATGGATCCATGTCTTTGTCGGGCAAAACTACGTTTATGATAACGAAACTTGGGAAGAAGCAACTAACAAGGTTCGGCCTGTCGGGTAGTTTTGCGCCGAGGACCCATACGATGGAGATTGTTAATGTGAGCTGCGGTGAACAGGAGGAGGAGAAGGAACCCCCACCTAGTTACAAGTGCAAAAGAAGGGAGAGATGGAGCATATTACATGCACCCATCCTTTGGAAGAGTCTTTCCTGACGAGGCAGGGCTAGACGAGGGGTTTTTTTCTTCTTTTTTTCACTCCAACGGAGAGGTGGGGGTGGTTAGGAGCCTCTGAGAATTAGTTGTCAAGGTCGTGGATGGCTCATGGATTCCATTAATTATCGCATTACAGGAGCAACCTTTTCGCGAAACAGGTCTAGTTTGTATTATGGGGAAGAACGCGGGAGGGTCGAAGGCAACGGGCGGGTTGAGCTTGCCCTAAAACAGGGTGCATTGTCCAAAAGAAGCCCCAATCGCCTCCACGGGCCAATATGATAGGCCCGGAGCTAGCCCCGGTGAGGCGAACATCACCAAACACCGCATCGACTTTTCGTGCTTCAAGAGGGTTCAAGTTTTTCTTCCTTTTTCTTTGGTTCCTCGAAGGAAGCTGGCTACTCCAAACAGAGCCCCCTCTCGCACCCTCCTCCCAAAAAACCCACCTTTCCTCAAGTTAGGCCCCCTCTTTCTCAAACATTGAACCCTTTTTCTTCTCTTCTCTCCATTCCCATCTCTTATTTTCTTTCACTTTTTCTTTTGTTACTCTCAGTGCTGCCAAGTCGGACTCCCTACAGGCTGCGGTTTAGCTCCCGCATCCGCGATATGAGTCTGCATTTTACGAGTGTTGTACACGTTTTGTTGAGATGTTGGCAAGGGAGACTTGTAACCTCAAAAGGCCCATGACACTTCTTTTCTTCAAACTTGTATGAGAATGGACCGCCTGAAAAGGGGGATCCGTTTTTATATGGAAGGAGCTGGTAGGTTGATCGAGGTGGACCTCTTTTGCCCTTCAAGACAAGGGGTTAATACCCTCTGGGAGGAGTCAGCGGGTGTTAGTCCGCTGGCCGATCAACCCCATGGGTGCTCATTTTGCCAGCGGCAACCTTCACTGTTCGTTCTGTTTACCAGTTGGCCTCCATGTCCTACAAACAAGACATCATGTGAAGTATCAATGATAACAAGACGTTTTCGATCTTCCCCTAGGCCCTTTGAGTTGGAATTTTCTTGAGTAATGGACTCATCCACGAGCGAATGAAACTGTTAGGATGGCCGTTGATCCATTCTCGATTTCATCAGCCTGCACAACTAGCCACTTACACTGCGAGAGTTATTAGTGATTGAGCGGTATCGATCAGTTAATATGTAGCACTCAGCGTCTCCTCGCCATTGAAGGTGGAGGTGGGAGGGGAGTGATACTTCCATGTTCAGTGTTCCACTCGCTGGCTGCATGCGGGAAATGGGACCATTACCAACCAGGCTCTGCCGGAGACAGAACGCTTCTGGAATACCCACCCAAGGCACGCCTGTGGGGAATAGACTTCTCAATGAGCCCTTTCCGGCCCCAAGCAGAGCTTAGCTCAAAGGGAGGTCCCATTGGTTCCGAGTCAAGTCATGGGATCCTTGTCTCCCAGGGCCTTCCCAAGGAAACGAGCCATTTGCACAACGAAAGACAAGCATCGGATTCCTATTAGGCTGCCACTCCAGTCCGCCGTTTCGCACGCGCGGTCTTGCAATTCCAACGCCTGGCCCCGCTGCGATGATGGAGACGGCGTTAGCTTTGGCGTGCCCCCTTTCACCGGCACGCGTTATCCTTTTTTTTTTTTGGGCCCCGCCCACGGCCACAAGGTGTTACATTGATCAATTGATGTAGACAATGGATCAAATGGATGCAATAATCATATTTTCCATCCGAGCTGCGTCAAATGAACGGACAGCGCGCTCTTTTCGCTTCCGGCGCTAGGAGTGGGCTCAACTGCATTGTCATCAATTTTCATGCAAGCACATCTGGCCTTTGCAAAAACCAAAGCAGCACAGCACTGCTGTCTATCCGCGTGGGAACAGTCAGTCGTTGAAAGGGGCCCCTACTACATGTACTTCGTAATTGCTTCGCACTCGGTCCTTCCAGTTCTCATCGGGAGGGGAGAAACCTCTTCCGCCCCAAGCTCCAGTCCTCACCGAGGTGGTCACACGACTCGACACCCCCGCCTGAGCGACAAGATCAGAAGACCCGGAAATCACTGGCTAATAGGAACACTACCCATCTTCCCTCCTTCTAATCTAATACTTCCTAAATATGATGGTGGCCGCGGAGCTCTCCCGATCCGGCTCCTTGTCACCCTTGGGCCGCGAGACAGGTACGTTTTGAGGAGGCATGATTGGCTTATGGATGCCTTTTGGCCGAGACCAAAGCCCGTGGCCACATGGCAACCACCTGGGGCTCTCCCCGGATCGTCATCGTGTTCTGCCAAGAAAGAAATTGGGATTCACTCCCCATTCCCCAGGGTTACCCCATAGCGTACAATATTTCCATCAGTCACGGTCTCCAAATGGGGATCTGCCGACTCTTCTTTGTGAAGTCCTTCACCAGACCACCCCCTTTTTCGCCAAACTGATCAAACTAAGGAAATATCTCTGGGCTCCAATGCGGATCTTCACTGACTGACAGGTTCATGGGCGGCGAGGGAACGAGTATTATCCTATCTGTCCCATTCGAGCCTATCCCACCTTCGACCGAGTGTAGACGAGCTTGACGAGCACGAGGGATTAGAGTATTGGGACATGGCGCTTACTAAAATGGAGCGAGTATCGCCGGGTTTCTCAAGCATCGAGCTGCTCGCAATACAAGTAGTTCAAGTGTCTCCCGCTCTGCCAGTCTGTGTGGAAACGAACCCTTTGTCGTTGGGTACGACACACCCCTTGTCTCTCGATTTTTCTTTCTATTTTCTTTCTTTTAAGCTAGGGGAAGTAATAAGGGAGCCCCGCTAGACAAGGTACAACCAGGATTCCCTTCGTGACGGATGGAGCAACCTTGGAAGTGGCCAATGCCAAGCCCCGAGGTTTTCACCTTCAGTCAAGCCACGCGAGGCAGTCCGGCTGGGTTTGCCGTTGTCAGACATTGCTTCAAGTAGACAGAGGCCTTGGGATTATATTCTAAACAGTTGGCATATCCTTGCCTCTTGGTCGTAGCGGGCAAAGGGGGAAATATCTTGTCTCGCATCACCTCGACACAATCGGAAATCGCGGTAGAGCGCATCCGTGGAGTCTGGACGGTGGGTGGATGAGTCGTGAGGTCTCTTGTTACGAATGACATCCGCGACCTCTCTACCGGCTAATGTACGCAGAGGAGCGTGTTGAGGAGCCTTGGCCTCAATGAGCGGTGACGGAGAAGTGCGCGGCTCGTTGAACAGATTTGGTACACCACCATCAGAGGAGGCAGGAAACAGGAAGCAGGAAGCTGGGCTGGGCCCACCGCACGCGTGCTTCGCGGCCTCCCGGCCGTGGGCCGCGTGCATCGGCCAGCGTCGCGCTTCAACACGGGGAAGTAGATCCGCATCGATAGATCGTGTTGCAGAGGGCCGAGCTGGATGTGGAGGAGGGTGGCACAGGCCGCGCTCACAGCCGTCCACAAGTAATAGTTCCTCCCCTATTGCCCACCCCTTTTCTTCCTTCAAAGGGGTTGGACGAAGAAGAAGAAGAACGGGGCGCCCTCTTCTTGTGCTTATTGTCCCCGCGTCGCGACCAAACGTATACACTATGGTAAAGGGGAGAAGCACTGGCTCTCTTCTCCCCTTTTGCTATCTCAACTTCTCTATCAGTTGTGTTTAGGTGAGATGGACGCCACACAGCCTGTTCACTGCAAATGCCCAGGTGTTACATGGGTGGGTAACAAGTACAAACTTAAGTAATACTGGAGCCTGCGGAAGGGGAAAGAACAATTGATCAATCCACCCATCTCTTGAATAGATGGGTCCATTGATCAATGCACAATGCAACCGGAAAAACACTGGTCGATGGATACTCCAAGCCTAATCAATGCTTATGATGTGGGGAAAAAGGAACTTTTTTGTAGAAAGGTGAAAAGAAGAAAAGAAAAAGAAAAGAAAAAAGAGCTCGGTAACCACCCCGCTAGAGCCGGTAAGCCACACGCTTTTGGTCATCAGTTCACTCCAAGCCTGTAGAGTGGGTGGTGAATTTGGAGTTGGCCTTCTCGCGGTCACCGTTTCAACGGATTTACCAATCGACCCATTGAGGCATTCTCTGCTCTTCAGGTTCAAGTTTTAAAGATGCAAACCCAAGACTAGGCTATAATATGGCAAAGAACCCCCAACTGCTAGTCAATCGACCTATGCAGTAGGTTTACCGCCGAAAAATGCCTTCTCTGGACAGGACAAGTGGAGGCACCTGTGCTGACGTGGTTCAAGGGATTATACTGAGTCCCACGTCTATCAGCCTCTGCCTCTATTCAGTTTATTCTCTCCATCTCACCTCAGGGTCGAGGATATGCCAGCACCTACGATGCATTAGTTTGGTATACTTCCTCTTTTTTCCTCTCGTGAATCAAAGCATCGAGCAGGGACCGCGGCACAGGCCGAGGTGTTGAGAGCTGGCCGGTAAGAGAGCCCCTTGCTGACACCAGCCATGGGGATCCTGGACGTATGAGCCCACTGGTACCCTGTTCCTCCATCTTGCAACGGCGCTCGTTTCCACCAAGGGCTTTTGTCAGTTCCATTGGTCCTGTTTGCAACGGCCGAGGGGAATCAATGAAATGTCCTATAGTGGCCGGAACAACACATAGATCTTGAGGCTCGCAGCTCGACACTCGGATCAATCAAGGATCTAATAAATGGCGAATTCAAGATGAGCCTGGAAAGCCAGAGTAGAAACCTGTTCACCGTCTCAGATCAACATCGGCCGACGTTGATGCCCGTGCTGTTGCGACCGGGCTCTCAGTAATGATTGTGTCAGTGTACGTTGTACCTCCCATTCAGACTTGGCAGCCCGACCCACCCGCTCTGACATGCCCCATCGTTGCCAGCTCTGGAGCCCGTGGCTGCTCGGCGCAGGAGCTACACTACGGAGGCTCAGCTTAATGTCACTCTGGAAGGGGACGAGGAAGGTGGGGGCAGAAGAGAAGAACATTGAACATTGAACATAGGTGAAAAAGAAACCCAAAAAGGTAGAGTTGAGTGGTCGTTTGCTGCGCATCCCGAGCTGGGAGCTGGGAGCTGGGAGCTGGCGAACCCAGTCTTTGCATCCAGGCCCCAAGTGAATGCCACAGTCCCATCGACGATGCTGGTCCAAACCCCTGGGACCGCCCTTTTAATTATCCATGCAAACAAAAAGCCCAAGCTCGCCCAGGTTCCGTCAAATAGAGGTTAGACTGGCCAGCGTCGACCGCCCAATTTATTCCTTGGCCGGTCCTAGCCTAGCCCGGCCTCTCAAGACTTTTTTTTCTGTCTTTTCCCCTTTGTTTCTTTTGGTTCTTCTTTTTCTTTCCTTTTTGCCCTAATGCCTTTTAGCTCCTTGTCCCTCATGGCTCTTGACCGACGCGCCAATAATTGCCCGTTCCACCTCGTCTCCCCTTGCTAAGCTGGGTCAGGGTCTAGCGGACGTACCGCCACTTCCACTTTTCTCTGACCTCTTCTCCGACGTATCTCCTTACTCCACTAGTTACCACCGTGATTACCCCTCCGCCCAATTTCACAATAATAATTTCCATCTCTCAACCACGTCCTTGAACCCTCTTTGACTTCTCAACTCTCCACACTCTTTTTCACGGGCTATTACATCGCAGAACGCCTCACGCCTTACCTTGGGCCCCTCCTTGTTCTTGCCATTTTCTCTCACAGCGATCACATAACCCCCTTTCAGTCCCGCTGTGGCGAGCCCAGACCGTCACCAACTTGTAATTGGTGCCCACAATTGACCAGCAAACCGTCAAGGGCCTGTTCGTTGTCTCTGGAGTGTCCTCGCCAGCCGAAGCTCTTCTAGGCCCCGCTCCCCTCCCTCTCTCCTTCTCTTTCTCTCTCCCGTTTTCCCTCCCTTCTGTTCGAGGGTAATCTTGTTAGCGACCTTTGTCCGGTTGTGTTCTACCGGAAGTGTGAAAACCTTGCAAACCGGGTTCTCTCTTCACCAGCCTGTTTTAACCCGCCGCTGAGAACACCAGATATTGGCGAGGTCACCACTTTTGTTTCCAACCTCGGGCCCATCGCAACCCCTCTGCCGGCGCACCCCGTCACTCTTGGGACTGAGACATTCGCCAAATCTTTCATGACCCGCCTAGGCTGACTGGCATATCGGAGAGTCTCGCCCTCTCATCTTGCCTTGTCTCAAACACACCACTTACTGTGCTCTAAACTCCGGCATATTTATCAGCCATTTATCTTCAATCCGCCTGGGCATTCTGTTGGGCCGAATTGCGACTGGAGGTTGCCGAGGGCCGGAACTTGGAAAGAGTTTACCGGAAACACCTACCCAGCCGAACCATCGTTGAGCTACAAGGAGTCATCCCTCTTTTCTCGGTCAGACTGGCTGAAGCCCACAGTATTTTTGGGCGATCATGAGCGATCAACAACGCCTGAGGTGGTACATGTAGGGTATTGAAGAAGCTCTACTCATTTACGACCTCGAGTTGTAACAACTACGCCTTTCAAAACGGAAGCCCGCGCGCGTATTCGCCAGCCTCTAACCTTTGGCCTGGAGAAGGAATTGCGATTAGGCGCATGCAGCGATGGATCCCTCACAGATGATTTTGCCCAAGGGTTTGTGGTGAACTCTCAGGATATATATAAAGAAGTTGCTAGCTACCCCGTCGTCCCCCAGAAAAGATCAAGGAGTATTGGAAAGGTAAGTTAAACCGAGGGTCGCAACGGTCAGCCGCCTTGCTCTCGCAACGACACCCCTCCCAAACCTTGTGCTAACGTCTACCTGGCTCCGGCCCTCTAGTTTATACCACCACCTTCCGTCGTCTTATTGACCCTACGGCAAACCGTTTAGAACACTTCTGGTGGCATGTCTGGGGAAGCGACAGGAGATATCTACCCGGAGCTGTCCTCGCAAAACTCTTCGAGGAGATCTCAACCGGTCCCACTATCGCCCCGATCCCCGGCCCGCCTAACCGATGGGAGCCGCCAGTAGTATGTCCTCGGTCTCCTCTTCCATCCCCTTTACTGCCTTGCTTTTCTACGCACGCTTGCGCCTTCTTTTCTTCGAAGCTAACAATGATATTGAAGTTTGGAGATCAGCCACCGCCGTGGGAACTCAAGCGTCAAGCAGAGAAATCGGGCGTAGCTGAAGACACCAATGCGACGAAAAACACCGATCCCCAGGGAGGTTCGAGGCCTAACCTGCCCGAGGCCACCAAGGCGGCTACCGACGAAAATACGATCTCGACCGTGGGTTCGATTTCGTCCAAACCCGCCCCCGCCCCTCCGCATCCAATCTTGAAGAAGTCGAGGGGCGATTCGAAGTCTGGGCCGAGACCAACAGCGCGATTCATTTTCCCCGATGAAGACGATAGCAAAGACGATGGCGAGGCATCTTCGGGAAGCGTCTCAACGGCAAACACGGAGCAAAGAAAGTCATCGTCACCGGCAAAGTCGGACAGGAAGAAGACATCGGCACCCGCGAAGCGATTTCACGCCTCGCTCGGCTCCAAGAGACGGCCAGCGCTGCCACGCCGGATAAGTTCGCAATCGTCGGCGACGTTGGAGCCCGCGACACGAGAGGATGGGGGCTCAAGGCACCAGGCTGGTCTGCGGCTTTCTCAACCGGCCGTGGAGTCGTCTGGAGGTTCCGTCAGTAGTAACGCATCGACAGCTTCACAGCGGTCCGGATTGAATGCCAAGGTGGCGGGCAAACGGCCGGCACTGAAGAAATCTACGAGCAACAGGGCCCCGGGGGACTCGAAGCTGCGCAGCCTACCTCCCCACTCCACGAGACGACGAGGAAATCGGCGCTCAGGGATCGAATTGTAGAAGAGCCGAGCGGCGGCCCCGGAGACACAGCTGGGCTTTCCAAATTGGATCGCACGAAGAGCACGGAGTTTAGCCCGATCGGGGCCAAGACCCGGCCACGTATCCCAAGATCTCAGTCCCATATAGAGCCACAAAGATTTGGCATGGGTATGGGAAGGTCACTTCGGCCCACACTAGCAGCAGAGCCCACGGCATCAACGACCAACGTTGCGGCTCTCGGCACAATTATCGATTTCGACAAAAGCGAGATGCCCCGACTCAGTGGGTCAATGCAGCCAAACGCAGAGCGAGACGGGCATCGTCTGCCACGAGGCCCTTCGACGACCTCCCTTCTCGACAGTCGATTCACGCCGACGCCGCCCAGCGCAACCCCAGAGGTTCCTCTTGGAAGAACCAAGAGCCAGCTTACCCTTCTTCTTGAAAGAGAAAAGAGCAGGCTCGGGGACAAGCCGCGGTCGAAGCACTAATAATGTGTACTATCTATATCTCTAATACTATACAAGTAATAGGCGGAGGGAGCTTGATAGCCTATCGCCATCTCGCTACTCCCCATTTAAAATTCTATCAGCGGACAACTCTACAAGCGCATGGCTGTTTGGCATCCTTTTAGCGCATCACGACATGACCAAGGCGTTTGCTTCACTCTTTGTCCTAGCCAAAACGTTGCCATACCTGCCGATATAATGCCTTGCCACACTACGAGGCTGCCGAGCCCTGCACATTTAAATCGACTTTACGAGAGTGCCTGCTTTCCATATCAAACCACTGACGTACAGCGACCAGGATCCTGTACTTTTGGGGAGTTCGGGTTGAAAAAGGCGACTGCTGGCGCCATCCCATCCCCTGTCCAGTGGCTATATGCCGTACAAATGCAGCAGCAATATTGAACATTTAGGCGGCCAACTCTTGTTGATGGGTTCATAATATCCTAACGGATCACGCTGCCGGGGTCTCATTCATTATTTCCTCTCCCCTACCACCCCCGAATATTATCATCTACCTTGTTTGTTCTATTTTTCCTTCTTTTTGGGTGCCTAACCCTGACGAGGGCGCCTGCCTGCCCTTTCTCACTCCACGTCACCTACATGTAGTGATTATTATGCATATCTTCCAGACCAAGGCGTTGTTCATTCATGGGCGCATCAGGTTTTCGAGGCGTCCGAAAAAGACACTATAGTCCGACCACTGGTTATTTTGGGGGTTTTTTTTCTTTCTTTGTTTTTGTTAGGTGACAAGTAGAATCGATTGCTTATCCATGCACCCATCCATATCTATACCTACAACCGCTAAATATTGATCCTTTGAACCCCAAACTAAAAGTTGAAGCTGGCGTTTGTCTACCTGTCACACGAGAAGGTTGTACGCAAACAACTCTCTCATTCTCTCTCATGGTATTACTCAGGTCGGAGGTAGGGATGCTCTGCTTCTTGCCTGTCTACCGCGCCCCTTCAAATTAGGATCTATTGTATTATAAAAAGACTCTATTCGGCCAACCGGCGATTAAGATTGGTTGTGTCAGTCGTGCAACCTTTATTATTAGTCACAGGCGACAGAGCTGACCGGATGCACCTAAGCAAAGCACCAACACACATTTGATGTAGATAGAGTGAGGGGAGTGTGGGGGTAAGCCGTGCCTCGGTATATCCGTGACATTGAACCAGGCATCGATTGGAGCAGCTCTAGGTTGGCAAGGTTGCTGATGAGGCCTGAAAACAGTGGAGGCCGTGACCTTATTCCCACAAAAAGGGGGCGTTTCCCCCTCCCCTGCTTCAGAGCTCAGAAAGGGAGACAGCAAGAGAGAGCAAGACGCCCCCACGTGGCGTTGCTGGCACTCAGACTTGTCCCTGGGGGTGGGGGACTCGTCCATTTGATTAAGGCGAGGGAGGGGGCTCAGCACTGGTTTTTGTCTCAAGATAGCGATTGAGGGAGAGAAGAGGGGCAAGCAGAAAGGGCAGACACGCAAATAGGGGTTGTTTGCGTTTTTTTTTTGAAAGAATTGAAAGAATTGAACCTAGCAGTCTTCCCTGCAGATACTCGTGGTGCCTTTTCCAGGAGATGCGTGTAGCAACGCGTTCTGGGGGTTAAGCCCAGCTGGCAGTTGGGACGGTCTGCGTGGGCCTTCAATCGCGGGTTTACTAGCGTGGCGCGTCCTGAAAAGGCGGGAAAAGGATAAAGGTTGAGGCTGGGGGTTTCCAAAGCGCTCGGAGCCTGTCGCGCTCTCTAGCTTTATTATTGATCTCAGGGTCAGGTAGTGTCAGTGGCGGACTCCGACCTTGGGCATACCGAGGAATTGATCTAATACGAATTGCTAGGCCATATCCCTTGCAGCAAGCCATCGGAGCTCACCATGCTCGAGGACAACCCATTCTTTCAACCACTTCATCAATCCAGCTATTTTCGACTGCCTGCTTTGGGGGAGATTGGGGGCCCGGAAGAGGTGCCTGGCGTATGCCGGTACGTGGATGCACCTTTTGGTGTAAGTGTAAGTGCGGTGTGCTGATCCATCCATGGATGGATCTCTTGGCTTGGTTCGATCATGGATGGGTCCAATGGGTCATTGGACCCGTCCCTTCCATTGATTGATCCAATGGATTGATCCATCGATGCCATAGACGGATCCATGACAATGGGCTCTCGAAAGGCATGCAATATTCCAGGGTGCCCACGGGGGTCAATTGACCAAAATTGGACATGGGCATAGTACTTGTAAAGCTTGCACTGCCAACAGACGCCTAGAGTTGAGGCTCGGACTCTTGCTCTTCCCACTGACCACTGCCAGAGTTCAATTCCTTGTTTCCGTGACCTAGCCAGCTCGACGGCGAGTTTTACAGGGGGTTGGGAGGGACCAAGACACGGCTGACCTTGGTCTCAATTCCTGTGGTGGGACAGAGAGCCATGACGTCAACGGGTACCGTCGACGGTTTACGAGGGTCACCGGAGACTGTGGGGAAATTCCCAAGCTTTGTGACTGATGTCACCGGGTTCTTTTTTCAACCCTCGATCCGGAAGCTGGGTGATACATTGGTGGTTGTTGGGCAATAATGTTCCCTGCCTTCAGGGATTCATGGATTCTTGCAACCGAGGAGAGTAGCAGCATACAAGTGTGTGGTCTTGTGTGTGGGCAAACATCCAAAGGCTGCTCCCACGCAAAGCGATGGATATGTCGACAATGTGGACCAGCATTCAATTACTAGTGTATCATTTTCTCTTGATGCTCGTACCGAGGTAGTCTACTTGTCTACCTCCGAAATGAGAAAAAAACAAAAAGGACAGAGAATCAAATCTATTTACAGTTCCCCTCGTCTCGAAAATGCTTTATGTAGAGAAATGCGCATACTCCTTGTTGAACGCCCTTCCGATGACCATCCGCCTTATCTCTGATGTTCCTGCTCCAATCTCGTAGAGCTTCGCACTAAAGGGAAACAGTTAGTTTGGGGTCTCCTGTAAAAGAAAAAAAGGAAAGGGGGAAGGTGGTTAGCTGTTGCTACGTACTCTCGTAGGATCCTCGAGGCCGGCATCTCCTCTGTGTATCCCATTCCGCCCAACACCTGAATGCAGTCCAGAGCACACTCGGTCGCCCTTTCCGCGGCGTATAATATGGCGCCGGCGCAGTCCTGCGTCTTGATCAAGCCCTCTTCGTCAACCACCCTGGCCGTCGTGTATGTGTAGGCCTTCGATGCTTGGTATTTGGTGTACATGTCCGCCAACTTGCCCTGAAGGAACTGATTGTGTGCGATGGGCGTGCCAAACTGCTTGCGCTGGTGGGAAAAGGGCAGAGCGACGTCCAAGCTCGCCTGCATGAGGCCGAGAGGCCCCGCGCTGAGGACCAACCGCTCCAGGTCGAGGCCTTCCATGAGCACGCGGACACCCCCGTTGACCTTGCCGAGCACGTTCTCCTTGGGCACGAAGACGTTGTCAAAGTTGAGCTCGCCCGTGTTGCTGCCCCGCATGCCCATCTTGTCGAGCTTCCGCGCGCAGCTGAAGCCCTTGTAGTCCGTCTGCACGATGAACGCCGTGATGCCCTTGGAGCCCTTGTCCGGTTCCGTCTTTGCGTACACGACAATAACGTTGGCGTCCGGCCCGTTGGTGATCCACATCTTGGGGCCGTTGATGACGTATCCGCCCTCCACCTCCTTCGCCGTCGTCCGCATGCTCACAACGTCGCTGCCCGCGCCCGACTCCGACATGGCGAGCGCGCCGACGCTCGTGCCGGCAATCAGGTCCGGGAGGTACTTGGCCTTTGCTCGGGCGAGCCGTTGAGCTGCAGCTGGTTCACGCAGAGCTGCGAGTGCGCCGCGTAGCTGAGCGCGATGGAGCCCGACGCGCGGGACAGCTCCTCCATGACGATACAGTGCGCCTGGTACCCCAGCGCCAGGCCGCCCACGTCCTCGTCGGCCGTGATGCCCAGGAGGCCGGCGTCGCCCAGCTTCTTCCACATCTCGGGGGAAGGCGTTTGTCTTGTCCGTGTGTGCTGCTACTTCCTCCGTGATCTCGCGCCTCGTAAAGTCTTGGACTCGGTCGCGAAGCTCGGAGAGGTCCTCGGACGTCGGCGCTTCAAAGTTTTTGGGGTGCTTGGAGGAGTGGAGGCGAATCTGGGCGGCGGGGACAAGGGAGGGCCGGATCGCGGACGGCAGGAGCGCCGACCGCCGTGCGAGCGATCGAAAAGCTGCCGAGGACGCCATTGAAGGGTGGGTTTGAGGGAAAATGACAACTTTTTTCTTGTTCAAGAGTAGCACCGTAGAAAATATCAAGAAGAATTGGCCACGATTTTGGCCACGAGAAAGGGAGGGGGGGCGTTAAAAGGGTTGAATGGCAAGAATCAATTAGTCTGAAGTTCCAAATGCTTTGTTCGGAGGGGCGGAGTGTGCCTTTGGACAGACAGGGGAGCTCCCGAGGTTCATGGTGCTGTCTTCGGCCTAGGCTCTGGTCGGCTTTCTGCGGCTTCCTGCGGCCCCGCGGCCAATGCCGGGAAATAGCAGTGATCGTCACCACCAAAAAGGCGAGGAGCTATTACCTTTACCCCAGAATTGATCTAATGATCAAGGCCTCGTCAATCCACCCCCATGTTCATCAACCCCGAATTTTCCACCTAACCCCTCTTCCTTGCCTTCCTTTTTATCGCCCTTTTTCTTCTTTCCCTTTCCTCAATTTAATTAGACACGGCGCTTTTGACAAAAGCACTCCCCGTCGTTCAAGTCAATCTTCCCCAATGCCTCTGTCACGATCGCCTAGGGAGCTTCTGCTCCTTCGGCGGCAGTTGACGAACCTCGGCCGCCCCACCCACTTTTCCCGAGCCATCGCTACCTTTACTCCAGCCAGCCAAGCGAGCGCGATATCGTTAATACAGAGCTCCATCGACACCTCGTCGGAAGAGTTCAAGGAAAATGAGAAGCAAATGGCAGAGGTCGTGACCCGCATGCGGGAACTCACCAAGAAAGCCCAGCTCGGCGGCTCGGCAAAAGCGAGAGAGAAGCATTTGGCGCGGAAGAAGATGCTACCTCGCGACCGCGTTGCTGCCCTCATAGATCCCGGCACGACCTTTATGGAGCTCTCGCCGCTTGCCGGCCATGAGCTCTACCCCGAAGCCGAAGTCCCCGCTGGCGGCATCGTTACCGGGGTCGGTGTCGTTGAAGGTGTGCACTGCGTCATCGTGGCGAACGATAGTACGGTAAAGGGCGGAACCTATTATCCCATCACCGTCAAGAAGCACCTGAGAGCACAGGCAGTCGCCCAAGAAAATAAGCTTCCGTGAGTGTGTCCTCTTCCGGAGAGAGAGAGAGAGAGAGAGAGAGAGAGAGAGAGAGAGAGAGAGAGAGAGAGAGAGGATGTCCGGTGCGCACCGGGCGCTTGCCTGCCTCCCGAGGACTGAAACGCTAATACTGCCCCCCTTTCATTGCAGATGCATCTACATGGTCGATAGCGGCGGCGCCAACCTTCCTCACCAAGCAGATGTCTTCCCGGACAAGGAGCACTTCGGACGCATCTTTTATAACCAGGCGAGGATGAGCTCCCAGGGAATCCTCAAATCTCAGTCGTCATGGGTCCCTGCACAGCGGGCGGTGCTTACGTGCCGGCCATGAGCGACGAAAGCATCATTGTCCAAAATCAGGGCCACATTTTCCTCGCCGGCCCCCGCTTGTCAAGGCTGCTACCGGAGAGGTTGTTAGCCCCGAGGACCTCGGCGGTGGCCTCATGCATTCCTCCGTTTCGGGTGTCACCGATTACCTAGCAGTCGATGATGCCCATGCCATCACACTGGCGCGCCGTTGCGTGAGCAACCTCAACTGGCCCAAAAGAGCCCGACTTCCACCCAATCTTTTGAAGAGCCCCTATACCCCAGCTCCGAACTTTTAGGGATTGCCACGACTAATCTCCGCAAGCCCCTCCCAATCCGTGAGGTGATTGCCCGCATCGTGGACGGCTCCAAGTTTTCCGAGTTTAAGCGCGATTTCGGAACGACCCTCGTGACTGGCTTCGCCCAAATCTACGGCCAGCAGGTCGGAATCGTTGCCAATGACGGCATCCTCTTCGCCACGTCTGCCATGAAGGGCGCCCATTTCATCGAGCTCTGCGCTCAGCGAGGCGTTCCCCTCATCTTCCTTCAGAATATCTCGGGCTTCATGGTAGGAGCCCAAGCCGAGCGCGAGGGCATCGCGAAGCACGGCGCCAAGCTCGTCACTGCCGTCGCGTGCGCGGATGTGCCCAAGTTTACCGTGGTCGTGGGTGGCTCCTACGGCGCGGGCAACTACGGCATGTGCGGCAGGGCGTATAGCCCAAGGTTCCTCTGGATGTGGCCCAACGCCAAGATTGGTGTCATGGGAGGCGAGCAGCTGTCCAGCGTGATGGAGACGGTTGGAAAGGCGGATCCCCAGCTGAGGGATAGGATAGACCAGGAGAGCGACTCGGTGTATTCCACCGCCAGGCTGTGGGATGACGGCATCATCCCCCTGAGCACACCCGGCAGTATCTCGGCCTGGGCCTGATGGCTTCGATGGGAGGGAAGAACGAGGTCAAGGCTGGCGAGACTAAATTTGGCGTCTTTAGGATGTAACGGGATGGAGCGAAGTCATTTTATTCATGTCTGGCAGAGGTAGGAGTTATGGTAATACATGTATGTATTTCTTTTAAAGAGCTAGAGCACGATCCGATAGCATATTCCAACAAGAGTAAATTTTGGAAATCAGGGAACCCCTCCCATCCTTTTTGATTTCTTTTGTTTTACTTGCCATCGTGTCTCCCATTATATGCTTGGATCGCCCCAGAATCGGGGAGAGCGAGGAAGATCGGCAACACTTACTTACCAGTGCTTCTCGGAAATATCGACAGTATTGACATCAACCCCATCCTTGAACCATCTCTCCTCCTCGAGGATCTTCACGTCGTTTCCAGACATCTGCCTCTTTCTCATCAGTCCATTTTCAGCAAACGTCCAGTCCTCGAGCCCGTACGTTCGCCACCACTGGCCACCTTCATCAACCCACTCATACCAGAACTGAACGGCGATCTACCCGTCGAGAAAGAGCGCAGAAACCAAGGTTAGTGTTGTGATCTTTAGCCATAAAGTCCCTTCGAGACAGAGAAAGGAAAAAGAGGACTCCAGCAAGTCGGCTGAGATACAGAACGTGTCACATCGCCAAAAAGGAAGCACGGGGGTTGAGCGAATGTGATTCTTGCCTTATTATCCGTGAAGCTGAACAGTTCCTTCCGAAGCCTGTAGTTCTGCTCCTTTTCCCACTTCTTTGTCAGAAACGCCGCTATCTCGTCTCTACCCTGAAGGAACTGATCACGGTTTCTCCAGATCGAGTCCGTTGTGTAGGCAAGTTTGACCGAGTCCGGCTTCCTGGCCAAAGGCGACACGGGATGGCAGTCCCAAGTTAGCGCACCGCTCTAGTTTTGAAAAAAGGTGACGACGATCGTCGTGTGACCAGCGCACTGCCCACGACGCTGATCAACGCACAATCACATTAATCGAGGTAGGACACAAGGGGTGACGGAGGGACCGCCTTACATGGTGTTCCAAGCATCTTGGGCCGCCTTCACTTTGACGCGGGCCGATTCCTCGGTGAAAGGCGGAAAAGGCGGTCGGGGACTTCGTTAGTCGACATGGTTCACGATGCTCTCTCTCTCTATCTCTCCAAGTCGATGAATGCTAGCAGTAGATGATAGTCACAGTGATAGAACACAGCTATGCGAGTTGCTTGTCCACTCCTCCCACATCACCCATTTTGATGATACTCCTGCCCACCCGGGGACTTGTTGGAGGGGAATCCTATGCTGACAAATTTGGGGTCCCAGGAGCGTCAGCAACATTCTGATTTATCCGCAGCCCGAAGCAGTTGTGGTTTTCTTTCTTGTGTCCCATCCGTATCATTGAGTGGTCTGACACTCGTTGAAGCTTATTATTGGGTCGGCCTCGTCGCCACTCGTTTGCAATCGAGGGAAGAGGAGGCACGGACCCGAGTCTGCTTCGGCGGAACCGATTCCAAATCCGCCGCCCGGCCGATATTGTGAAGGATGGCCTGCGAAAAGGGAGAGAAAAAGACAGAACTCGGAAGCTCGGAATACTCTCTAAATAATGGTACCACTTTCCTAGACGGGGATGTCGTCCCCCTCAGGTACCGATATTGTGAGCCATCGGAGCCCCGCGTTCCATGCACATGGCGTCAGAACCTAGTGGCGATGACGACCCGCCGAACATCGGTAGTAGAGCAAAAACTAACATCGAAGCCACTGAGTAATTGGAGCTTCCACTGACTAATCCCCAACAATTATAGCTCCTCTCCTCTCTGTCTTTGGGTGAGGAAATTCACGCTGCGTCCGCCTAGCTATGAACGCGCAAGGAACGTGGTCCGCTTCAGTAGTAAACTAGCTGGTCAAACTCTCTGCCTGATGTGAATGGAGTAACAGGGCACTGACAACGCGGCCGGGGCGGCTCCACCGGCGAGAGTCCGGCATCGGCCGAAGTGGAAACGCAATGCCCCTCTTTCAAAAGGAACAACACCCTGAAGGCCTTTGCTCCATGCTGTGGGCATGTTGCGTTGCGACTTATCCACGATCGAAGCTTCCCTCCGCTTCCGTTGGCTGTGGCGTACCTCCCCCTTCCAACGGGGAGGCAACGGGGAGGGGAAAGAATTCTTTTTCTGCCTCTCAGCTCCGCTCAAGAGGCCACTATCCTGCTTAGCTCCTTCCCGGCGATCCTTGGGGTGGTTGGCGCCATTGGCTACAGAGATAAGAAGGAATGGATCCATCCGCCATGCCCTATGGAAGCCGCGCCGTTCTCCGATTTGCGTAGCCCTCCAGTGTGTTTTCTGTGCCTCCGTCCGACTACAAGTAGCTGCATCCACCCCCATCACCAAGACTTCTGAAGCGTGCCATTTCTCGCGTCCAAGCCCACCCTGACACCAACGACACCGCCCAAAACTACTACTACCCCGTGTTTTAAGCAAAATCAGCCAACATGCCTGAACTCAAGTCTGGAGATGCTTTCCCCGAGGGCGTCAAGTTCGCTTACATCCCCTACACCCCGAGATTGAGGATGTAAAGGTCTGCGGCCTTCCCCAAAACTACGATGCCTCCCAGGGTGAGCTCTCCACTTTTTCTTTTTGTTTCTTTTACGTCCTTTGGGGGATCCCACGGCTCGCTGGCCCGCCCCACGGGTGTGCTGCGGCGGATTCTCCATTCTTCATTGGTGCGGTATTGCTAACTACCTTGTCACATTTACAGAGCTTGCCAACAAGAAGGCCGTGATTGTTGCCGTTCCTGGCGCCTTCACCCCCACTTGCTCCAGCGCGCATCTGCCTTCTTACATCAACAACCTCGAAAAGCTCAAGGCCAAGGGTGTTGACCAAGTTATCTTCCTCGCCCATAACGATGCCTTCGTCATGTCTGGTTGGGGCAAGGTAAACGGCATCAAGGATGATTCCATCGTAAGCACTCCCCCTTCCCTACTTCGCGCGCCCTGGCCGTAATATGTGGAGCCTGCGTTATTAACTGGAGATAAACGTGAAAAGCTCTTCGTCAGCGACCCTCAGGTTGCCTTCTCTTCTCAGATTGGCTGGGCCGGTCCTGAGAGGGCCAACCGATATGCCATCGTAGTTGATCATGGCAAGGTCGTCTACGCTGCAAAGGAGGAAGCCCCGGAATTGCCCTGACTGGAGCTGAGGCTGTCCTCGCCCAGCTCTAGGTAGTTGGGCAGTTTAGACAAAAGGGTCACGCAAAACGCGGCTGGCTGCGACGCATTAACTGGATGAAAGTGTAATGAACGCAAGAGACCCAGACATGATGATGGGCGGCTTAATACGTTAGACTCGGTCCTCACCGAGAACTAGAGAGAAACATGAATAGACAGAGATTCCCCTCACTGTTCATTTGTCCAGGATATCACAACGGTAAATTCATCTTCTAGGCGTAAATAGGGCGAAGCGGGGGAGGGGCAGAGTACGAGATTTCTTTTTTAAAACCTTGGGGTCAAGGCAAAGGAATAGCATTGTGTTCATCTATCAATGCGCTCCGAACCGCCCTCGGGTGTGTCCATGCAATACCGTATCAACAACCCTGTAGATTGTGTGTTTCTTTTCGAGAGACCCTGCCTTAATGAAAAGAGACAACTGTAACTCCTCGATAAACGTGCCATACCCTGCTATACTCCTGAGCCCTTAACCCACGCGAAAAGTCCTTCCCCTAAAACTTTTGACATTTTAGAAGCGCTTGGCAGCGGCGGGCTTCGCGTGCGCACCCTTGGCACCCTGCTTGCTCTGGATGCGGCCAGTCTGGCCCTTGGCGGTGGTGGCGGCGAGCTTAGCCTTCTCGGCCTTCTTCGCGGAGGCGGCGGCCTGCTTCTTCTCCTTGGACTCGGCGATGGCCTCGGCGCGGGCGGCGGCACGGGCCTCGGGGCGCATGGTTCGCCTCTCCTTGATCACATCGAGGGAAGCACCGACAACGGCGCGCTGGGACTTGACGGCTCGGCGGGTTCGCTTCTTGGCAACCTCCTGCAGAGGGTGTTAGTAGTTGCTTCACAAATTGCCACCAGATAGCCAGCCCCTAGTCCAACAATTTGCTGCCATGACACAAGCAAAGCCTTGACCTAGCGAAATGTCTGCCGACGGTGGAGTGTGGTAAATCGTACCTCAGAAATGCCCTTCCTGTGTTGGCGGCGGTAGAGAACGGTCCATGAGATGCGGCGGGGTTCTTTCGTTGGAGGAAGAGGGATTCGGATTTGCCGTTCTGGAATCGGAAGACCTTGCTGTCGCCACGGACGTAGAGCTTACCCTATCCACCAAAATATCGAGTTAGTTATCCATAACAAGTCCATCACAAACAAGCGAGGCAAGATCCGCGAACGAGGGTTGCCCTTCCGCCTCGAGTTTGGCCTGCGCTTCCCACGCCCGCGCCCACACCCTCGCGAGGATGGGAAAGCCGCCCAAGCGCGGCCCAGATGGGATGAAATTCGGGGAAATATCGTCGTTTCGTACCTTGCCAGGGTAGATCCTCTGTCCGGAAAACGTGTCGTCGTAGGTCCTCATTTTGTCGTGGTGGTATGGGAACCTGCTGAAATTTGCGTTTGTCGATGTTCGAGTTGGATGAGGCCGACGAAGCTGGAATTTCCTGACGCTTCAGATTTCTGGGTGTGTGCTGATGAGTAAGCGCAACAAGTTAGGGCCAGGAAGCCGATTTTTGGCCTTTTTGTCACACTGGTGGAGAAGTTGAAAGCCTTGGCTTGTGGTGGGGCATTGGCCTTCAATCGATATCATCACGTGACTAATGGCAGAGCGGCCCGTGGCTGTGCTGGGTATGCACCGGCCGGGTTCGCACCATGGACTGCCCCAAGATTTGATGGTCTTTGAATGTGGGAAAGTTATACGGTAGTAGATTTGACAGTGACAGAAAAAGAGAATGAATGAGCATCCGAAGGTTAGAATAAATAGGGTGAGGGAATTTACGAGAAAAAAGAAAAAAAGATGAGGAAACTGGGGGTGGAAACGGCCCACGCCAGGACGGAAAAAGGCAAAAAGAAATGCTCACGCCGAGACTCGAACTCGGATCATTTGCTACCCCTGATGGAAGGCAAATATTCTACCCCTGAACCACATGAGCGGATAGGTGATTGTTGAATGATAGGCTAGTTATTTTGTGCTATACGTCACCACCTCCACCCACTCAATTCGTCCAATTTTTCCTCCCCTGAGAGCTCTTCGCGGGGTACTATGGCGGGGTCCTCAAGTCTGGATATACCCCCTTCAGCGTGGGCCAGGCACAAGGCTAGCCAAAATCCAGGCAACGACATTTGGACCTCGTAGAGACGACCTTTTCTCCTCAGCTGTCCTTCCGCAATTGAACACCTAATTCCCTCGTACATTCATTCATTCATTCCCACTTTCAATTCTTCTTCACTCGGCACCCCTCGGTTTGGAGTGTATTCAAGATGGCAGCCCCTTCGGACCAGCGAATAGCGGTACCCATAGACGATCCCAATGCAGACACGGAATGGTAAGCTCAGTCGGGGAGTTCCAAAGCATGCGGAAGTCGCTAACCATACCAGGAATGATATCTTACGGCAACATGGAATCATCCCCGAAAAGCCCCCAGCCCTACGCCCATGATCGAGGAGGCAATACTGGAAGCACGGAAACTTGCGCACGAGAACAGACTCGAAGGAAAGGAGTTAGACGAGCTCGACGAACTCGAGGATGAGGAAGACGAAGAGTTTCTTGAGCTGTACCGGCAAAAACGTATGCAGGAGCTTAATGCGCTGAGCAAAAAGGCTGTTCATGGAACCGTGTACCCGATATCGAAGCCGGAATATGAACGGGAGATAACGGGGGCATCGAACAAGGGCCCCGTGTTTCTCAACCTTACCTCCTCCACAAACACGAACGTGGAGTCGCGAGTGCTCTCGGAATTATGGCGCCAAGCTGCGCAAGAATATGGCGAAGTCAAGTTTTGCGAGATGCGAGCCGACCGTGCTATTGAAAATTATCCGGAGAAAAACTGCCCGACGGTACTAGTCTACAAGAACGGGGATATCATTAAGCAGATTGTAACTCTGATGACACTCGGCGGGGTAAGAACCACTATGCTTCAAATAGACACCCTGCTGGTTGAGACGGGCGCGGTTCCCGAGTCAGATATGAGGGTGCTCAAAAGAAGGAGGGCTGCCGAAGAAGCGGAGGAGGAGAGGATCATGGGCACAAAGAACATCAAGACATCCAATAGATCTCGACTCAGCGACGATGACGATGATTGGGATTGAACCCCAACGAATTAATCAAGAAAACCTCCCCTTGCGCCTATTAGCTATGCAAAATACAGACGAAGGCCCCGTGTTAAAGAGGAACAAAATATGTATGAGTAGAAGCAAAGAAAATCATAGTCCTCTTCAACCCTTCTTTCCATCACTCGCCCGTAGTTCTTCAAGAGTTGTCCCAACCTTGATATTTCGGGGGTACAGGCCATTGAGCACCCAACGTTGAAGAATGGCAAGACGTCTGGATCATGGAGCCGAGGAAGTTGAGGGTCCGTAGGCGAGTTGTACTTGATGCCCCACCATTCGATCCACTGCGTGACAGGGGTGATTAAATGATGGCCACACACGGAGCAATGCACACCTCCTATTTCGCGTTGCGCAAGCACAACTCGGAGCTGCTCTCTCAACTTCTCAAACGAATCATTTGGGAGATAGCCTGGAAGGTCGTTTAGCATAGAGCTCTGGTAGCATTTCCTTAAAGTCAACTCCATCAAACTTGGAACGCGGCAGCTATCATCACAAGAGCTCGAGTCCTGAGGTTCTGTATTTGCGGTGGCCTGGATCGGCACGGCCAAGTCAAACTCGGTGCGCTTGCCGTTACTGGCGCCATATTGTACACGCGACCGGGCGACGAAGAATGCTGTGATGGCGGATACGCGGGTGCTATCAATTGCGTCATCGATTTCCCGAGCAGTGGCGATGAAAGATGAATCGAGCTGGAGTAGAGGGTTGAGCTGGACGCTGAGTGCAGTCATGCTGGATCCGGGGCCTAGAAGATTAAGCAGCGAGCTTGGCAGGAACTTGAGCTGATTCTGGGATACATTGAGCTCCCTCAGATTCCGGAGGTTGCCAATGGAGTCGGGCAGCTCCGTGATGCGGTTCCCCCTCAGGCTAAGAAGTGTGAGATTCTCAAGGTCGAAGATGGCGCCAGGAAGCTTCACCAGACGATTATTGGCAAGGAAAAGTTTGATACTGGGGTCCTTTGGTTCAAAGGGGACATCTTGGGTGACTACGGGAATGGGCGCAAGAGTGGCGATGGGGGCAATCGTATCATTCGACAGACATGGCAGGTGACGGTCACTGGTTTATCGAATGTTAGCTTACACCTGGCTGCGCTTACGCCAAAGAACTCACGAAAGATCGATGATCTCTACGCCCTCATCAATGCATGTTTGAATGGTCTTCCTCGCAATTGTTTCGGCCTCCGAAAGCTTGGGCCCAATCTGGCGGACGAGCTGGGGCAGCCTAGCTTTCGGCGGAACCTCATGGTTCACCAATGTCAAGACTTCAGCTTCACTGGGGGCGTCGTCACTGGCCTCCGCCATCCACACACCACTATCGAAGTGGCGGACGAATTTTCTGTTTGGCTTTGGCGGAGGGAGTGCGTCTTCTCCGAAGCACGAGTCTGAAGAGGCTGCCGGTTGCTGCTCGTACCAGGACCCAACGAGCCTTTTCTTCCTCCGCACCCGTGTGTAGTTCTCAATGGAAGGATCATCGTCACTCGAGAAAAAGGCTGGATCACTTGAGGTAGTGGCTAAAGGTGGTGCACCGGGCCCATCTAACCTCGCCCGCTTCCTTGTGCGGGTGCTAATAGTTTCCGTTTGCTGGTCCCACGACACAGCGGGAAGTCGCGGAAGTGTTGGTTCCTCCGCCATCGTTGTCACGGGTGTGATCCTCTTGTGGACAAGAAAAAGGAAAAGAAAAAAAGAAAGCAGAAAAAAGCAGGAAATCGCCACGACAAGATGACAGTACGCAGCGTAGTGCTATCGTCTCCAGATCGGCTCCCGACAAGAATGGAGAGAATTAGTCCATTCTCAACCGAGCTGGACTTCGTGGACCTCGACGTCGGTCCATCAAACGTCGCGTAATGACGCGATATAGGGCCCCCACCATCACCCTAGATCCCATTCGACGCGTTTTAGGAAAGGTTCGCTTGCTAAAAGCTACCCTTTTGCGTCACTAATGTACAGTGTATAATACTTGGATTATGCCACCCACACACTTTGCAAAGGTCTCTCGCGTGTTACGTAATCATCAAACGGAGCTTGGGGCGGAACTTGCCGTGTCAACAGGTCTGCCTGTCAGGGTGACGTTCAGGAGCTTTGATGCAACGAGGAAGCTCTGGGATTTCCTGATTGTCGACTTGTCACCATCAGCGCAGCATTTGGCCGCATCACAATCGCAAAGATGAGGCTTCCGCTGCTTTCGGCAAAGGCTCTCTTATTATTAGGGCTTCCTTATTTTGCGCAAGCTGTTTTTCGGGATGAAGTCGGGACGATAGACTTTCACTACAACCTTCTCGGTGTCCCACAGTCGAGCACGACACTTTTCCACAAGCCCCGAAAGGTCGAAAAGGCGAGCCTTCTCTACACTCTCAGCGATATCGGCGTACTCGGCGCCGTGAATCCTAGCAATGGAGCCGTTGTCTGGAGGCAGCATGTGTCGGGCAACCTCACGAGCGGGGCGGTTTCTTGCGCGCCGGCGACGGCCAGAGCTGGCTCTGCAGCGCTTATGGCAACTCTGTTCACGCCTGGGACGCATTTACGGGGCGGAACACTTGGTGGATGGATTTTGCCGGTGAGATAAAGGATTTAGAAATACTCGAGGTGACGGAGGATGGGCGCAAGGACGTCCTTGTTCTCTTCGAGGAGGCAGGGTCTACAGTTGTTCGGCGCCTGCGAGGCGACAGCGGCCAGGTCGTATGGGAGGCTAGCGACTCTGGAAAGGATATCCCTCTCCAGGTTTCCACCAACATCGAATCCGTCTACTCCGTTAGCTTGCACGGTAGCCCGTATAGCTTGAAGCTTTCGGTTCTCGATATCAAGACGGGCAAGCGAACCAACGAAATCGTTTTGGGAACTAACGGCGAGGTTCAATCCCCGAAGATGTTACGTTTGTCGGCTCAAACTCGGCGGCCCCGATCATTGCGTGGACCGACGCATCTGTCTCGAAACTCCGCGTCAATGTCATTGGCACGAAGAACAAGCTCGAATTTCCCCTTGCCCCGGATGCCGTGAGCGTGGACGTTCATGCGCCTCATCAAGTTCAATCGAATCCGCACTTTTTGGTGCACACACGGACCAAAACAGGCAACCGTGCGGAGGTGTACCATGTCAATCTCAAGAACAACGACGTCTCCAAAGCCTACGAGTTGCCCCATCTTCCCGGCCTCGGCGCAGTCTCGACTAGCACTGACGGATTGAACGTCTATTTCACCCGCATCACGGAGGAGGAGATTATCCTTGTTGACTCCACCTCCCATGGAGTTCTCGGAAAGTGGCCTCTCCAGAAGGGCCTCGATCTCTCACCGCTTCATGCGGCCACTGAGGTGGTGAAGAAAGGGGGATAAGTTTGCCGTCCGCTCTGCTATCACCACCACCTCGGACGAATGGACGCTTGTCAGGAATGGCGACGTGGTTTGGGCTCGACCTGAAGGCATGAGTGCCGCTGTTGCTGCTGCTTGGGCCGAGATTCCCGAAACGGAGAGCCTTGCCAAGCTACTTGAAGAGGAAGCACACACCAACCCACTTTCCGCCTACATCAGCCGAGTCACGCGCCACATTAATGATCTTCAGTATCTCCCCGACTACCTAGCTAGCCTACCATCGCGCTTTATCGGCAGCATTTTGGGTAGCCACACGGACTCTCACCCCTAGAACTCGTGCGAGACTCGTTTGGCTTTAGAAAGCTGATTGTACTTGCCACTCGACGCGGTAGGATCTATGGTCTTGATGCAGCCAATCATGGAAAGGTACTTTGGTCAAAGAAGGCGGTTGATCTCCCCAAGGGCCAGTCGTGGGAGGTGAGTGGAATCCTCGTCAACGAGGTAGAGGGTTTGGTCGAGGTTGTAGGCTCTCACGGAGATGTCACGGTTGCTAAGCCTGATAGCGGAGATATCGTCAACTTCACGCCTCCCCATGCCGAGGCCGTCTTCTCTCACGTTGCTCGTATTGAGAGCGCTACAGGCCCTAGGCTGTTGACCGTGGGGGTAGACGGAACTATCGAGGGCCTGTTGCCCGGGAGCACCTTTAACCAGACCCTTGTTCTACGCGGAGCGGGTGGCGAGCTCAAGGGCATTAAGCTGAGCCCGGACGGCACTACTGCCAAGCAAACTACATCTTGGGTCTTCACCCTCCGGCGGGTGAGGTCATTGTGACTGTCAAGACGCGACAAACTCACGATCCGGTCGCGTCTATCGGTCGCGTTCTCGGTGACCGCAAAGTACGATACAAGTATCTCAACCCGAATGCGCTCCTTGTCGCTGCTACGGACAAGACAAAGTCGACCCTCACAACATATGTCCTAGACTCGGTCTCGGGCGAGGTTCTATCTTCTGCGTCGTACGAAGGCGTTGACGCTACCAAGCCCATTGACTGCGTCATGTCGGAGAACTGGTTTGCCTGCACATTTTTCGGGCATTACACTGTTCGAGACGGGACCAACCGGGTCATCAAAGGATATCAGATTTCGGTGACGGATCTTTACGAGTCGGAAGTTTCAAATGACCGCGGGCCACTGGGCGACGCGGCCAAGTACTCCCCTTGGACCCCATCGATCTCCCCACCAACCCCGTCTTGCCGTCGTCCGAGACCCTTTCGTGGGTGTTGTCGGGCCCGATCGAGCGACTTTCGGTGACGCAGACGCGACAGGGCATCACCCGTCGCCAGCTTTTGGCTTATATGCCCGAATCCCACTCGATTCTAGGTATTCCGCGGGAGGTGCTCGATCCTAGGCGACCCGTTGGGCGGGACCCGACCAAGGAGGAGATGGAAGCGGAAGGCCTCGCACGATATGCACCCCAGCTTGAACTCGACCCCCGACTTATCATTAGCCACGTCCGCGACGTGATTGGGGTGAAGGAGATTCTCGCGTCACCAACCATCGTCGAGAGCACGAGTCTAATCCTTTCCTACGGAATTGACGTGTTCGCGTCGAGGGTCACGCCCAGCCTTCAGTTTGATGTGTTGGGTAGAGAGTTTAACAAGCTGGCCCTTCTCGGTACGGTAGGCGCCCTTGCACTTGCAGTCATGGCGCTCAAGCCAATGGTAGGTCCTTTGAAGTATCCCAAACTCGCCCAAATAGTAAGGCTAATGACTTGTTTGCTCGCTCTAGGTACGAAGGAAACAAACGAACCAACGCTGGGAGGCACCATCGTAGAATGGGGTTGTTTTGGAGCGCGGCGAGGTAGAGGAGAGGAAGGAATAGGAGAGATTGCGTGTGTGCGTGTGTGCGTGTGTGAGATTGGGGGATTGATTGTATTACTACAGATCAGATATCAAGATGTGAATAATCTAGAATTCCTTTTTCTTCTTCGCTTGAGCTCATGGCCTCCTGTCTTCTTCCTTTGCTGCCCAAGGCGAGGCTTGGGCCGATCTTGACTAAGGGCTACATCACGCATCTATGAATACCTCGGTACATGTATCGTCATTCTGCTTAGCTGTCAAAAAGGAAAAAAAAGGGAGAAAAAGGGTGGAATTTCTTAGGGCTAAAGCGTGGCTTGCAAAAAGCCTTCCTTTGAGATGGCTAGCGGCAGTGAAGAGGCTAGGCTTCCTTGAACATAAAAGGGGATTGATTGGATCCATCGGTTGCTTAACTTACATAGGGGATTGTACGCCCCAAACTACGTTGGATCTATCATATTGAACGCTCATTGGGGCCACTTTACGTCAAGATGAGAAGTCTGTTATCACGACAAGGCCTCGCATTTTTCCTTGTTCTCTCCCACACCGAAGAGAAGAAACCTGACAGGCTGCTGTTTTCGTTTATTCATTCCTATCGTAGAGCTGGGCTGAAAGGCGAGAGGTCGATCATCTTGATCTTGTGATCTCGGTTTTTCACTCGAAAGCCTTTGCCCAGCTGGCGAGGCGAAAGGTGGCGGCGACGAAGGCGACAACTAACCGTCATGGCGCTCTAGATTCTGTATTATTCTTGCAAATGGTTCGCTGGCGATTATTGAAGGTTACGAACAAGCAAATGGCTTAAGAGGTTGCCCCCGTCACACGAATCAGGACTGTTTAGCCTCCAGTTGGGTTGGGGCAGTGAGGGGGAAGCATGGAGATATGCCTTCATTTATCCTCGGCCTGTGCCTCTGTACCGAAGTAGACGTGATGATAATACGGAAACCAACTATTCCGAAGGGGGGCAAATAGTTCGAAAGTAAGAAGAGGATGACTTAGGTGAGAGGTAATGATAGGAATTGAGGGGCAGAGTTGAGCTCCCAGCTTCACGGGAGCAAGCCGGGATGGAGAGGGAAGACGATGTGCTCAGTCAAATTGATTTGAATCTATTGACCAACCCATCCCCATCGGACCCATTACACCAAAGTACTTGTATCAAACCAACACATATAAAAGGCTCTCAGACTGCTCTCTCTTCTAAGGGACACAATGGAAGCAAGAGATCAATGGATGGTCTTGAATTCATCAATGTGTATTACTTGGTTGAGGTATTAGTACATGGATCATTGATATGTATTACTTGGTACCTCGGTATATACCTTTGTCACTGAAAACATTTGCGGTTCGCGCTTAATACCGACACCGAAAACTGAAAACTGCACGAGGGAGGTGGTTCGCGGACTAACACTACATCAATTGATGTATACGCTGACATTGGTGGCTGCTCCAGCAAGAAACCACTAGAAATAGGCTATCGGCCGCGCACAGGGTCAGGCAACATTGAACCAGTGTTCAACTCAATCCCTTTTGATCCGCACAACCCCCAAATGTTCGAACCCAAAATTCCACACGCTCCCACCACCTCCCATCCCTAGTCCATGATCCCCAGGCCTTCTACTACGACGAATCATCGCGTTTTCTTTGGGAAGCGATCCTTTTACTCTCTCCTTGCTCGATGCGGGTCGCTGCCTCTCTAACCGCTTCCCATGGACTCTTCGCTGGATCGCAAACTACAGCTCTACCGACAAGCCCAGCATAGGCGAGAGCAAGATCCTCTACCATGTATTGTCTGCGGTGCAGGCGTTGCCAAGGGCCTTGAAGCCTACACGGATCATTTTACTTCGGCGCATTCCAATATACTTGAACGGGAGGTCACCGCCCAAGATGATCGTGCGAGCGTTGCTCGGAGGTATTACCGTCGGTCACAGAACCCCCAAACCCAGGGTAAGTGGGCAGTCTTGTCTCCCCATCCCTCTCCTGACCCTGCACGCATTCGCTATTCCACGGAGCCTGGCCCCCTTATCCCCCTTCCACCTCCATTCTCGCCCTCTGCACCACCATCTATTCCTATCCCCCTCTGTCTTCACTTTCATTTCTTGCCCCGCCATGGGCTAGAGTTAGGGAATCCGAGTGGTGTTGGCAGCCACTAATTCCGCCCCTCTTCTCCCCACCACTAGGCAGAAGTTCTCTGGAGTTGTTCGCGACCCTATCCAGCCCTCGGTCCCGGCCACACCAAGCATCCAACACAATACCCAAACGACTACCGACCCCACTAGTCAGCCGAAGACTGCGGTTGGTGACGTTCCAGCCACCCCAGCATCGCCACCTATTTCCAGCGTGTCCAAGGCCTCAGCCCGACCAAACCGCGGTAGCCCGGTCGCCTCATCGCACGGCCAGGGCAACCCACAACGATCTCGTGCCCGGCAGACAGTTGTACCTCCAGACCAAGAATTCTCCCGTCCCAGATACACTGGCGGCGCGCTGTGGTCCGAAAATAGCCCCCGGCCCTCGAACAAGCATTCTAGTCGCGCTGCCCAGCCATACTCGTCGACACACTCAGCCTCGGCTAGGAACCGCACCGGGCAGCAGCACCTCCACGATGACCCCGAAGGTCCGATAGCAGAGATGCAGAAACAGCCCGAAACCCGCCCGATCAGCCAACCGCAGCTCGTAGCAGAAGTAAAGGCATCTACACGGGGCTCGTCATGGTGGAGTCCAAATGCATCGATGTCGACACCGCCCAAGCAGACGATTCAGCCAAAGCCCTCACAGACGAGCAGTGGCAAGCCTTGATTGCGCTTCATCGGGCCCTCCTCCACGAGCACCACGACTTTTTCCTAGCAAGTCAACACCCTTCCGCAAGCCAAGCGCTTAAGAGGTTAGCATTAAAGTATAGTATGCCTGCGAGGATGTGGAGGCACGGGATACACTCTTTTCTCGAACTTTTGCGAAAACGCCTCCCCGACTCTATTCAGCACATGTTGAGTTTCATTTACTTAGCTTATAGTATGATGGGGCTCCTCTACGAGACTGTGCCGACCTATAAGGAAACCTGGATTGAGTGCCTTGGGGACCTTGGCCGATATCGAATGGCAATTGAAGACGAGAATATGCAGGACCGGGCGACTTGGACCGCAGTCTCACGCCACTGGTATAGCAAGGCCTCGGACCTCTCACCTGACACTGGAAGGCTCTATCACCATCTAGCTATTCTAGCTCGACCTGATCGGGTCCAGCAACTTTTTATTATTCGAAATCCCTCTGTGTGCCTATTCCGTTCGGCTCTGCCCGTGAGTCAATTCTCACCCTTTTAGAGCCAGTTCTTGCAGAGACTAGGACTAGTACCCATGAGCCTCATGAGCCCATCGACACGCCATTTGTGCAGGCGCATGCCTGTATGTTTCTAAGTAAGAATCCACAGCAATACCGTGCCTCGTCGACGAGATTCCTTGAGTGTCTTGACAGCCATGTGGCCCGATCCGCACAATTATTTTTAAAGCCTGCTTACTATATTGGTATCGCAAATTCTTGCGCTGTGGTGGAATATAATACTACTTCAGGTTTGTTTTATGATATTATCAACCAGCCTCTAGTGGACAAGCGGGAAGATCCCATTGCGGCTCAGCCTGAGGGTGGGGACGGCGCCGAGACCGCGGGAACAGTTGTTGAGGATAGCACGCGCAAGAGTGCCGGGACAACCCACCAGATACCACAGCCAGTATTACCCGCCACCTCAAGCCCCCAGTTCAAACAGGCGCGGGAGCTCTTCTGTGACACAGCTAGGCTGCTCCTCCGACGATTAGGCGACACAAATGTATGGCCATATGTACATGTCACGCTAGTCTTTATTCGACATCTCTCAGATTATCCGGCCGGAATGGCTCACATTGAGCGGGCTTTCCCATGGACACGCTTGGTAGATCACCTTAATACGTTAAAAGGGGACTCAATTCGGTATGAAGACCCTGGATTTCCTGGCGCACAGGACAAGCCGCCTTCGCGACCGTTGCCAGAGGATTATGCGATGCGCGGCCTTTTATGGGTAGATGGGTACCTTGTCAACAGCTTATTCGAGAGCGCCGAGGTGGACGATGAAGACAAGTATTTCGAGGTGGCGAGCTTCTCTGCGCAACGGAAGGAAAGGATTCTTTGGCTGGGATGCCAGATTGCTCGCGCGAACGGACGATGGATACGCTACGACGAGATCACAAAGGCGTTTACTGTGGCACCGGAATTTGACGACGAAGCCACTGCAGACGTAGACATCGAGATCGAAGATGCGATAGGGGCTGAAGTGCAGTCGCCGAAGCAGGCCCCGCAGCCCTCGCCAACGCCTGCCAAGGAACACCCGAAAGTAGACCTCCGTACCCTCCAGGTGAAGATTGAGGTAGCAGAAGAGCATGGGGAGAAAGGAAAACGGACAACACACACCCCCGCCGTCCAGCCTGGTCCGCAGCAGGGGAACGATCTAGGTGACTGACTCTTGGAACAAGAATCGGCACTACTATCATATGAAGGAGGAGGAGGGGGAGGGCGTACATGTACGGGGGTTGGGGCTTTTGGTGGGAAAGGGCAACGCCCAGCTAGACGTACATGTAATAGTGAAGGTACCACGAAAAGAAGAAGTATCCGGCCACTGTTGGCGCTCAGTTACAGTGAGTGTCCTAATCTCCTATCTCTCATCAATTCCTTCCGCTGGAAGCTAATTAATTGCTTTTTCTGTTTTCTTCCTTTTAGGGCTTTCTTTGAAAGCAGGATCAATTTGATCCCATTAGGCACAAAGGGCCAATCTCCCTCGCCACGAGCGAGCGCGAAGCGATGAGACGAGTTGCTCCCCGCAGCGCAGTAGCGCCTAACAACGAAGTGCCAGCTGGAGAAAGGCAGCGGCGCCTTGAAATTGACGAGGCCGCGAGGGGTTACATAGAGAGATCTATCGTAACCCCTGGCCATTTTTCAACACCGAACAATTCACCTTTCCACCTTCCTCATCTTTTTTCTTCTTTTTTATTTTTATTTTTATCTTTTACTTTGACTTTAATTCTTTTTCTTTTCGGTTTCTGCCTTCTTTTCGGCGTACTACATTGCCGAGGCATGGACAAATGGGACTACAGGACCATGTTGAAACACAGCCACGGGCGACAGATGACGTGAGACAAGATGGGCTGGCGAAGGCACGAGGATCACAAGCACTAGGAGGATCACGAGAGCGTCTTTCCAAGGGGGCGAGAAAAAAATGAGAAAAGAAAGATGAAAAAAAGATGAAAAAGATGAAAAAAAGATCGGAAGTGGGGGTCGGAAACGCATACATTAAGTTGTAGCAAAGACACGTCGACTGATTCGGTCTCGAAGAAGCAGGCCTCATCAGCTAAGGGTCAAGAGCTACGAAGACGCAGAGGTTCAAAAGAGTGGTGGCACAGGTTGCCCATGGATTCTCTTGGGTTCTCCTGTTAGGCATGGATGAGGCGAACTGGAGCCCGTGGCGCGCTCCAGCGAATTGCCACCTCTTAGGCTCATTTCTTCAGGCGGTCGACATGACATCAATCTTGGGCGCAACTGAGCCGTTCGCCTCCTTGCTGGCCGCAAGAGTTCGGGGAGTCGCACCCGGTCTCGTCCCAACCTGAAGATGAGCCCATAGCATCGCACCGCTCCTGGTGACTTCACGCAGGGCGCCCTCTGATGAGATATATTGGACGTTGAGAGTCTCAAATGTGTCTTGGATCCATGTAATTGAGCAATACTTTATAGATTGTCACTGACAGAATGGGCTCGGTTCCACTCAACGGTCGTTGAGAGATTATCAAGTGTATGTGCAAGTGTGTGTGTGTGTGTGTGTGTGTGTGTGTGTGTGTATGTTAGGAGTGCGCGCGCATGTGCGCGTGCAGGTTTCTTAGTGTGTCACTCACTACCTTCCCCCTTTCCTCCGCCGTCAGCTCGCTGTATCTGTAGGCATAAATCCTCAGCCGCCATACCCTAGCTGGGGCTGGCTTTTGCTCTCACGATTGCTGACGAAGTCACGGGATGGAAGCGCAGCCTTCTTGGGCCAAATTAGTACCCAAGACAGATGTTGGTTGGCAAAATTGGAGATCCGGTAGCCTCGACTCGAAAGTTACCATGACGGAAAGAACAGATCCGTGAATAGGTCATTCCCGGTGTGTCGCAAGTCTATCAACGATTCGCAGGGCCGGGGAAGCTGTGGGCGTGAGCGGTGGTTGGGTTGCTCGGCCTGGAGGTTGGCCACCGCCACTTCATATGTGCACCTGGCTGACCACTGGCGAACAGCATTGAAGAGGCTTTCCCCGCACCCCACTGCTGTAGGGTAGAAGACAAGAAAAGTTAAAAGAGAATAAAAGGCGACATCCGTGGCGGGCGAATCAAGGTATTGCATGTGTGCTTTGGTACATTGATGTCATGGATGCACAGTTTTACGACGGTTGTCGTTCTGCAGGATGTGGGTGTTCCAACCTGCATGGATGCGGTTGAGTTGATATCAATGAATCCAATCTACCAATTGGATGAATCCATACTGGATTTGATGCATGGCGCCGTGGTATACCTCGGAACCCAGGCAGACATCCCCGCTGCAAAGCGCAGTGTCGAGGTGAGGAGCAGCCGGAGGGAGTGGGAGGGGAAGGAGAAAGGGAGAAAGGCCCGAAGCAAAAACAAATGAAAAGGTAGCAGAGGTTCTTTTTTGCGTTTTCTAGAGCATTCTCGTTGGGTTCTCGTCCCTTCTCGTTCCTTCTCGTTCCTTCTCGTTCCTTCTCGTCGCCTTCTCTTCGCCTTCTCGTGCTCAAGGATACGGGGGTTTGTTGGTTTTCGCAGCATCCAGTCTCGTTTGCCGAGCCCGTTGCAGCGTGAGGATCTGCGCCGTGTTGGAGCCCCCTTGCCCCCTCCCGACCCGACATGCCCCACTTCTTGCGCAGCCCGAGAGCATACTGCCATCCTTATTCGCTGATGGATCAATTGACGATGGGTGCCTAAACAGAACCAGTGTGCCAAAGCAAGCCACGGGGAACGCCTCTGGACATGGCAAGGCGCAACAAACCAAAGGATAAGCAAGCAGAGCAAGAAGCAATCCGTCTTGACCGATGTAGGAATCCGGGCATATCCGTCATCTTATCAATCTTTTTTCTTCTCTTTTTTCATGAAAGAATAAAGCGCAATCTCGCCATCGACGCTCATCGTCAACCCACACATCGTGCGATCTCTGCCTGGTCTGCCTAGTCTGGCAGGTCTGCCTGGTCTGGCTAGCACCTCGCCCCTGGGCTCGTGCACCTTGACTGCGACACCATGTCACTCTGGCCGCCGCCGACGCAAGCTCCCAGTTTTCGGGCTGGGTCTGCATCATTGTTTTGAGACAAAAAAACATAGTAGTTGTCCAATGAGCTCGAGACTTTATCGGTGGATTCAATGTTGTGTGGCCCATGTCAAATCCAAGGCAGCCGCGGTTGGCCACCTCAGTCTCAAACAGCAGCAGCCGGCTTCCCCCACTTTGATTACCAGAAGATCCTCGATGTCGAGGGACAGGTGGAAATAGGGTGTGTGTAGTACAAGTATTATCACGCTGCCCACGAATTCTTTTGAACGTTGAACAGTTTCGCAAAAGACCCCCAGACAATGCATATGTCCATGGGATGCAATTGGTCCAGAGCAGAACGGACGCCTAGGTTCGCCTGCCAGCCGCCCTGCCCGGGTATCACATTACACCAGACAAATGGATGAGTGTAGTAATAGACCTCAACCGAAAGTCCAGCCTTCTTCTTCAACCATTGATTACATCCATGGATGGATGTCTTTCCGAGAATCCCCTCCCGTCAGGGCTCTACACGATGCACGAATAGAACTATCACTCTGTTGTCGGCATCTTTTTTGACGTCTTACGACCCCGCGACTCGGAACGCACCCGCGAAAGGGAAGCGGTGGGTCCGCCGATTGCGGGCCTATGGGCCGCCTTACAGGTAGCTCGCCGCGCCTTGCGGGTCTTACGAACAGGCTGCCGTAGGGCGAGGCTATTCACTCGATCCATTCAATAGAACGTGTCCTTGAAACCAAACCCTCCACTTCTTTTTTCTCCCTCTCCCTTGCCTCTAACCCTTCGTAAAAACACCACAAGATTGTCGGAGACAATTTCCGCGAGGGATTCAAGTATCTGGACATTGCGCCCCCAGAGAGATAGGGGCGCGGAAACCAGACGGGAGGAATGAAGCAGTGTCACGAAGTTTGCTTTTGTCGCATCTGAGTCCGGCGAATAAGACAGCTGAAAATACATTTGGTCACCACTCCTATGCCGGCGTGGCACAGAGGGAGGGATCCATGGATCCATCAATGATATGGACTTTGATTCGTGGGAGCAGGGCCGGCTGCGGAAGCCCAGGCTCGGAGATCAAGGCTCAATCAAGTTCCCAATCACATCCGAAAAAAAAAACATATGCTGCGTCCCCGGGATTACCGCAGCCCTACTTACCGAAACCAAATCCATCATCCCCCACATTCCACAAGATGGGTCGGCCCCTTGATCAGGCAACCCGCGCAGCTTCCGGACCTGAAACCCTCTCTTAGAATACCATGCCTTCTTGCGGGTCGCTCATGGCCCCCTGCCCCCTTGCTTGGGCCTCGTGCTGGTAAGCGAGTCAGATCCTGGCAAGGCTGCGGGCGTGTAGGTCTGTCATTCCCCGGCCATCACAGAAAGCGGTGAGTGAGCACTTCCTCGGTGTGGGCGGGGAAGGCATGCCAGAAGGAGGAGGAGGAGGGAGGGCGCTGCTCTCGGATGGAAATAAAGGGCGGTATTGCGACAAGCTTCGGGGATTTGATTCACTTTCTATTGAGGCGGAAACAGGCGTCACCCCAAAAGTAGGCTGCGCCTTACACCGTATCCGGATAAGATAAGTCAAGGTGGGGGTAATGCTGCACGGGTATCAACATTCCTTTCACAAGTCTAATACACACATACTATCATACAAAAACTCCCGTCTATGGTTCCCGTTCCCGTATGATGTGTAACACCATCTCCAAGACACCGTTGTATCACGCGCAAACGCGCGTAGACTCGTTGTCAACCAAGTCCGTACAAGGCGGCCCTAGGCGAGAAGCGAGGCTCACACCGGTCAAGGATTGGCGTCCAGGCCCTGTCCGAGATCAGGAGACTTACACCTTGAAGATTGCCATCAGCGGGTTGCTCGGTGGTGGTGCGACCTCCTCGAGCAGCGATTTGGTTTGTCGTATTCTCTCTTGCGCTACCTTCTCTTCCGCCAACCATCGATCGGCCGTTGCCTCGGATCCGGTCCTCGACCAGAACCGGAACCTCGAGGGCTCCTGGGCCTTTGCGTCGGCTTTGCGCTTCGACTCCACGTTGGCGAGCGCTGCTGCCATCGCGCTCCAGTTATACAATCCCGTGCTTAAGCACTGCTGGCACGTCTTCTTCGCCTCCTTGTCCACCGCCGAGCCCTTCTTTTCCGTCACCTTTCTCAGCTGCTCCTCCGCCGCATCCACTGCCTCACGCGTCCACGCCACACCCTCCTCCTTGCTCCTGGTGGCGTACAGGATCTCGCCGATATAGAGCCTCAGCCCCGCTTCCTCGCAGAGCTCACGTGCGTCCCGCCAGGGCGCCGACGTGCCGTCATCCGGCGCCTCCGGATACGCCGGCGGCTGGAAAACCCCGCCAACCATCTCCAAGAGCGATTTGGACGGACCGCCTGAGGATACCTTTGGTGGCGGCGGCGAGTCCGAGAGCTCGCGTCGCGCCTTGAGGATGGAGACAAAGGTAGGAAGCGCCGCCGATACTTCGCCGACGCTGGCCTTGTGTGTTGCAAAGGCCGTTAGAGCCTTGAGAAGGTTGCTCGAGGGGGTCCGGCCTTCTCGTTGAGCGTCATCGACCGGGCGTCGTAGGAATCCACCGTTGGTAGCCTGTCCTCTACCGCGAGCGATAGAGCCCATCTGTACATGCTTTCCGCCGCATCCGTCAGGTTTTGAAGTCGAGGAACGACGCGTAGGCGAGCGCGGCGTCCATCTTTTGCCTCGACGTGAACCCCTTGGTCGTCAAGATGCGAAGATAGTAGTTTTCCGCAGGTTCGTAAGCCGTTTCGCAATCCTCTTCCCGAGGCGCGCTTCGGGACCCCGCAGCAATCGGCTTAGGGTTAGGGTTAGACGGCCCAAGGACAACGTCGGGCGGGAACACGGCGCCCCGGCTCTTGTCAACGACCCAACCGTCTAGCTGCTCGGCAGCCCTTCCTGCTAACATCAGCGTCTCGTAGTAGCCCCTCCTCCAATTTTCGCTCTTGTCCGTGACATCGTAGCCGAGTTTCCCGACCCCTTCGATGTAGATGGACCCCTCCACGAGCTCCTTGATCCCCTTCCCATCGATGTTTGGGTCTTCCAGTCTCCTGATCGCGTCCAGGCACGTTTCTATGACCTCTACCCAATCCACACGCACAGCTTCCGGGCGATGCGGCGCCTGGAACGCACCCCGCAGCAGGATTCTGGTGATCCAAGTCAGCTCATGGGGCGTCGGGTACTTGCGCTCGAGCATTTCCTGGTTGATAGCCCAGTGGAGCGCGGCCAGGGACGCAAACGCCCCCAGAGGCCGAGCATGTACCGGGCCACCATCTTGGCCTCGTACTTAATCCGTTGTTTGGTCTCGGTCGTGAGGAAGCGGGCGGCTGGTTTCTTGGAGGGGATCGAAAGGAAGGCGAGCTGCGGCCTCGCGTTCGACGTGTACGTGATGTTCTGGGAGAAGACGCGGTTCGTCTGCGCATGGCGCATCGCCTGCCTCGTCAAGAGGCGGCGAATCGTTCTTTCTCTCATCTTTCGTCAAGGAGAGAGCGTCGAAGAATGCGTGGCCTTTTCCTGGCGTTTCTACCACGACGGATGTGGGTGCTATGAGCTGGCTCGATTCGGATCGAAATCAAGAGGTTGAGGCGACCATGGAGGCGGCCAAGACCGTCTCGCAGTTATTTGAAGATATCGTTAGTCGAGTTCGAAGGAAGTTGGTCGTAGGCTACGGAAAAGCCGGGACGATGCTTCGACTTGGTATTGCTGTCTTGTGCTGAATGATGTCGTTGTCGTCGATCGGAAAGTGCAACCCAAAAATTCAAAGGAAAAAGCTCTCCAGTTCGAGCCAGGTGTGGTTCGGTTAGTCAGCAAACGCTTTCGGGCGTCGTGGTGGTTGTTCTCTTTTGATGTGCGAGAACCTCTCTCAACTTCGAAACCTTCGTTTTCCCCCTGCTCATTATTTCAGGATTCCAAGTCACTTGATCTTCTTGTTGCATTAAAAAGCAGAACTTGTCGTTATTATTTTCATCAAGTTCCATTAGGTTTGAGTGCTTCATCTCATCTCGTTTTCGCCGTTTCAACCTCCTTGGAGCCCAAACATTAAGTACTTTGTATCATTACCAAATCGTGTAAGAGGAGGTATCTCTAAGGCCAGCTTGTTAGTGCAACCTTGGTTCAAGACTGTTCTTGAACAAAACTTTGCATCATCTCCAATTGCATCAACGAGAACCCGGCACCAAGCTCAGAGCGATCGGCATATTTTTATTCTCTGCTATTTAAGCCCGCTTACGTTGACGGAGAGTAGCTTCTGGAGCATCGACGCTTTCCGACCCCTTTCTCTCTCTTAGTATTCTGGCCCGTCGTTACGTTTTGTCGTCTCTTTTTCAAACTCGCCGTTGACGGCGGTTGCCAAGCATGAGCCACCTACTATCGGACCTGACAACCAACACGCGGTTCCAGTTTGCAGCTACCGCTCTCTTCTCAGGCGCGACGGTAGCTGCCCTCATCTTTGGCTACCAGGCCCTAGAAAAGGAAGAGAGGTTATCCGAGCTCAAGAGCTCCATCCCCTCCCTTTCCGAGACCGGACCAAAGGTAAAACCAGCTTTCCCCCTTTGCCAACTTTGCCTCTTTCCGTCGCTTCCCTCTGGCAGCCCTATTCCTTTGTAGCAGAAAACTGATATGCCGGATAGATCAAGTCCAGCGTCCCAGACCCCAGGTTTGTCGACAAGGACGACCTCCGGAATGAAGCCCTCGCCCGTCGCGCCCAGCGCGGCGACTTTGACGAGGAGCTCATCCTCGAACAGCTCGCGCGCAACCGCGTCTTCCTCGGCGACGATGGCCTCGCCAAACTCCGCGAGGCCTTCATCATCGTCGTCGGGCTAGGCGGTGTCGGCTCCCACTGCACCGCCGCGCTCGCGCGGTCCGGCGTCTCGAGGATGCGCCTAGTCGACTTTGACCAAGTCTCCCTGAGCTCCCTCAACCGCCACGCCGTCGCCACTCTCGCCGACGTAGGCATGGCCAAGGTGCAGTGCATGCACAGGCGGCTCATCGCCATCACCCCGTGGGTCAAGTTCGACCTTAGGCAAGAGAAGTTCGACGGGGCCGCGGCGCCCGCCATGCTCGCCCCCTGGGGAGAGGATGGCCGGAAGCCGACTTCGTCGTCGACGCCATCGACAATATCGAGACCAAGGTCGCGCTCCTCAAGTACTGCCACGACCACAAGATCCCCGTCATCTCCGCCGCCGGGTCCGGCTGCAAGAGCGACCCCACCCGGGTCATGGTGGGCGACATCTCCGGCACCACTGACGATCCCCTCTCGCGGTCTACGCGCCGTAAGCTCAAGCTGCAGGACGTCACGTCTGGCATCCCGGTCGTGTACTCCGTGGAGAAGAGCGGCGAGGGCAAGGCCTCCCTCCTGCCCCTGTCTGACGAGGAGTTTCAAAAGGGCTCGGTCGGGGATCTGGGCGCCCTCCCCAACTTTCGTGTCCGGATTTTGCCCGTCCTTGGGACCATGCCGGCCATTTTTGGCTATACCGTAGCAAACCACGTTATCCTTTCCATCACAGGTAAGATTTGAGACCCTACCGCTGCCTCCCCCACATCTATCTATCCGCGCCTCCCATCACGGCCAGTGCCCCGCCCTCTACATCCAGTGACTGTTTATGCGACTCCCGCTAACCCACATTCAAGGTTACCCCTCAACTATCCGGCTGTCAAGACGCGGGACAAGGCGTACGACACCGCTCTCTCCTTCCTCCAAGGCGCCGAGGAAAAGATTGTGCGCGCCCGGGAGGGTGTATCCGACCCCCTCGCCGCCATGGGCCTCAAGTGCGCCGTGTCTGCGGGAGACGTCACGTACCTCATCGAGGAAGTCTATCGCGGGCGGAGCGTCGTGTCTGGAGTCCCCACAAAGCTTGTGCTTGTCCGCTGGCAGCCTCCCGAGGGCTCCATCATGACGGTCATCGGCAGCGGGTCGGACGAGCAGAAGACATCCAACCTCAAACTGCGCAACATTGTGTGTATGACCAAGGAAGAAGCTACGCGCCATATTGAAAAGGTGCTCAAGGGAGGCGCGAAGCTGGAGGATGTGTACGATGGCGAGGTAATAGAGCGTGTGGCCGCGAGGCTGGCGGAAGCGGAGGAGGCGGAGAAGTGGAGGATGTAGATTCTTGGCGAAGCATGTAAGTTTGGAATGAGGCCATCTCCTAGAAAGAATAGATGAGGAAGAGGGGAGACTGGTGAAAGTTGAAAACTTTGGCTGTTCAAAATTAGGGGCACCTATGTGAATCACCATCTATAGCATTGAGCCTTTCTTTTCCAAATATTTTTTTCAATATTAGTGTTTTTGTAAGAGAAGCTGGTGCCGCACTCATTGGGTATCTTCAAGCGAATATATACATCTAATCAACGCTGAGCGGCATTGTTTCTCATACCAACCCCTTTGCCCCACGGAGGTTCATGCTCAAGCAAAGCGGATCCCCGCGCCGTCTACAACATCTCCCATCTGGTGAAACCTGGCATCGGGGAGGAGGTACTGGGAAATCCATCTCGCGGTTTTGGAGTGCAGCGTTCCGTGGCCAAAGGGCTCCGAGGTGATCGCCTCGCTTGCCTCGGCGCCGATGTCGAGGTTTTCAACACCCTCGACCACGGCGGCCTCGTCGTCCGCACCCTCATCCTCACCAGATCGGGGAAGCTCGACCGCCCCTCGGCCAGCGCCTGGAAACACACAAGCTGGTCCTGCAGATACTGGTCGACGTGGCCCCGGGCCTGTACCTCGGAAAAGAGGGCCTTGGCGGCGAGGCGCGAGATATTTTCGGACAGAGACGCGGAAGTCTCGTTGTTGTTCTTGGGTACGGCGTACAGGACATCGCGGCCCCAGCGCAGGCCGGCGGCGGAGATTCCGACGAGGAGAACGTAGATCCTCGTGCCGTGGCCCGAATCTTCGACCTTGGCAAAGTTGATGTCGACGCCGGGGAAGAGGCTGTCGATGCTGCGGGACAAGGCGCCCTGAAGCGTCTCCTGTAGGCGAAAGGGCACGATCATGGTGACGTCTATGGTCTTGACTTCGAAGTCGGCGGGCTCGGTATACGGCCTCTCCGGGGCACCGGTGTGAGGGCTGTGCCCTGCGGGAGGGGATACACCCTGAGGGAGACGCAGCCGTGGCTGGGAGGACCATACACCCAACCTCTGCTCTTCAGCTCCCGCTCCACACGGATGCCGAACCGAGATTCCAAGACGGGCATGAGCACCTGGTCCATGTAGTCGTAGCTGAGGGACATGGTGGTGTTTGTGCCACCGTGGAGCTCGAGTTCGATGGGCGAGCCGCTCGTCGCCGGCGTAGAGCAGGAACGGGAGGATGGCTTGGAAGGCGAGCATTGCGCTCGCGCCGCTGGACTCGGGCACGACCTTGAAATTCCTCCTGAGGAGGGCGGTGGGGCCTACGTTCGGGATGAAGGTTAGGGTCTTGGACCCAACCACTAGTCCTTCCACTTCGGCATCCGTCACCTCGGCGAGAAACTTGATGGCGGCGACGTGCTGGTTTTTGAGACCACCTACAAGAGGCGCCATGTTAGTATCACGGCTTTACAAACGAAACATATGAGGAAGAAGGCGTTATTCGCCCAGTCAAGAGAGGGAGATTGCGCTATAGAGCCATGAATCGCATCTTTTCGAGCAACCCCCCTCTCTCTCTCTTGTTTATGCTGCTTTCGTTTCTTTTTTCTTCTTTTGGGCGTTTATACCTCCGGTCACTTGCATCGCCCCACGTTTTCCTACACGCCGGCCCGAGGTGCGGTTCCCGCGGACATTGATGATGCGGATCGGTTGGCCGGTCACAGCCGATAAAGCTACTGCGATTCGGACCAATTGCCCGCCGCCTTCGCCCGTTCTCCCATCGAGAAGCAGAGGCTTCTTCTTCCGTCGTTGGCCCACCATTCTTTGATAGTGGTAGTAGCTGTGGGTGGTGGGGGTAAAGACGGGTCGATCGAAGGCTTGGGGGTTATTGCGCCGAGCTGGAGGTCGAATCAGCGGCAAAAGAAGAGACGCCGATATGGGGATAAAGTGATGGTAAAGTACGAAAGAGAGGACATTCAACTCATCAACCCGGAGAGATGGGGATTTCCTTTGCTTTTCTTCTTATTTCGTCTTCATTCTTGGTATTGCCTGTTTAGCGTGTGATTTACACTATAATTTGTATTTTGGGGTTCCAGCCCGGGGTTCCATTGAGGGGTTCCAGGGGTTCCAGCACAGGGGTTCCAGCTCCAGGGACAGACAGCCCTGCCCTAGAGCACTCGAGCACTAGCTCCTGACGGTGGGTGGCTGAGGCGCAATGCCCTTCTGCACATCGAATCATTCATTCCATCCTCCATTGGATGACTCAATTCTACACCGGCAAGAGTCATTGTCATTTGATAGGCCATCTCTCGTCCACCTTTCAGATTAGGCAACAGCTCCTGACGCCGACAGATCCGTCTCTCTGCTCACCTCTCCTCGTGCAAATGGTGCATAAGGACCAAAAAGGATGGACCTGGACTGGTCCATAGAGACTCCTGATGATTCGGCGGATTGGATATCGCGCTCCGCCACGATGAAATTTTGAGCCGATTGTGAGAGGGTATTATTAATGGATCCGATTGGATAAATATATGCTTCTCGGTATATGTGTGGCAAATCCCAACTGCCCGGTCCTCCCTCCTCCCTCTCCGATTTCCAAGATAAACTGAGAAAAGTTACGCCGGTCGCAGGAGGGAGCCGGCCGGGCCTCCAACACAATCGGCGGCCCCGGAGACATTCTTCGAAGCGCAAGGAACGTGACGCTCGGGCTTACCACGCCCTTGGCCATGGGATGGCGGTGGGCCAATGCATTGGTAGCCCCTGAACTTTATGAAGCACAAGGGTCACGAAGAAAGGGAAGAGCATCCCCGGCGCAGATCCGTCATAGATCCAATCGATTATTATGGTTGATGGGGCTGAAATTGGGAATGGTATTAATTGTTGCCTCTCGATTATCAGTTTGTCAGTCTAGATTTAATATCAAACAATAGAAAATCGAGGCAAGGTGGCGATCGCTCTCACGTCCAATACAATCTTTGCTCGCCACTCGCCTCGATCGACATGTCTCTATGCATCCATCCATGGATCCCTCCAGTGCTATCACCCATCCTCTATATAGGTCAAGCGTAATCAACCCCTACGATCGTAGCAGGGCAAGGGGCAGAACCTTATATAATCGATCCTTCCTCTTTCTCCTTCCTTCACACCTTTTCCTCCGTCTCTTGAGGGCTGGGCTGGGTTTGGGCTGGGCTTGGGTTTAGCTTTCTTTTTCCTTCCTTCTATTTCTGTAAGGTCCAATAGATGCAGGAATCCAGGATTTTGCTAATCGGGTTGAGGTAAGATTCGAACCCATCATAAATCCCCAGCCATACGAGCCGACCTCTTGCAGCTGAGTCTACGCGTAGAGCTCGGCTTGATCGGATCATCGAAGCTGGCCAATACTGTTGGCTTTTGCCATCATCGAAAGTCGTCGTGGTGGGCGCTCCGTCAGTCTACCGACACCCCATTGGATAAATCTCTTGGCTTCTCTTCGCCTTCAGGTTTCCCTTGCCACCATTGAAAGATAGAGACGGTTATAGGTACCATAGAGAGCAAGCAGTCATGCGGACAAGGAATGTTAAGACAAAACAAGACGAAGAACAAGATTGGGAAACAAAGGTTAAATAATCAATCTAGGACAAATCCACTACTACCATGGTAGGGGTGCAAATAGGCGAGGCGCTAGTCTTCAACGACCTTCGACAAAGCTAACCGGACAAAGAGAAGTCGTTTGAGCAGGAGGGTGTGGGCCTAGCTTCCAATATTACCGGTTATTGGCGTCGATTTTAGCTTTAAAACCCACCGCCCCCAAGGGTTCAAGCTCGCGAGACTTCTCCAAATCCTTGAGCATTCTTGATACAACAAGGCGGGTGCCTGCAACCTAGCTGTACCTGCGTTATTGTCAGTACAACGCACCGGTAGGTCTCCATTCAGCCTTGTCCCAAGGTTCTTACCAAGAAAATATTTTACTGCTGCCTCTTCGTCCCGTACGTCTTCCCGGATGGCTGCCCCGATCCCCCACCATGGCCGGGCGTCTGGTCGTTGCTTCTCTCCTGCAGCAGTGTTAGATGTGTCAACGGAATCACGAACAACCGGCTCGGCCAAGGTACGTACCGGGAAATTTGTTCCGGGGCGGCCTCTTGGCCCTGGGTACCTCCTTCCGGGTCCTCATCATTATCGCTAACCATAAGCTCAGTGTCATAGAGAGATGAGTTACTAGGGGGCCGGGGCCGACAACAATAGTGACTCTGTCGATTACGTCTAAGTAGCGGCCTGCCCTCGCCATATATGCGCCATAGCCAACTTGCTGTGTGGCCTGCCCCTGTTGTTCGGACTCCCGCCTACTAGTCACATCCATTTCGATTAGTTTGTATTCACTCTTGCTCTTCGCCATAGGGCCGCGAGGGGCGGTGAGGAAGTATGGAAGCGCTAGATTCATCGGCTTGACCTACCGAGGTTGTTCATTGAGAACCTGATTCTGCAAATAATCACCTTGGGCATCTTCGACAACGACCGACTCGGGACGCGCCTCTTCTTCCGCGGGGGCGAGAACGGGGAATCCGGGGAGGACATGTTGAAGAGGCACCAGGGATCGCTGGGGCTCTTCCTTCCGATATCTCTATGCGAGTCGTCGTCGTACTGGGGAGCATCGAAGAAATTATCCCCACCTCCACCACGCGATGTATCGTTGTCTCTAGACATGTCGATGACTGAGGAGAGGCGGCTATGGATCGATTCGGTGTCTGAGGAGAGGGTCGAGAAAACCGAATCGAGGCTTGATAAATTTCGATGCCACCAAGGCTACCACGCTTGCCAAGTGCGGTGGTTGGGAGAGTGCAGGCGTGTTCGTGGAAGTGGGCTAGAGCCCTCGTTGATGGTTTCGCAATCGGAGGCAGGTGCTTTAATGATGTTTATCCTAAACACCGTTGCCGTTGCGCGCTAGAGGGATTCTGTGGTCTTTCTCGGTCTATGGTTAAGGACACCGCTCGAAACAAGGCGAAAAGACCCAAGGGGGAAAGGGTAGGAGCAGAACAAGGAGAACACTCACGACAGGTTGGGTGTATCGCTGGACATCTATATGTATGGGGATGAGCTCGGAAAAACTTCTCGTTGGGCCTTTTCAGGTTTGGGCTCCAATGTTTGACCGCTTCCTGGTAGGTAGAGGCGGCGGGCTAAGTACGTGGGTCAAGAAGGGGGATGGTGGGATGCAGAGAAGAGGGGGACGACCGAGAGAGCCGGCTGCAATCGGAAGAGCCTGCGTGCAGGCCGGTCGCGTCTGCTCCTCCACCCAAGGAAACGTGACAGGATAGCTAACTTGCCCTCTATTAGGCGTGGCCACGGATCTATACTATATGGCAAGCAACCAGCGTGCATGGCTCCCCTATCAAAAGGAGCACATTGTTGGCAAATCTCATTCGCTGGTGCCAGGGTTGCGATAGCGTCCAGAGGGACGCATGTGGCACTGTTCAATGCTCAAGTCTAGCAATGCGGAAAGCTAGCTAGCCTCTCCTATTGGAAAACTTGGCTACTCACCGAAAAGGTCAGGGTCTTCGGCCGTGTCGCGAATCGACGATTATTATCGACGTCGAGCTCTTCTCACTGCCACTCTCCCAGCACTGACAGGCGCGGCGGAGAGATGAAAGCAATGCCTCCAAGGAAGGAAAGATTAGCAAAGGGAAGGGGATGGGGGAAAAGGCCGAGGGGGAGGAGCAGGGTACGAAAAGCGAATAGCGAAAACACAGGAACAGCGACAATCGCGAGAGGTGGCCGTTTTTCGACACAGCCCGGGTATGGCACTACAGGCGCGAGACAGCAACCAGCAGCGCCAACGATCTAGCGTCTTCCGAACATCAAACGATGAATGGATCAATTGAATTGGATACCTAAGGGTTGCGTATCCCCTCTGACGTGGGCAAGCATAGGCTATATCGATGGATGGTGGACCGCACCAGCACCCAAGTAGAAATCACTGCATGCGGGGCTGGCCCACCACCGACTCGAATACTCGCTCCAGGGCTTGACTGCCTTGTCGAGGTGAGAGAAAGCAAATGGAAGGCGTGGATCAAGGAATCAACGGTGAGGGTTGTCTGCCAGAACGCCACTCGGCCAACGGGGGCTTCAGTGCTCTTCGAGTCGACCAATTTTGGGGGCGCATGACGGGAGCGAATTGCCCGGTTGTTACTTGGGTGGCCTGGGATATCCACCTCAAAAGATTCGGTACAGCGTCTTGCGAGAAAGGAGATGCGGACAAAGGTCCTTGAGAGACAGAATGCCAGGGATTCAACCTACAAGTACGAGCCCCCTTCGCAAATCGACTTGATGTGCTGGCTGTGCCCGAGGATACATTGTTCTCGGCGATGGTGCGGGACTTGGGGCCGACCGAGTTGCATTTGGACGAAGCAGATTGAATATTGACATTGCTCGGCAGAGGACGCTCAAGTGATTTGAGGGGGTTCTTCTTCTATGGATGGCTCAATGTTCTCTGGCGCACACATCCCCCACACCCCCTCCCCATCCTTGGTCCTTGGAAAAAGGCGCCCTCGAGCAAGCCACGGCAGGGCCCTCGCGTTGTTCTTCTCACATCGCGTATGTTGGTACAGTGCCAACCAAAAATGGACCGTTGGCTGGGTGCGCTCCCGTCTTGGTTGGGGACGGAGTACCGGCAGGTGAAGCCAACCTTGCTACTGGGAGCGCCGGGTGAACCTGACGGTGCAAGAGGGTATCGACTCGACCAAATTCGGGACGCTCGCTAAGCAATGTTGCTACCCTCTATGATCTATCCCTCCACTTGTTACGCCGTGGATCAATTGGTATGACGCAGTGGATATTCAGATGCCTTTACCGTTAGTAGGGACGAACGGTGCAACTTTTTGTTGCAATTCATTTTTTGGGAGGCTACCATATTCCCCAGCAGCTCGCATCATGCGCCCCCTTCATGCTCTTTCAGCTTGGGGCCCTCGCCGGCCATTTGGGGCGATGTGGGGGTTCATGAATCAAATTATCTGTCCGTTATGGTTTGTGCCCAGTTCCCGATCAATGCTCATACTACTACTCTACATGTTGGCCTCGTTCGCGCGGACACCTAGGATAGAAATCCGGTTGGTCGCAAACGAAGGGGCAGGGGAGCTGGCGGCGCTGCCAGTTTCCCGCACCTTGTGTGGGAAATTTCCATGGCGAAGACCAGCAACGAGAGGTTCGGTCGGGTGTCTTGAATGTTTCTTGTCCTACAGCCCCCAAAAATCGACCTGACCGCTCATTGAACCGTCACTCTCTCACCGAGATTCTTCCTATTTGCGGCGATGAGTCGTTCAAGAGGGAGACCTCACGATTGCGACCCCTCGCCTAGAGTCAGAGTCTTTATTTTATTTTCCTTGCCAGGCGGGGGCTGTCTCCTATTTTCAATCACATTATCGGCCCTTGGTTCTTTCGTCACTCTCCCGCGCTCATACTTGCGTCTGCTGCACGAGGTGCCGCCAGACTCCTGCGGTCGTTTCCGCTTCGGGGTTCCGAGGTTCCATTGAGGGTTGAATCCCGGCTCGAGATCGACTATGGATGTATGTACAAGTATAACACATGTCGCGGATAATAATCCCAGTGCAACCTAGAACCCCAAGGGTCTATCCGCTGGACGGGCTCCAGGAGCCTATGCAGTAGGGTTCCTTCGACAGGGTCCAGAATTGAAAGGGGCGGATAGGATCCCTTCGCTGCGAGAAACTTTTCCCAAACTCGCCGTCCGATGTCCATGAGTGATCACACCCAAACCCCACCTTCTCCCGTTCCGGTGGCCCACGGTTATCTTGGCCAACCTTATGTACCGTCCAGGATTGCTGCCGACGACGCCAAGTGGTGGTGCCCCCGCCTCAATCAATCGGATGACAGATCCATTCACTCGAAACTTGGGATTTAGAGAGGGAACGGAGGTGACGAGAGCCGTTGCCAAATGATTGAGGCACACCAGCAAGGTGAGGAGTGGGGAGTGAGAGTAATAAGAGTGGACACATGCATCAATTGATGTTGGACATTGAAAGACCAGGGTGGGAAATTCGATGGGCAAGATCAGTTGGTCGGCGCTCGCGATGGTCCTAACGCACAGTGCACGAGGGTATGGCGCCTGCAGTGGCACGCACGAACATGGATTTGACTACTTCGTACTTCGTACTTGTAGGTTGAATGGAATGGATCCATCCATGGATCCATGGATGGATCAATTGATCGATTGTATTCTGAGAGCTCGGCTCCCGGAGCACAAATCCCCTCTCCCTGCACGGAAAGGAGAAAAACACAGTTCCGGGGCTGCTTGTATTATTACGAAGTACATCTCCCAGAGGGTAACATTGAACACAACATTGAACACAACATGATTGAATGGATCGATAGACTTCAGATGTGCTGGCAGGATCGGAAGCAGGGGCATCCCGGCAGGTTCAACGCTGTGTTCACTTGATCAAGATGGAATTTTACGACCCGAACACAGAGTGGCCCGGCAGTTTCCCCGTTGAACCACACGCTAGGTCTTGGTGTTGGCGTTTTTTTCCGGGAATTTACATCAAATGAATCTATGAGCTGCCGTCAGATGAAAGGGTCACTGCCTTATCGTGTAAGACTCGAGACGCTTTTCGTGTTTACCGATCGCTTCCTGTGCGACGAAGGAAAGTGTAGGACATTTGTTCAAATGTGGTTTGGGCGTACAGTGGCGCGAGGCCTGTTCCTGCATAGGTTGATCAATCCATCACCATCAATCCGTGAAGGGGAGTTCATGGATGCAGCCAGGAAGTAAGCCCTTCCGAGTCGAGCGTTCCAGCGCTCCATGGAGGCTCACTGCAAATGTGCACACTTTGCGAATCGAACATCTTCGCTCCTGCGGAGAGGGCGCTTCCCCAGTGTGAATGCCCCAGTGTCAGCGTCTACATGTACAATAGATCTATTGTACATGTAGTCAAAGGTCGCTCGCTAGCTTGCGTGGTTGCCATTGTCCGGCCTGACCTTTACTTTGGCGTCCTTGGAATTTCCCGGTCGTCTTTTTCATTCTTCAACCAACATCCCAGTGCCAGGGCCGCGGTTTCGCCAAGCAAGCACAACGCCCGAATGAGAGAACTACACGGATTCATGGATGCCATAGAACAAGGTCACTCTAAAGATACAAACAAGCTCTGAAGGAAGATCAAGAAATGGGGTGGGAACAAGGAGGCTAAGGAAAAGAAGGAACAGCGAAACTCTTTGAGATCTAGTCTATTAAGCTAAAGTACAGAGGCCATCGCGACAACAACACCGCGGTGGAACTTTCAAACTGGCATGTTAAGAACAAGGATTGGGGGAAAAGAAGAGGAAGTGATTAAGGGAAGAGACTACAAAATACAAACGGCACAGCCAACGAAAAGAAAGAATGAAAAACGCAACACTCCAAAAAAGGGAAAAAAAAGGAGAGAGAGGCGGGGGAGATGGATAGAGAGAGAGGGGCGGACTGAACCAGAATGGAAACTTTTCAAGACTCATACTCTGCTTCAGCGAAACCAACCAACTCTGTGGTCTATACACACCGTCTTGGGTGCTTTAACCCAAACCGTGCATGCGGCTTTCCGCAAATATAGAAATGTCCAAAACCGGGTATAAAAGCGCCATGATCCGTTTATTGTTCGCTAGGCCGCTTCAGATGGAGACGAAGAGTCTGGTATCCAAGATGCCTTTTCCACGTCCCCCAATAACTGTCAACCCGCGCGTTATTTGCGCTTGGTAGGTTTCGAGGCAGGTTTCGAGGTAGGTTTCGAGGTGGGTTTCGACTTTAGGGGACGGGTGACGGCGCTCTCTTCGTCGGTGGTATCTCTTTGGTCGTGTGCGTCTACCTCGCCTTGATCGTGCGCCCTTTTGCCAGAGGTTTTGCCGTCGTGTTTACCGGCAGAGTAACCCTTCTGGGTTTCTGGGCCCTTGGACCTGGACTCGATCCTGTTGGAGGGTGGAGGAGCTAGAGAGTTGAACGAGTTAGCGGCAACACTAACAGCGAAACAAAGACACATAGTCTTCACGAATGTTGAAGACAGACGAAGCATGTTGGGCTCGAAGTTCCGAGGGTAGGATGGGCCAAGAGCTTACCTGGTCTTATGGTGATTCCCGGTCATCTTGAAGTGTACACACGTTCTTGGTTGGGGAGAGTAGCTCGAGATAATGTTCCGGCCCGAAACGGGTCAAAGGAGGGAGAGAGGTGTGCGACCGACTCGCAGCACGCCAGCTCAGAGAGAAGATGAGAGAAGAAGGGCGGTTTTCAGTAGCAACGACAAGCACAGCTACGAGAGTAGAGAGGTGATATGGGATGAGAGAGCAAGCCAAGAGTGAAGGAAGAGGATGGGAGTAGAGGCTAAGTTTATATATCTCTGAACGCCAGGACTAAATACCAGGACTAACGAAATGAAAGAGATGGAGAATGCGTATGTCTGCCCAGGCTTATTATGCTTCTTCCAAAGCTGGCGGTCCGGTGTCTTTTAAACTTCTTCTCCCCCTGGTGCGCTTTAGCAGCAGGGGAGAGAAAAACAAAGACTCAAAGGAAAACGCAAAGGGCGGAGTAGTGGCTTTGGCGAGGAAAAAAATTAAGAAGAAGAAGAAAGCGTTTAGGAATTTGATGGCCACGAACACGCAAAAGCTCACACCGGGGCAGGTGAATGATGAGCTTGCTTCGCCCGCCACCAACACCGAAAAAAGGGAAACGGAGTCAAAAGAGAAGAAACTTAGAGAACAACTTCATACTGCGCCCCGCAGACTGTAGTTGTTAGGTGTCCCACGGGGCAGAATTTCCCAGGGCTATCAACGGGTTTCTTGAACTGTTTTAAAAGTTGTTCGGTATTGTCAGGCCTAGAGGGAGCCTGGGATCTACCAAGGGGGCCGAAATTCCATCATGTTGACCACACTAAAAGATTCGAACATAATTGATCCATCCATTACGTCCAGTACGCTAGCGTTGGCTCCCTAGATTGTACATGGGATCTGTGGATGCACTGGAATTGATCAATGTCAAGTTCCACCGCGATATTGCACAATTGCATACTAGAACTGATCAGATTACGTTCACTCTGGCCGTAACTTTTCTTTTCTTCTTCGTCTTTTACCGTGAAGAATCGAGGCCTCTTGTCCCTCATCTAGCTCAGCTAGTTTCCCGTTTTACATCAGCCAAGGACATGCCTACCTGTAGATCCCTTGTATCCCAGGGCTCCGGGGCAGATCAATCTCCATCAATTGATATAGATCAACTGTTGGAAGCACTGAACTCTCTCATATTCGTCCGTGGATCATTCTCGTCGCCCACAATGATATCCATTACACTCGCAATTCCATTAGACCTTTACATCCATACACAGATCTATCCAGGGTCCGTCGTGCACACCGTGGCAGCAATCGGCGGATGTGAAAGCCCCATCGAAGAGTCATTTCTACCTCTTATGCACATTAGTTTGGACAAAACCTAAGTGAAGGATCGCAATCGGCGGGTGTGCCGTCATAGGATTGTATTCTCGCTGCAGTCCGAGTATGTGGAGAATGACAAGAGTTCAATGTTGCCGGGTATGTGGTTGCTACAGCCTTGCAACGGCTTGGGTTCTTCATTCATCAACGCATCATCATAGTGCTGCCTAAGGGTCTACCATTAAAACTTCAAGTTAACCCAAGGCTGTGGCGAGGCCAGGCTGGGGGGCGGGAATGTAGGGCACATGAAACTAATACGACGGTATTCGAAATGATTATTGAATCCATCAAAAGGAATCAACGAGAGAGATTTGAGAAACGATCATGCTCCTAAATTATGACCAAAATAATACAATGAATGGGCGAATCACTGGTAGGTGGGGGATGTATGGATGGAAATCAACAACTTCATGCCCCCTTGAACGATACTCAAAACGCAAGCAGAGGCGGGAGGGAGATTATGAGGATCGTGGTCGTCATATGCCAACACACCCCTGAAACTAGCATTCAGCGTGTAGGAATCCATAGACGAATGCAAAACAATCGCAGCATGGATCAATCTGAGTGCACTGATTTGCACAACTATTCTTGGGTTGCAACCGATCATCAATAGATCGTGCAGTCAAGAAATTGAGGGCTCAGGGCGGAGCGTCATGGGTCAGCTCTCTGTACCACCGCCTTGGGGAGGGCGGATCTTAGAGGGTTGGATTTGCTGGTTCTCGAACGTCCCAACATTTAAAGCCTCCGAAGCGAAGGAGCACTTGAGGGGTCCAATATCCCAAGCGAATGTGAGTAATGCTACAGGGCAAGAATCTCAGGGCATGGTGGGACGAGGGTATTAGGGAGTGTGTGAAAGGGAAAGGAAGGTTCAAAATGATGTTTAGTATCCAGTACAGCAAGGGCGGGCTGACGAGCACTAAGCCCGAAGTCGATTTCGCTTGTTGAACAGATGACCCCCTTCCCAAAAGAAAAAAAGAAAAAAAAGTGAGAAGGGAGAAAGAAATGATGGCAGATACTGCAACCACCCACCCACCAAACTGAGGGAAAGAGAGCGGAAGAGGGGATAGAAACGGAAACGGAAACGGGAACGGAAACGAAAAAGAAAAGCAAATGTAAATGTAAAAAATAAGAAGATGACGAGGAAGAAGAAGAAACCCGCGCCTTCCTACTTGGAGTCAGCCTTAGAAGGCAAAGTGCAAGGGGAAAAACCAGGGACACACTTGAGTGGCCACATTTCTTTGACTAGTTGTAGGCAGAAAAGTCAATCAGCCCTCATTCCATTTTAAAACTGCAAGGCCAAAAAAAATAGTTCATCAAATGGATGTTTAAAGAAAGTACGTGTAGTAGATTGAGCCAGCAGTGGGATTGCCCCCACCATCTACCTCCACAAATCTAAGTGATCTAGAAATCTATTCTATCTTCATGTGCTGCCGAGAATTCAGTTCCCTCCCCAGACAGCCAGCCGCCGCCAACATCGCTAAACAGGTAATTGTGCAAGAATCCATCACCGCCCGAAAAGGAAATAAACAAATTCAACATTGAACCGACCGACCGAAAAGAAAAGAAAAAACCAACCCCCACCAAAACGAAACAAAACAACAAGAAGAAACGAAAAACGGATTTGTAGGTGGGGTTCGTATGTTAATCTACTTTTGGACCAGCCAAAGAGTAAAACTCATTAACAACACCAGGGACCCCAATCAATCGGTGGATCTAGCCGAAGTGCGAAGTACGAATGCCTGGGTCAAGCCGCATTCCCACGGACAAAGCCTGTAGACCCTGATCGGTTAGTATCCACGTTATGGGCGGATGAAATGGCTCAAAAGACTCAGCGCTGCATCCACTTACAAACTCGGAGTCGAGGTGCATCGTTCCTTGCAGGTCCGTCTGTGCCTAAACTGATTGATGTTCTTGCATTGCTCCTAAGGCCGAGACTTTCATTCCCCACAAGCCAAAGCCCGGCGGCTCCTCAGTGGCGACAGGGAATCTATTTTCCTCGCTTGGTTTTATCGGCATCGTTATCGCCACCCGCCGAAGTGTTCTGGCCCGGCGCCGGGGCGCCGCCGAGGTTGGGGTTGAAATGCTGAGGCCTGTCGAGGTCGATCGACGGAGAATTAGCAATTAAGAACGTGCATTGAAGGGTGGGCTGGGGTTTAGTCCAGGGTGCATCCTTGATCACAAAGGACCCCAACTCAACTCCCATACCGGGCGGGGACCCCTAGTAGCTGGATCGACTAGACCCAGAACCATGGAAATAATAATGGTTGATCATATCAAGGATCATGGTGGCCCACAAGGAACGACACATCCATAGATGTATGGATGCTGGCTATCACTTACATCAAGATTTGAAAGTTGGAGGCCATGGTGGAAAGATTGGAGTTCAAAGATTGAGCTTAGCTGGGTTTTGTTGGTGAGAGCACGGGGGCTGAATGTGTAAGTCTTGGGCAGTAAAGGTTGAATGATGAGATGAGGGTTTGGATCTACATGTATTCAATGCCGAACGGAGGCGAATGCCCATGACTTTATACTTGAATATCTCTACGCTAGATGTTACTGCGCAATAATCATTGACAGACGATATTTCCACCCCGTTGTTCTTCTTCAACCGCATGAGGCCCAGCAGAGAAGCCTTGCAAAATCGCCTCGGACGAGGGGGCGTGTCCATTCGCTGCTAGCGTCACTACAAATGGCGCTTGAGCGCAGCGCGCGTTGTATTGAACTGAGCAGTGCGTGGCGCAAGTGAATCAAACAACGGGATTCGAAAAGTCGGCCAATTTTCAAACCCTCAATTCTACATCTATGTTCGCACAACTGTTTTCAAAGTTGTTTTTCCGGACGCTGGTTAGTGGGGCGCCGTCATGGGTGCCACCGAACTCCCAAGTTGCATGTGCCTTGTTGTGTAATTTGAAGAGATTTGAACATTGCACGAACATTGAAGCGAATTGATCTATGTGCGCGGAGTGACTGGAGACTTTGAACACCGAACAGCGACAACTTGAGGTGGGACTGAATGGATCCGAGCTATTGTTCATTCCCAACTTCCCAGCATTGAACTTATGTACACTACAATCCAAAGGAAAAATAATACCAACGCTTTTGCAGTCTCCCGAGCTTGTAACCCCAGCAAGTCGTCCGCAGTGGGTGTGAACGCCCGAGATGGTGGCTGCAGCATTACACGCACAGAATTGGCATGTTTGACCTCGATCTTGTGGTGCCTGGCCCTGCGTCTGCTGTCCTCCCATCCAACTTTGGAGTGTGTGTACATCCATCCATGGATGGATCCATTGTGTCAATCGAGGTACGTGCCCCTGGCCTGGATCTCATTAGGCATCGGCTCTCTGGGAACGATAGTGATCCATTGCATCCACGGATGGATTTATCATCTTGTGCCCTTTAGTGTACAATTCACCCACTATCAATGGGTGCTACCCTACATTGATGGACGTAGACATTTGACAGTTGGCCTAAAGTTCAAATTGGAGAGTATCCGCTCATTGGAACTCTGACTGTTGTAGGAGAAGAGTAACGCGAAGAATTATAGAGCACTAGACCGAAAAGAAGAAAAGTGGAATTAAGAAAATGAACCGCGACGGCG